TCCAGGTATCCCTATTCTCGTTGTTTACAAGTATAAAAAGTGCATAATTGTGTTAGTTCCTTTATTTAGAGATTACTTTACTCAGATTTTTTCAGAGCGATGACATGAAGAATACTTTTAATATTCTGTCCGTTGCTTTTATTTATTCTAACGGCTTTGTTTACAATTTAACAATTAAAATTGAATGAATCCGACCAGAGCAAAAATAAATAACAAGCTCCTCAACTGATCCTTGGATATTCCATGACTATTGTGCTTTTGTAGCTAGCTAAATCGATAGTTAAATGACATACTTTAGATGCGGATTGCGCTGTACCAAAAATTCCAGAAAATGGATACATTATCAAAAATAAAATATCATATGGAAACACAATAACGTATGGATGCAATGAAGGATTTACTCTTGCTGGTCCAATAACAAGAAGATGCCAATCTGACAGGAGATGGTCAGGAAACGAACCAAAATGTGCTGGTGAGATGGTGATGTTTTTTTACATGGTAATACCTTATTTGAATGTACTGAACTCAAATATATTATTCTATTTTGATATTTGCTTGGAATATTGGTAACTGAGGTATATAGTCCTTGTCCATTCCTGTACTTGTTCTAATTCATATAATATTAAACGTACATTCGCATTGCGGAGCTTCGTATTCTTTCTTGAATTATACCCCAATGAACATGAAGAATTTTGCGTTTATATGAATTCAGATATATAGATATTATTAAATCGCACCTTTCAAGTGTCAATTACTATCTTATACACATTGCTTACAATTGATAAAAATATTTACAGAAACATTTCTGTACATTTTAAATAGTTTCTCAAGTTAGATATATAGAAGACTTCTGTATAAGATCACATGAACATGTGTATTGATCAAACTCGTAAGGTTAGCAATGTTTCATAATCAATGTTTTTACAAACTGTTCCTAAAAGCTTTTAGTTCATGTGGACATTCCACCTTCGAAACCCATTCTAAAATTTTTGGGAAAGTGCTCCTCGGAACAGATGCTGAGAATGGGGAATGGCCGTGGCAAGTTTTATTGTTCCACAAGAATAAAAATCTCGTTAGAAAGGTATAGTAATGTATACTTTTTTCGCATATTCTTTGCGACAATTTGGACATTCATTACTTTAAATGCATCATCAATACAAATAATTCAATAGATTCCGACTACCTTGGTGTATCGGTAAGTGACGCCTTTTAACTCCGAGAAGCTGTGAAAGCGACTAAATGTAGCCGGTCGGATTGTAAACTAGGCTATGTAGCTGGCTATATTCCTGAATTATTTCGTCTGTCTAATACGACTGGCACTGACTTGCAATGTATCATATTGATTGCAATGTGGAAAAAGCTACAGCATGCTGCGGTTCAGAATATTGTGATGGAGTTAGGTTCTTCTGTATAGCTTCAGGTATTGCTTACTTTATATATATTTAAAGAATTTTCGAAGCTTCCAACTACGAGTCAAGTGACTGTTGAACAAACCTGCTTGATTAACGTTAGACAAAGTAAACAAACAGCCTATGAATCAATAAAAAAAAAACTCGAATATTCATCCACGAACGGCAAGGTAAATTCAGAAAACTAAGCCTTGCTTTGGCCTAAATCCCAAACTAAAAAGACGCCGCCAAATGCGCAGGTAAAAACTTGGGATCGATGCACGTGATATCTTTATGATGTCATAATTGGCACAGTATTCAATAACCCGTGATACTACTAAAAATTAAATATGGGAAATGTTGATCGCTACTGTATCTTTTAATGTCGACACAATAAATCGAATGACATACAAATTTTAACTTTTATTTAGTAGCGCAATTTCGAAGTACATAAAAAAGTATTTTGCCACTGAAAATTCTGTAAAAAATAAATGATAAGCCCAGAAAACGGAAGGATCAAAAAACGGGAATTCCACATTACCATAAAAAAAAAATTCGAACTCAAATGTTATTCATAGAATTATTGAACGACACTCAGCCTAATGTGTCAATAATTGGGGATTAGTAGGCTGCTACAATGTAAAGTTCTGTATGAAAATCCAATATCCATCGACGAAGCAGGCTATTCAAATTGAAACTATACATACATCACTATTTCAAAAAAAATCGCAAACATGTCTGGGTCGCGATAGATATAAAAATATGGTGCATTTGGTGCAATCCCTCCATATCTTTATATGAAGGGATTGCACCAAAACACTGACCCGAAAGTAACACCAATCTATTTCATTGATTAATGTTTTGTTGAAGTTTTATGACAAAACGTCTGGATTTGGTGGTGGATCAATCATCAATGGCCAATGGATTTTATCAGCTGCTCATGTGTTTGACCCTCTTCCGTATCGAAATCCCGAAAAATATTTTTTAATTGCTGCCGGTAAGTTCTAGATTTGGTTTTGTAAATAATGAAAAGATATCAAATTTCGAATTTGTAAATTCGGAATTGGTATATGTGTAAAGTCTGGTTTCGCATGTGTATGAAAATAACTGACTAGAACCTTTGTTTGCGGAGTACGTATAGGGCAACAGTTTCGGGAGCGAAACAGGTGGTTACATAAATAGAGAATGTTTGATAGTACTTTTGTTTGATGATACTTCAATATTAGGTTATGTTTTACGCTTTTGCAAGTATCTATGTAATTGTTTCATAGTTTTAAAAAATCATAATTGTTATAACCAAGGATGGTTTCAAAAGTTTGATTTTTTCATTTGCTAATATGAAAGCATGCAATTTTAATCTAATGATTCACCATCACCCATTTTTTGCTAATGTTCTTTTAGGAATGACCAAATACCCCACCGAGGACCAAGACATTCCAGATCAAATCAATTTTTATGAAGCCGAAAAAATACGAAAACACCAAGATTATGATTCATCAACTTTTGACTACGATATTGCCATGGTATGTTTCAAAAAATGAGTAGCGCCTGGGGTGGTTATGTATTTCAACGTGTTGTGGTAAACTGGAGGCAACCGCAATTGATTGTAAACAGTACGTCAATTTGCAAGGTTTACATTTACAATTGTTATAACTTATCATTAGCATTAGCTCTTTATTTTCATCCCCACTTACACCCCGTGTCAACTTAACACTATTCACGTGTCTTACATATCCACATGAGTTTCAGTTAGTCTTGTTTTCAGTGAAACTTGAACTAATTCATATGAATTGCTTCTTGCGTGCCAATACGGTTTCTTCTGACTTTATCAGAAATCACATATAAATCATATTTTTGATTGAAGGCAACCATGAACTTACTCTGACCAAAATTTCATAACATTTAAAACCTCAAAATTAATTCAAGCAAACAGCATTATTTTAATTCGAGCTGTATGAGCTGCAGTTGCTTGATCAAAACAGTAAGTTAACCTATATAGTGGTTGGCTGTCATTACATTTAAAACCATTTTCTGAGTCTGTAGAAAAATTTTCTGTAAATGCAATTCATAACTTTAGTTTTTATTTCATGTCGATGTCATATTTCTGCAGATTAGAGTTGGAAAAAGACTTAAGCGAGAAGGAAATATTTTTGTACACGATATAGATGAAATAGACGGTTCAATCACTTTCTCACAGTATATTCGCCCGGTATGTCTTCCGTGCATGAAAGGCGATATGTTGCAAAATGTTGATATTTGGAAAAATTTCGATAAAAGGCTTTGTAATTTTAAAAGTAAGTAGTCTGATCAGATTAATTTTTAAGAACAAAATATGATACCTGAGTAGTTCTTTAAGCGAGATATATTTGGATATATTTTCAGGTAGATCGTCAATGCCGTATGGTTTTAGCGCAGGTGAAAAAGCAATCGTTACAGGGTTTGGAGAGAAAAGGGATTCTGATGCTGAACACCACTACCGGCCGAGTTCATTGCAAAGAGGCGAATTGGAAATTCTGGGTGACAACAAGTACGTAAAAATATTTCATTTAAAATTTAAAGGTTTAGTGTGAAATAAATTGGAATGGTGACACACATTCGAGGCATTATGCCTAGAATGAAACTACAAACGACTCCAAAGTTTAAAATTTAATTACATATGGAGGTGTCGTAATGTAACTTGGTTGTTTTGTTTCAAAAAGATGTGTCGATGCGATAAGAAAAATCCAGGTAGAGGATAGTGAAGCTCGATATACAAACAGGATGATTTGTGCTGTAAGTGCAAATAAAACGCTAAACGTTGATGCGTGCAAAGGAGACAGTGGGGGACCACTTGTTAAACAGGTACTTACTTCTTTATTGAACACTGGCCAATGTTTCCAGAACTTAGTTCCAGAACAGAGTATATATTCCCAACTTTGGGATTATTTACAACTTCTTCATTATCTGTAACTTGTCAAATAGAACATATATAATCTTCATTACAACTTGAAAATATGCCCACGAAAGAAAAATCTCATTCCACATAGCACAAGTTTTACTACGCTCTTTATATTCTAGACAAATGACTTAAGAAGCAAAGCTTGTGTTATATGAGATTCTGCTTTCCTGTTGCTATAAACTCTCAACTTCTTATTCAAACCTCTCTGTGACACAGGTCATATACGTATGTAGCATTACGCGAAACTCATATCGAAGGATAGTCAGTTCACCATGCAACGCGCAACACATTACTTGAAGATATATAAGTAACTTATGTAGAAGGTGGGAAAATACCGTTTTGTGGTAGAGTTTTATTCCGCAAGCGCCAGAGTCATAACTGATCGGCCCCGATACCGCGCTCATTCATCACATTCTTACTGTTTTTTCTCGGATTCATGTGATATTTCAATTCTCTCGAATTGTTCAAAATTGACTTTAACATCATTGCACCTCGATGGGATTTCTCTATTTTAGAGGAAAATCCACTGAATAAACAACGGCCCTGTTTGAGTTTCTAATGGCACGTCTATTGCCATCTTCATAATATGCAATCCATATTGTATTATATAACTGTCGCAAAAGGAGAATTAGTGAAAAAAATCTATCAAATTTAATATATTTTTTGTTGTTTAGTTGGGGAAATCGTCGGATTCCACACAGTGGTTGCAAATTGGTGTCGTTAGTTGGGGATGGGAATGTGGAAAAAAATATCCTGGATTTTACACATCTGTTCCGAAATTAATGCCTTGGATTTGGAAGACTTTAGACGATTCTAAAAATACAGCTAAAATAGGTGGGTTGTTAAGTTTTTAATAACGGTATTCCTACGGATATTCAATGATATATTTGCATGCGCTGAAGCACACCAGACGGAATCCCGGTCCCGCACAGAAGCTGTGTTATATTTGAAGAATGGCAATCTTTACACAAAATTTGACTCGGCCCCTATCTATTTCAAGTAGGCTATAACTTATGAAATATTATGCGAAACAAGGCAAATAGAACGCTATTCTAGTGTAGAGCACCGGCAGTCTATGTAATGATTATCTAAGTTCAGAATACCTTGTATTATGATCTAACGTCAAGTTTTCTCTTAATATTCACTTCAATTTATACTATTTTGTTCTATTTAATAATTATCAATCCAAGCAACGATTAATACAACCAAACACTCCAATGAAACGGAAAGCATACAATAAAAACATTAACACCAGGCAGCACAATGCAAGAAAAACCATATACACAATAAAAACACTGACGGACCCTGAAATCGAAGACAACTTTCAATAGAAGTAAAATGATCCCTAGAATCCGGTACACTAAACTAGCTACTACAATTTGCAAAACAGGCTGAAAATAACTTATGACAAACATTTTAAAAGACAATAAACAATTCTATATGTGCACAACATTTGAACAGTACTGATGAAAGCTAATTCTATGACAACAACCCAAAACACAACCCTACATAATCTACGATGGCACTGTACTCACACAACAACATGGTCCCAACATCAACCCACTGTCAGGCACAAAAACATCCAACAAGTCCTCATCCAACAATCACACAACCACAGACAACCATCCCTGATAACCCACCGAAGACCAAAGGCACTCCCCCACACACCAAAAACCAAAAGCCAATCGAAAACAACCACACTCTGACAACTGTACTCTGCCAACCCACCGCACACGCCAACCGGCCACACCCAAAAGACAGACCGACAGTGTCACAGCGCCCCCAGTGTCTTCAATGCCAAAATACTAAATATGAAAACAATATCACATGACATCATTTTACAGATAAAAAAGGGTAGTCACACTAGGAAATGAGTTGGTTTGAACGGCATCAAGACTTAGGTGAAAACACTTTTATTTGTGTTTAATGGGACTGAAACATATTACCAGGTGGATATTCACTAGGCTATCAATGACAGTTCCCTAGCTCGTAATAGAACTAAAACAAAAAAATCGGAACAAATTTATTGCCTAAGCCTAACACGATACATACTTTGGGAGTACCGATAGATCTATGCTTGTGTATTGTAAACGAAACACAAACATTGCTAAGAGTGGCGTTTTATTTCAGAAATAAACAACTGCAAACCTAATCCATGTAGGAATGGAGGTCGGTGTGCAACAAAACCAGGAGGGTATTCGTGTTACTGCTTTATCGGTTTTCGAGGAACGAAATGCATGTCAAGTAAGTAAAACGTTTGGATTTAGCTAAGCAGGCGATTTCCTGCCTATTGCCTAACAAAAGATGGCTTTATTCACCCCTTCTTTTTATCTTCTCTTTTTTTATGTTTTTTTTTTTTTTGGGGGGGGGGGGGAACGTAACATGAAATGAATGATTTATTGTTACTCATCGATATCTCACGAAAGCGAGGTTGAGTCTGCTTTAAAATTTACATGTACTTTCATTCATCCTATTTCATCCTAGATTTTTGCAAAGCGAGAAAACGTGTATGACCTACATTTTTGAAGCGAGAGCACGCATGTGCTGAATGTGTTTGCTACATTGATAAATCGGCCATCTCTGATCGCTATCTCGTTTATTTTATTGGTGGCTCCAAAGAAAAGCCGTGTTAAGTCAGTGAATCAATGAATCCATAACAATGAATCTATTTTCTTTTTATTGAAACCCCATGGCAACTACCGTGATTTCTTGTCGTTTCAGTTCAGAAACAGAACACTGACTTTAATGCCTATAATGTGTTTAGTTTAATATACTTTACAGTTTGTGAACGTACACATGCCCCTATCTATCGCCGAAACTTTCATCAGCTAAATTCAATTTCATTGCCAGACGTATTATCATGAAGACTTCGCAATTTTATGAGTCATTATAATATTTTTAGACATAGATGATTGCTCACCGAATCCTTGTATGAACGGCGGAATATGTGAAGACAAAATCAACGATTTTGTATGTAATTGTGCTGAAGGATACAGTGGAAAGAAATGCCAAACTGGTATAGAGAAAATATCAATAATTTTTTAGTTTATCAACATAATATTTTACTGAGCAGCAGCATTTCTAATTTTTTTGCTTTGGAACACTTACGTTATTATCTCGCCTCGCGGAACAGCAAAAAATTAGAATGTTAGATTGATAAAGAAAAAATTGTGTAATAGATTTATTTTGTACATCATCTTGCACAACCAGTTTATCATGACATCTAGAAACTTTCAGTTTTAAGCCAACATTCCTTTGAAAAGGGTGGTTTCAAAATAATTCCTAGCCTATGGTATAATTGAAAAGGTAAAATTGAAAAAAAAAATGGTTAACAATATTGAACGGTTGACGAAAATGCTATGATTTCTATGCTGGCCCGCTTGTTTAGATGGCAAGACTTTTCCGCATGTTTGTCGCCAGTTGGGAGACGAATTCACGACCCAGGGGCGCCAAAGTATGGCCGAGATCACCATGGCGACTAATACAGTCCCAATAGCGATCGCTGTTCCACGGAACACTCTGAAGAACCTCTCGGAACACAGTTCAAGAAACGCTTAAGCGTAAACTGAATGTTTCGCATTTCCAATTTTCTCTGCAGACATCAACGACTGCCTTCCAAATCCGTGTCTAAATGGGGGAGAATGCGTCGATAGAGAAAATGACTTTTTGTGTTCATGTGCTGATGGATTCGATGGAAAAAAATGCGAAAAAGGTATAATACTTAAATAAGAACATGCTTGGTTGATTTTACTCAATATCAATGGAAATGATATGAATGTTGTATTGCATAAATAAACAACTGCAAACTTAATCCTTGTAGGAATGAAGGTCTGTGTACAACACAACCAGGAGGGTATTTGTGTTACTGCCGTAACGGTTTTCGGGGAACGCGATGCGAGTCAAGTAAATAAAACGTTTGGATTTATTACTAGCTAAGCAGGGAGTTTTGTAGCAAAAAAAAAAAACATTTTATGCCTCTCTTGATCATCTTTTCTTTTTCTATATTTGTTTGAGGAACGTATCATGACATAAATGATTTAATGATACTTTTATTGATGGCTACAAAGAAAAGGGGTGTCAAATACACAATTAATCCATTTTCATTTTATTGAAACCCCGTGGCAACTACCGTGAATACTTATCATTTCACATAAAAAAAATAAGTCACCAACTTGAAGCCCTTGGAGGTCTATAAAATGTATAGTTTGATTTATATTGATACGTAGGTTGTAACTAAAAATCGAATGAGTAATTTATTAGCCTAGGTTGGCTATGCCTGATAATTAAATATTAATGTAACGGGTGACCATTATAATCCTGCCGGATGTTTTTTTGCAACCAGCATAAACTGTACTAAGAAAAAATTGCTGCCTATATGTCAGAAAATTTAGTATTAACCCTCCTGTATCTCAAATTTGGTAAAATTCGGTAATCAATCAATCTGCAGTTTTTGGTAAGTTTTTTTGTAAACATGAATTTGAAAAGAAAGCTGACCAATTCAAACAGATTTGTGACTGGATATGGGAGGAAAATTACCACAATGCATGCTTGATATGTCTGCAAGTTGTGTCGGTGACTCTCACTTAATCCGTTATGAAGATTTTGAAATCTTACACTAAATGTAGGAATAGTAAATACATACAGATAAATGTGTTTGGAAAATAAAAGTGTTTGTTTCGTATTGCACTGTTTACCTATTCTTGGCACTATTCTGACCGGCGAACAATACAAAAATTATAGTGTGGCCCGCGAGGCCGACAACCTTGGACCACCTTGCTTTAAGTTATGTTTTTTACTGTTTATTGCTATATTATATTGTTTTTATCGTTGTCACTTTTAACTGAAGAATATAATACACAATTGAGCAATACCAGGCATATACTCGTATGTCTCTACCAATATACTAAATAGAGGTTATAAAAGTATCCATACTCCAGTCTCTCGCCGAAGCTTGTTCCAACTCAATTCAGTTTCATTGCCAGATTTATTATCATGAAGACTTGACATTCTATTAGTCTAGAAAGTATTAATAAATATATGAATAATGTCTAGAAAGATTGCTGCATACATTTCCTATTTTCAAGGAAGGGAAACTATGGGGAAGCCGTAACCGTGAAATATTGTTCTATCAAATATATATGTCATGGTAATAAATGAATACTTAGCATTTAACTAACCACAAGTTATTGCGATATCCGGCCTAGTTTATAAATCAAGAGTCAGTTGGTAAAATACTTGATTTTTCCGTCTTAGATCTTCCCTTTCTCACATTTCATCCTTCTATCAACTCAATCCTTCTAGCTATTAACGTTACGCAAACTTAAAACACTATAGCCGGAAAAGTTTATTACCCTACCCAAATGGCCTATACATCTTAACGAAAATATCGGTCGGAGACCGAAGACTTATCGATCGAAACTGCGGTTTCGATCCATGACTCTATAGTGACACCGCGTGTCCCATCACTAATTAATTAATAACTCGCTAATTATACGACATAATTCATCCAAAATTAATAGACTTCTGGTCTGAGATATGATGACATGCAAAATTTGGAGCAGATTCAACCACGCCTTCGTGAGATATTGCGTGCATCTAACAGACAAACAAACAGACAAATACCTATCAACATACTTAGCTATCTAAAGATCGATAAGTAATTACCGATCTAAAGATCGAAAAGTAATAAGCATAAATCTAACGCTCGATGCAGCTTATTCCCAACTACATCATATAGTGCCAAAACTAGATGATATAAATCAATTATTACAAAAATTATAGACATAGATGATTGTTCACCGAATCCTTGCATGAACCGTGGAATATGCAAAGACAAAATCAACAATTTTCTATGTACTTGTGCTGAAGGATACAGCGGGAAGAAATGCCAAACTGGTATAGTAAAAATATTGATACATTTTGAGTATTTCTTAATAACATTTTACCAATGGGAAAAATGATTGTTTTACATTTCCTATTTTCTGTGCAGACATCAACGACTGCACTCCAAATCCGTGTCAAAATGAGGGAAAATGCGTCGATAGGCTAAACGACTTTTTGTGTTCATGTGTTGATGGATTTAAAGGAGAAAGATGCGAAATAGGTATAATACTCAAATATGAACATGCTTTGTTACTCGATATCAATGAGAATTGTTTTGAATTATTTTATTCCCGGATATTTGATGATTGCTCAACGAACCCATGTTTAAATAGTGTATTTCGCAATGATAATGTGAACTCTTTCTCCCCGAAAGGATGCAAATGAAGAAAGTGGGAATTTGGTACATTTACTGGTTCAGTTAAAGATAACACATGTAATAATCAACGCAAAATAGATAAACATGTAATTAATATATCTATGCTTGTGTATGTAACAGAAACAAAAACATTGCTAAGAGTATAGATTTTATTGCAGAAATAAACTACTGCAAATCTGATCCATGTAGGAATGGAGGTCTGTGTACAACAAAACCAGGAGGATATTTGTGTTTCTGCCGTAACGGCTTTCGAGGAACGCGATGCGAGTCAAGTGAGTAAATTATTTGAATTTACGCTTTATAAAATATTTGTATTTGCTAAGATGCTGGGCATTACCTGCTTACAACACAGGGAAAATAAAAGACGGTTTTCTCTTCCCATTTTCAGTGTCTTTCTTTTTTTATATTTCTTGCAGACATTAACGATTGCCTTCCCAATCCGTGTCTTCATGGTGGAAAATGTCACGATAAAGTAAATGACTTTTTTTGCTCATGTTTAGAAGGATACAAAGGGAAAACATGTGAAACAAGTAAATTTCTTAATTTTGTTCACCCCAGTTATACTTATCAATAATTTAAATTAATTAGGCTTATTCATGTTGAATAATGAGCATTAACGATTATAGAGCGAATATTGGCTTATAAAGTAACTAGAGAACATTTTGCTGACAATGCTAATGAATTGCTCTGGCATTCATTTTCATTTCAGGTACAAATTATTGTCAGAGCGCACCCTGTAAAAACGAAGGAAGATGTCAAAACTTACCTAGAGGTTTCGAATGTTTCTGCCGTGCTGGTTTCAGAGGAAATACTTGCGAAATAGGTGATTTGAAGTAACCTACTCTCTGCCCCATTCAATAAATGGTGAAGTATTACCATACAAAATATTACCATAAGCTTGGTTTTAAATGTATTCACTGTTAAATTATTAATATTGTTGCTTAAAAATGAAAATCAAATCTAATAATAGCTCATGTTTCAAAAAAAAAAATGAAATAAATAATTTTTTAAATCATTCAATTGAATTTTTAGAAAGATATTGCAGCCCAAATCCTTGCTATAATGGCGGAAAATGCTACGAAGCTGTTGATGGCTTTCTTTGCGAATGTCCTTCTGACTTCATGGGTGGAAAATGTGAAGTGGGTAAGTTTGAAGATGTCGATTGCTTCCAATCCAGTCGATATTGATAAATGATTGAAAACTAGTAGGTGAACTGAAAACCTTCAGCAGAACCAGTAGGGCAATATATATGAGCTAATACAATAAAAGTTTTATATGCCAGGCGTTTTAACTTTGCGTACAACAACTAAAGCAGCGAGGGTGAATAGTCCGATGAACAGTTGAATTTTTATCATTTATGTTTTTGTTACAAATGAGAAATCATTCGTTTTTAGAAAAAAACTATAATTAATTTTTGCTATAGTTTGGAAACATACCTCTGGTTTTTCTATTAGCTATGGCGTGCAACAGAGATTTAGGATTGGTCGAAACAGGTCGTAGATGTCGCAAGCAGTGCTCAAGAGACATAGAGTGTGTTGGATCAATGAAGAAATGTCGATGCGATGGGAGGTGTGGGATGTCATGCTTTAATCCGGGTAACCATTAATAAGTAACTTAATTATTTCAAAGATCGTAAATTATTGCTCTAAAATTCGGAAGCTAAACAGAAATTTTACGGACAATAAGATGCCAATATGTGGCTTTGTATTGCATTTTTTAAATGTCAGTTCTCGAAAAAATTTGTAGTCAGTCTAACTCTAATGTAAGAAAAAGACCCGATTCATCATTTTTTCGAAACTATGAGAGACTTTTCACCACAGACGCAGAATGTCCACCATTAGAAAATCCAAGGAATGGATACGTCGTTGTAGGAAAAGTTACTTACGGAAGCGTTGTCAAATACGTTTGCAATGAAGGATATACTCTGGTTGGTCCGGATGAAAGAGTTTGTACTTCAAGCAGAAAATGGTCTGGGCTTGAACCAGCGTGTGTCGGTACGTTGGAAAACTATTTCCGCTGAATTGCATCAAAAATGGTGTCCTATCATTCGTCAAAAATATTGATAAGTTAATTTTGTTCTTTTTATATTAAAGCATAATTATTTTATTATAAATATTAGCATTCAAGTGAATTTTACTATATATGGTAGATGTATTTCATATACACCTGCAATATATATTAAATTTATGAATCAAAGCAAGAATAACATTCTCATATGCAGATTTTTCCGAATGTGGTGTAACTGGGCCCCTAGATCCAAACCTTCACTACCAATTGGCAACCAGACGAGTGAAGAGAGTGGTAGGCGGCGATGATGCACCGGACAATGCTTGGCCTTGGCAGGCATCGATTTTAACCGCAGTAGTAGAGGTACATGGAAACTTACATATTTTATACACCAGTGGTTTCCGAATACGAAAATACTTTTAAGATTGCCGAAGAATTTACAAATAACACATTTTTTTAATTATTAAGAAACTATTGAAAACGTTCTCAGCATACAACAATGAAAAATATATTCAAGTGTGTATTTTGATAAGATAGAATTTACTTCCGGAACAGATATGAGTAGTCTTCTTCCTTTTATCATGCATGTTTTACTGCAACTCCTACTCTGACGTATTTCTTTTTTTACGCTTCCTTGTATTTCAGTCAGGTAATATCAATGTCGCTGATACTCTAAAGCGATGGGAACTGAAGGCAGCTGGAACAATAATAAACAAACAGTGGATATTAACATCGGCGCACTTATCTAGGGACGTGGGCCTGAAAGATTTTGACCGTCATTACGTCATTGTAGTTGGTTAGTAAGCGAATATGCCGTGTTGTATTGTGAAGCCTGATTACAGAAAGTAAAGCCAGTAATGACAGAAAAAACTTCTAGAGTCTGATTACAAAAATTAAAACGTTCATTTTTTATATGTATGTCACTATTTACGTTAAAACTGCGCAGAATAATTGCATTTTTCGTTTGTGGTGATTATTTAGATTGCTCATTAAATACGAACCAGTTCGTATATATAGTGCTCGACAGTCTTTTTGAAATACCAAGTTAACATTAATATGTCGAGGAAAAATCTACAATGAAGGAAGTGTTCTGCGTTAAACAAAGCTTGCCACTTTTGCGCACGGGAGAATCTTGCGCACCAGAATCTTGCTATATATATATACTGCATATAGGCAAAACATAACATTAATATGTATTAATATGTTAGGGTAATTATTGCAACCCGTTTGGAAGTTAAACTCTGGTTGACAAATAAATTGGCCATTGTCGTTTAATAATAGACTATTATTTGAACAGAATATTTGCAAAAGAATTGAAAAGTGAAAGATGAATTGCAAATTTATAGATTCTAAACTTCTGTGCTGACTTTAATGTTTTAGATTACAAAGGTTTAAACGTTCATATAAATTCGCTAATTTTGTTTTCTAAGGAGTTTCTAGTCGGTCATCTGTGAAATACACAATAAAGGACTCAGTACAAGTGTTCAGCCCTTTAAAATATATTCTGCACGAAAAGTATAACAAGACCACATCTGAAAATGACATTGGCCTGGTAAGTTTGAACTCTATCATCACATCATATTCAGCAATGAAAGAGGTATAAAAAGGGAGTATCAAATATGTCGCGTGTTACTCGTATGAATCTCCCTAATATGAATACTTCACCCTTTACCAAAGCATTATATCTATCCCAACATGGAACACAGCCTAAATTCCACTTTATATGATTATTCAAACCATTTGTCTGAAATATATATCCAACTCTGACTCAGAACAGTGAAACGAGTATGGGAAATTGAGACAAGTCTGCTCTAATTACTTATCGATCTTGATCGGTAAGTATTTTGATAGGTATTTGTTTGTTTGTCTGTTATTAGATACACGCGATATCTCACGAAAGCGAGGTTTAATCTGCTCCAAATGTGCATTGATTGCAAATTGCAGGTGCATCCATCATACCTCGGACCAGAAGCCTATTGATTTTGGATGAAATATGTCGTATAATTAGCGAGTTATTAATTAATTAGTGAGGGGACACACGGTGTCATTATGGCGTAAGAGCGGTTGAATCGAAACCGCAGTTTCTGTTTTGAAGGATTCCCTAACTTTCGATCGATAAGTCTTCGGTCTCCGACCGATATCCTCGTTTACTTTTTGGTGTGAAGACTACACATTGGACTTGAATTTTAATGTAAAAACGAATATTGTACCTGGCCATATATTTGTTTTACCTACTACAAGTTAAATTTAGATAAAACTTGGTAAAAGACGGCTTCCAAGATCTACTGTTCCTATCGTCTATATAAAGGAGATAACGTTTAATGCTGCTGTGCGACCGGTTTGCCTTCCCTGTACAGATAAGTGTGTGACGAGTAGCCACATGGCTGACAATTTTAAGCGTACCAAAGACAAGCGTTGGTGGGACAAGGAAACGAAATGTGAAGCAGAGGGTAGCTATACGTCTATATAGTTTTGTATTTGTTCATATATTGCGTTAGAGATGACTTATCCTGAATTAACGCTTACGATAATGTGTATAATCGAAAATTGTCGGTTTTGAAATATGTCTAACTGCCGGATAATATGTGAATAACAGGTTATTAAAATTTGAGTAACATCCCAGCCTTGTTGAGCTCAATTTTAAGCTCAATTCGTGTATTTTTGATATTTGAGTGCCGGAGTGTGCAATTTGCGGTCGGGGCCAAAAGCGGCCCTCGAAAGAAAATTGTGCGACCCCTGGAAAAGTGCCATTTTCTGAATGATGTTCGGCCTGCGAAATCAATCGTTAATTTATTTTGGTACGTGCGATTAATTCCAATCCTTTTGCGTTGCGAAGCCTATACCTGAGTCCAATTTATTATCTATGCCGATAAATTTATAATACCTCAACAACTAGTTTGTGCAAACAATGCATGTCACAAAATCATTACGCAAAGTTTTGTGCCTGCACCACTAGATAGTCGATGTTAAATAAAGGTGCGGCCCGCGGTCACACTCAGTTATTTCTATCGGTCCCTCCTATATTAAAAGTTGCACACCCCTGCTTTAGTGTAGTCAACCGTTGGTGCAATGTCGACCATTAACTTTCATTTTGTTTTTCGAAGGTGATTTCCTCGTGAAGCCAGGGGTTAAGATTGTTTTAACCGGGTTTGGAATAAATGAAACTGATTACTTTATTCGTAGTTTTAGGGATCGTCTTCAACAGGTTGTTTTAGAAGTGGGTGATAAAAACAGGTAACTGAACTCATTTTATTATACTACTGAGACTACAGACAGAAACACAAGAAAAAGAATTATATTAATCTAATAAACATTATTAAAAAGCATCAGTATATGAGTTGTTATCTTATTATTCAATATATATTTTCAAAATCACAAAATAAAATTCCTGGGTATTTTCGATATAACTTATAAGGATAAAATTATTTCAGTTGCCAAAAAGGAATAGACGACATCATTTTCTTTCATAAAGTTGGTTCGTTCGACGTGTATAATTCATCTTTCTGTACCGTTTCACCAATACCACATAAAGTAATGACAGCTTGCAACGGAGATGGTGGGGGACCTGTCGTGAGGAAGGTAGATTTGTTACAAAATGGCATCATTCTATTCCATTAAATAACATTTGCTATTCATATGTTTGAAAACCTTCTTTCCTCGATATGAGCAAAATACTGCTGTACCTGTACTCGCAATTTCCCAGATTTGAAGTTCTGATTTATACGCAGCAACGTTTGACGCGTTTATGTAAATGGGTGCCCTATCCCACCTAATCGGTCAGTTTCCATGAAATATGGAAAAAGACCAATGAAAAATGGATGATACTTCGTGCAACCTCATCTCATCTTTACTTGTAATTAGTACAGAGTGGAACAATAGATCATTTCAATAAGTCGCATTCATTCAAGTTATTGAACATAATGCCTTGTTGCCAGATAACTCAGAGAGATGGAAGGGTTTGCTGGGTTCAAGTTGGCATCAACAGTTTTGGAGCTCAATGTGATGGAAAGACACCTGAATTCTTCACAAAAGTTTCGAGTCATACAGATTGGATAAAAGAAACAATGCAGAAAAATTAACCCTGAAATTTTTTTTTGGATCTGGCGAGAATCCGTCCAAACAATCGTCCATATTTTTGTATCGCTAGATCTGTCACAGACGTGTGTGTATGAATAGAAGCAAGAATTTAGTACTCATTTCATATGGTACGATTATTTTATGTATATTATTTTCGCAAAAATCCCCATTAAATATGTATTTCGTAGAAGCCAACTTGTTTGAAGAAAACAGGCCTCAGCAAGTCGATGGAGTTGTTGCCATCCAGGCCTGTAGGGAATCCATTTTTAAAATTGTATTGCCTTACCGACAACTCCAAGAGTTGCGTACTGGTGGACATTTGGGTAAAGAACGAACTTATCATAAATTGAGAGAACGATTTTATCGGCCTAGAGTGCACAGTCAAGTATCGTCTTGGTGTCGTTATTGTAAAGCTTGCACTGCTACCAAAACACCTCATGGGAAACGACGTGCAGAAATGTTCTATAATATTGTGCTTTTTGTTTCACTTGTGATCTGACCGTAATCTTACTGCATTAAGAATTAAGTGTGTACACATTTATCTGTATTTGGAATTTGGATCGTGCATCTTTTCAATAATATACAACAGTTCGACAATCAACATCGTGTGCTTATTATCGTCTGAGGGAATCCAGATTGGAGTCACATTCCATAACACGTGAAATTAATAACGTGGGAATCGAACTTTGAATATTAGGGTGAACAGTCTTTATCCCTGAGACCGCACATTGTCTGAAAATAATATATCATGAAGGAAATTAATTGGGACAACGACCTTGTTTCAGGCAAATAACATGCACTACTAACAATAAGTGGTGAAAACATTAAAATACACAGTAACTATCCTTATGTACTTGCTACAGTACTGAGCCACTTCGGAGCCAAGTATTAGTCTTGATTTTGTGGACTCTTTACCTAAAACTGAGCGGGGCAATGAACATCTTTTAGTAGTCACAGACTATTTTACTAAATGGGTTGAGGCTTATCCTTTGCCTAATCAAAAGGGCAGTACAACAGCCGATGTACATGTAACTGAATTTTTTAGTGGATTTGGTAATCCACGAAATATTCATTGTGACCAAGGGTTTAATTTTGAATTCCATTTGTTTAAGCATATGTGTTCCTTATTTGAAATTGATAATACCCGTACGACTCCTTGTCATTCTAGGTCGGATGGTCTATGTGAAAGAATGAATAAGACCTTGCAGCAACTGCTTAGCAGGGGTCACCAACGCGTTGCCCGCGGGCACCAAGTCGCCCGCGAAGACCATATGAGTCGCCCACAGGTCTGTTCCAAACTAAGCTTAATATCGGCTATTATAAGTAAGCTACATCAATTAAATTTTGTCCTGCAATTTTAGTATAAATCACACTTATATGGGAACTAGAAATGGCACTATATTAAATATTGTAACCATCAATCTTATTTCTATTTGACCTCAGTAATGTGACGGGTCAATTAACACTCTTCCTATTATGACATCACACTGAGATCACTTTCCACAAACCCGCGCCTTTTCTTGTCCGTTGGTTAGCGGAGCAGAAATAATACCATTATTGATTCCAAAGAAAAATCCATCATTTTCACGATGAATGGGAAGTGGATATATTATAAAAACAGCCTGCGTGTGTCTCATTAGTGGGGCGATATTAGCGACGCAAAACGGAGGGATGTTTCACATCTTGTCAAGTAATCTTTCGCGCTAACTATCCACTGGTCAGCACGGTACGGACAGAAAAAGCTCGCGATTCAAATCATACAGCAATCCTATTTTACGAGACCATCGTCCGTTTCAACCTATCCTTTCAAATCAACATTTTTGACATAAACTCAGGATAGGAGGAGATTTACATATTTATCCCGGGGGAGAAGAAGATAGCCGATAGGACGGCTTAACCATATGACAAACCACGTCTTTTCACCGGTCACCATTCGATGTCGGGTATGGGATTCGTTAGTTGTTTGTTTCCGGAAGCCTGGACTTGATGGCGAAGGAAGCCTTAGCCGACCAGCGGTTACGTGAACCACCCTACGGCGGCGAGGAGTTCATCAATCCTTTCGCACATAACTATCCCCGCATGGGATTCGAACCTGCGAACCTAACGCTTAACACGATGGGCCATAGCGCCGCGACTCACTCTACCAGGAACAAACATGGAACACGCCTCACTGATGAAAATCTGCAAGACTCGCTCAGAGTTACAGGGTCAAGTTACACGTCGGAGTATAATACTCTGTAACATTTGATAGTACAACTGTTAAGTCCATTTTATCTTAGACTTGTGCAGAGTGTTGAAAATCAATTTAAAAACACTCAGTTTTGAAATACAAGTGTTATTGATAGAAATTTATTTGCAACGTTGTGATATGCGTTTGATTTCCTGAAGAATCCTAAAGTTTATTAGTGTCTATACTTCACTAAATACCAGTAATTATATCAATAATTGAAGCTTAGTCCAGCAACTGACTTTTTTAGAAGTGTACATTGAACTGGTAGCCCGCAACTTAATCTGTACCCAAAAAGTAGCCCTCGGCTTCGAAAAGGTTGGTGACCCCTTGCTTAAAGCATTTGTGGATTCCAGCCGTACAGACTGGGACGAGCACATTCCTTATCTTTTAATGGCTTATAGATTTACTGTACATGAAAGTACAGCTTTTACTCCGAATCGTTTAATCTTGGGCCGTGGAATTTCATTGCCGACTGATTTACTTTTTGGTAAACCTCCTGATCATAATGTTCCTGAGTGTTATGATGAATTCGTTGAATGGTTTGATAATGCTACATCTGAAGCTTTTAAATTTGCTCAAGAACATTTAGGTAAATCTGCTGTTCGACAGAAACGTTATTTTAATGCAACTGCTAAGCCTTTATCTTTTAAGTACTAATATTTCAGCAATGGTACAACAATTATCTTATTCTTTTTAAAACTCGACTTAAAAATAACTATTTTAGTCGTAACTTTGCTTTAAATGTTTAACTTCATGACGACCGATTATAGGAAGCAACGAAAAATAGACTAACAAACTACAATCTAATACATTTTTATTGTGTTTCAAATATTTATACCTTCATCATAATAAGCAGTATTTTAGTGTTCAGTCGAAATTTACCTTAATAACCGTCAGATATGAACAAACACTTCGGACTTCCGTGGCGAAGAAAACAATAATCATCAAAGAATATGTGGAAAGAAAGATATTATGTCTTAGTAACTGCGAGATGAAACTATTTCGTCTCGCCGTTCTTGTTTCTCGTTTTTTTTTCAGAGCGAAAAAGGAAAATGCGCACACTCTCTGGGTGGAACATCATCGGCAATATGCATACTCTTTAGTTTTTTTCACTGATTCCGGCTTTCTTTATTATTGAATGTATTAGTTAATCTAAGAATAAATATCATTTTGCGGTATATTTTTAAGCCAAACAGTTTCATTATTATACAAGATCAGGACCGGACCATGCCTTTTAGATGCCACTAAGCACTTATGAATTTGGTGCCTTATACAAGTATATATAAAACATAATAATAATAATCAAAAATGATGTTCCAGATTGTCGAAAATTTATTAGGTAAGTTTCGGTATTCAGTAGTCATCTAAGGCCAGGTTACGATCAATTTACATGATGTTTATCGGGAATAATTGTCGTACCTACAAATATTTATATATATGGAGATTTTCAACCTGGTTAATGTTGAGGTACGAATCGTGTGAACAACTCGAAACATTTCAATAAACACTGAGGCACCATTAAAAGTTCGTCTAACTCTACGGAAATTATTTGGTGCTCTTCTTCACTTGGTACCCTATGCACGTGCTTATTTTGCTCAATGATTAATCAAGCCCCGTACAGGATAACATAGTTTTAACCGCTAGTTGCACCTGATCGTAAACAATTTTTTGTTTGTTCTATTCTGACCAGAAGTTAGAATGCGGATTTTCACCCACGCAACACACTTTGGTTCAAAGAAACGAACTTTTATTTGGCTTCGCTTTTGCTAAGCTGGTGACCATTTGTTCAATTATTAAGAAGAGTTCCGAATTTGCAAAGCCCAACAGACCATAACTAATTGTAAATTGGAAAAGGTAACCAACAGATAAAATTATATTATACATCCATCATAAAGGTTATCATTTGGGGTACACGATACGAGCATAAAATTCCCGAAGAAACTTGAATATGGCCAGTGAGGTGATAAATGAGAAAATACTTTCCAAACTTTTTGTGCAAATAGAGAAATTACATTTTTGTCCCAGAATGAAGTATTCTTTTGGATCGCGGTTCTGCTATGTCCAAGCAGGACCACAATTTGCCTACTTTATTTTTCATAATTGCCACCAGACGACTACGTGACATTTCACCTGTCAACGAACTGGCGATCTCTTGAAGATATGTATAGCGATCGCCTAATGCGTGGATTCTTTTCACGATTGAACCACGTGTTATATCAAATAGTCTGCTTTTGATCTGGTGTAATGAGGATATAACACAAACTTTTATGCATTATGTATGTTTTTTTAATTGAATTTACCAAATTTTCATCACCAAACTATTCCGTATCTGATATCAAATCATTATGTAAAACAAACTTGCATTACGAAAGTACTCGCACGCAACTTATTTGTCAAGTTAAGTGTTTTCTCTTTAAAAACAAATATTCGTTATAAATATGATCTTACACTTAAGAGCAGGATTACGAGAAGATTATGGATGTCAGCCTAAATTCAACATCTCATACCGAAATTAATTTTATAAAGATTTATATATATATATAACACATACTAGCCAGTGTACCATTATTATAGATTTGATGCGTTTTAATCGAACTAAAGTTGAAACGTTTTTTCAACATAAAAAAACTGACTTTGACTTCATTATGTGGCGAGATGCTATCATGCACGTCCTATTGCATGTTACGATGTTGGATTTACGTTTCCACTAATGCGACGTATTGTAATAAAGGCAGTAGAATTTTTTCTAGATTTGTTTCGAAAATAAATAATAGGAAAGTAAATCGTGTTAACTTATTTTGGAAATTGAGTAATCGCTACTTACATCAATTCATAAGTTCAACTAGCTCGGGTATTCACGATCTTTGCTCTGAGGTTGCAGACAATTATAATTACACCACAACTTATCGAAACTAATATATTCGACTAAGTGATTTTCATGCGGAATCTTACTGGCGTTGTTTAATTAAACGCTGTGATATCGATCAAAACATATATTCTTGAAATCCCCCTGGGCTAAAAAAATTTTGGTGCTTAGAGCTTTAAAGCGTCGGTAGATTGTTTCATCAGATACGCTCGTTTTAAATCGCCCTGTTTTTCCGCGAGTAAGACCTACAGCGATAAAATTTATTAGGCAGTATTTTAATTGTTTTCATAATAATACAAAATTTTCGATTCGAAATTCGGAAAGCAAAAGTTCAGGCAAGTTTATACCGTGACCAGGGATATTGACATCTTAAGTAGGCTAATTGCGGAATCCGTGATAAAAATAGGATTATTTATAGTACTGTAATATATTCGCATAGAACCAGTACATGCAAATGTTACATATGTGCATTATGTTGACTTGTCGCTCAAATAGTGAACTTCTCCACAACATATAGTGATTTGATTTGCGCAAAAGTGTTCACTTTGCCAAAACACTATTCATAATTATATTTTGGTTTTTAATTACAGTTTTTAATTACATTTGTCGTGGACCATGCTTATCTCAATTGTAGTTATTGTTCTTGTTTATAATATTGAAGAAACAAATGGAAAACAAGGTAAGTTTTGAGCTCATAAACAATTTTCATTTATAACTTCAGTGTAATGTGAATAGTTAGGTTCTGGGAAATATTTTAATAAGGTTTAGGTATCATATAAACTGGAATTGAGTCAGATTTAGACATTTTCAGCCAAGTTTAGTTTTGGGATCATGCTGACTTGCTTGAAAAAGTCTAACTGAGAAAATAATAAAAATTCAACGATGTATTAAAAAACTTTCAACCAGTCTTTATGGTCGAGTATATCGTATTCCGGTTTGAATTCATGAACACCAACTTCGGCCCCATACCCCATACACATTTGGGTTTGGTGTTGAATACGGCTTAAACACTTTGCATAATGCATAAACTCCGTGTTTGTCTGGAAAGTTTATTCTAAATTATTTAAATATTTTGACTATTTTGTAATGAAAATTACGACGTGCTCTAAAAATAAACAATATGGTAGTTATCGTCCATAATAAACTTATAACTGTAGCTATATTATTATAGTAGTTCACTGCGGAGACGTAGGATTTTTACAATACGGAGACATTATAGCTTCGAGAGAACCTCCCTACACAGTGGGCACCGTTTTAGAGTTTGCTTGTGATAGGGGTTTCAAAGGAAAAGGCAAAAGACGCATTTCGTGTTTGAAGAGTGGCTATTGGTCGGATCCCGTACCGTATTGCGCACGTAGGTGTTATGTATTTTTCTTATAGAGTTTTTATTCAACCGAGTAACTTGCTTCAGTTACTAATGTATATATATGAATATGAATGGCATAAATCACAGAACAATCGTAATTATGGGTAATGTATTATGTTGACGTTCAGGGTGTAGTGAATTAAGTTACTTGTTTATAATGTTTTTTATTTATTTTCATTCAACTTTTTTGTATTTTCAATTTTATGAATCTACTGAATAAAGATGACCTTTTTATGTAACAATTTTATTTAATAAGCTAATTCATGCCAAAGAGATTTGACGAGGGTGGATGAACGAAGAAAATGTCGCAAGACTTGTATAACTAACCAAAATTGTAGAGGAGGTTTTAAGCAATGCTTGTGCGATGATTGGTGCGGAAAAACATGTTTTAATCCAGGTATCCCTATTCTCGTTATTTACAAGTATAAAAAGTGCATAATTGTGTTAGTTCCTTTATGTAGAGATTACTTTACTCAGATTTTTTCAGAGCGATGACATGAAGAATACTTTTAATATTCTGTCCGTTGCTTTTATTTATTCTAACGGCTTTGTTTACAATTTAACAATTAAAATTGAATGAATCCGACCAGAGCAAAAATAAATAACAAGCTCCTCAACTGATCCTTGGATATACCATGACTATTGTGCTTTTGTAGCTAGCTAAATCGATAGTTAAATGACATACTTTAGATGCGGATTGCGCTGTACCAAAAATTCCAGAAAATGGATACATTATCAAAAATAAAATATCATATGGAAACACAATAACGTATGGATGCAATGAAGGATTTACTCTTGCTGGTCCAATAACAAGAAGATGCCAATCTGACAGGAGATGGTCAGGAAACGAACCAAAATGTGCTGGTGAGATGGTGATGTTTTTTTACATGGTAATACCATATTTGAATGTACTGAACTCAAATATATTATTCTATTTCGATATTTGCTTGGGATATTGGTAACTGAGGTATATAGTCCTTGTCCATTCCTGTACTTGTTCTAATTCATATAATATTAAACGTACATTCGCATTGCGGAGCTTTGTATTCTTTCTTGAATTATACCCCAATGAACATGAAGAATTTTGCGTTTATATGAATTCAGATATATAGATATTATTAAATCGCACCTTTCAAGTGTCAATTACTATCTTATACACATTGCTTACAATTGGTAAAAATATTTACAGAAACATTTCTGTACATTTTAAATAGTTTCTCAAGTTAGATATATATATAGAAGACTTCTGTATAAGATCACATGAACATGTGTATTGATCAAACTCGTAAGGTTAGCAATGTTTCATAATCAATGTTTTTACAAACTGTTCCTAAAAGCTTTTAGTTCATGTGGACATTCCACCTTCGAAACCCATTCTAAAATTTTTGGGAAAGTGCACCTCGGAACAGATGCTGAGAATGGGGAATGGCCGTGGCAAGTTTTATTGTTCCACAAGAATAAAAATCTTGTTAGAAAGGTATAGTAATGCATACTTTTTTCGCATATTCTTTGCGACAATTTGGACATTCATTACTTTAAATGCATCATCAATACAAATAATTCAATAGATTCCGACTACCTTGGTGTATCGGTAAGTGACGCCTTTTAACTCCGAGAAGCTGTGAAAGCGACTAAATGTAGCCGGTCGGATTGTAAACTAGGCTATGTAGCTGGCTATATTCCTGAATTATTTCGTCTGTCTAATACGACTGGCACTGACTTGCAATGTATCATATTGATTGCAATGTGGAAAATGCTACAGCATGCTGCGGTTCAGAATATTGTGATGGAGTTAGGTTCTTCTGTATAGCTTCAGGTATTGCTTACTTCATATATATTTAAAGAATTTTCGAAGCTTCCAACTACGAGTCAAGTGACTGTTGAACAAACCTGCTTGATTAACGTTAGACAAAGTAAACAAACAGCCCATGAATCAATAAAAAAAACTCGAATATTCATCCACGAACGGCAAGGTGAATTCAGAAAACTAAGTCTTGCTTTGGCCTAAATCCCAAACTAAAAAGACGCCGCCAAATGCGCAGGTAAAAACTTGGGATCGATGCACGTGATATCTTTATGATGTCATAATTGGCACAGTATTCAATAACCCGTGATACTACTAAAAATTAAATATGGGAAATGTTGATCGTTACTGTATCTTTTAATGTCGACACAATAAATCGAATGACATACAAATTTTAACTTTTATTTAGTAGCGCAATTGCGAAGTACATAAAAAAGTAATTTGCCACTGAAAATTCTGTAAAAAATAAATGATGAGTCAAGAAAACGGAAGGATCAAAAAACGGGAATTCCACATTACCATAAAAAAAAAATTCGAACTCAAATGTTATTCATAGAATTATTGAACGACACTCAGCCTAATGTGTCAATAATTGGGGATAAGTAAGGCTGCTACAATAAGTAGGCTGCTACAATGTAAAGTTCTATATGACAATCCAATATCCATCGACGAAGCAGGCTATTCAAATTGAAACTATACATACATCACTATTTCAAAAAAAAATCGCAAACATGTCTGGGTCGCAATAGATATAAAAATATGGTGCAAAACACTGACCCGAAAGTAACACCAATCTATTTCATTGATTAATGTTTTGTTGAAGTTTTATGACAAAACGTCTGGATTTGGTGGTGGATCAATCATCAATGGCCAATGGATTTTATCAGCTGCTCATGTGTTTGACCCTCTTCCGTATCGAAATCCCGAAAAATATTTTTTAATTGCTGCCGGTAAGTTCTAGATTTGGTTTTGTAAATAATGAAAAGATATCAAATTTCGAATTTGTAAATTCGGAATTGGTATATGTGTAAAGTCTGGTTTCGCATGTGTATGAAAATAACTGACTAGAACCTTTGTTTGCGGAATACGTATAGGGCAACAGTTTCGGGAGCGAAACAGGTGGTTACATAAATAGAGAATGTTTGATAGTACTTTTGTTTGATGATACTTCAATATTAGGTTATGTTTTACGCTTTTGCAAGTATCTATGTAATTGTTTCATAGTTTTAAAAAATCATAATTGTTATAACCAAGGATGGTTTCAAAAGTTTGATTTTTTCATTTGCTAATATGAAAGCATGCAATTTTAATCTAATGATTCACCATCACCCATTTTTTGCTAATGTTCTTTTAGGAATGACCAAATACCCCACCGAGGACCAAGACATTCCAGATCAAATCAATTTTTATGAAGCCGAAAAAATACGAAAACACCAAGATTATGATTCATCAACTTTTGACTACGATATTGCAATGGTATGTTTCAAAAAATGAGTAGCGCCTGGGGTGGTTATGTATCTCAACGTGTTGTGGTAAACTGAAGGCAACCGCAATTGATTGTAAACAGTACGTCAATTTGCAAGGTTTACATTTACAATTGTTATAACTTATCATTAGCATTAGCTCTATATTTTCATCCCCACTTACACCCCGTGTCAACTTAACACTATCCACGTGTCTTACATATCCACATGAGTTTCAGTTAGTCTTGTTTTCAGTGAAACTTAAGCTAATTCATATGAATTGCTTCTTTCGTGCCAATACGGTTTCTTCTGACTTCATCAGAAATCACATATAAATCATATTTTTGATTGAAGGCAACCATGAACTTACTCTGACCAAAATTTCATAACATTTAAAACCTCAAAATTAATTCAAGCAAACTGCATTATTTTAATTCGAGCTGTATGAGCTGCAGTTGCTTGATCAAAACAGTAAGTTAACAAATATAGTGGTTGGCTGTCATTACATTTAAAACCATTTTCTGAGTCTGTAGAAAAACTTTCTGTAAATGCAATTCATAATTTTGGTTTTTATTTTATGTCGATGTCATATTTCTGCAGATTAGAGTTGGAAAAAGACTTAAGCGAGAAGGAAATATTTTTGTACACGATATAGATGAAATAGACGGTTCAATCACTTTCTCACAGTATATTCGTCCGGTATGTCTTCCGTGCATGAAAGGCGATATGTTGCAAAATGTTGATATTTGGAAAAATTTCGATAAAAGGCTTTGTAATTTTAAAAGTAAGTAGTCTGATCAGATTAATTTTTAAGAACAAAATATGATACCTGAGTAGTTCTTTAAGCGAGATATATTTGGATATATTTTCAGGTAGATCGTCAATGCCGTATGGTTTTAGCGCAGGTGAAAAAGCAATCGTTACAGGGTTTGGAGAGAAAAGGGATTCTGATGCTGAACACCACTACCGGCCGAGTTCATTGCAAAGAGGCGAATTGGAAATTCTGGGTGACAACAAGTACGTAAAAATATTTCATTTAAAATTTAAAGGTTTAGTGTGAATAAAATTGGAATGGTGACACACATTCGAGGCATTATGCCTAGAATGAAACTACAAACGACTCCAAAGTTTAAAATTTAATTACATATGGAGGTGTCGTAATTTAAATTGGTTGTTTTGTTTCAAAAAGATGTGTCGATGCGATAAGAAAAATCCAGGGAGAGGATAGTGACGCTCGATATACAAACAGGATGATTTGTGCTGTAAGTGCAAATAAAACGCTAAACGTTGATGCGTGCAAAGGAGACAGTGGGGGACCACTTGTTAAACAGGTACTTACTTCTTTATTGAACACTGGCCAATGTTTCCAGAACAGAGTATATATTCCCAACTTTGGGATTATTTACAACTTCTTCATTATCTGTAACTTGTCAAATAGAACATATATAATCTTCATTACAACTTGAAAATATGCCCACGAAAGAAAAATCTCATTCCACATAGCACAAGTTTTACTACGCTCTTTATATTCTAGACGAATGACTTAAGAAGCAAAGCTTGTGTTATATGAGATTCTACTTTCCTGTTGCTATAAACTCTCAATTTCCTATTCAAACCTCTCTGTGAAACAGGTCGCATATGTATATAGCAGTACGCGAAACTCACATCGAAGGATAGTCAGTTTGCCATGCAACGCACAACACATTACTACAAGATCTATAAATATCTTATGTATGAGGTGGGAATATACCGTTCATCGGATTCATGTGATATTTCAATTCTCTCGAATTGTTCAGAATTGGCTTTAACATCATTGCGTGTCTGCGACAAAATAGCGAAAAATTACCATAGCTCTTCGCCTATAGCTAAACCGTAGCAGCTCGACTATAACAAAGCCGGAGCGATGGCACGTAGATTGCCATTTTTATAATATGCAATCCATATTGTATTATATAACTGTCGTAATAGGAGAATAACTGAAAAAAAAAAAATATTATTATCTTTTTTGCGTTTTAGTTGGGGAAATCATCGGACTACACACAGTGGTTGCAAATTGGTGTCGTTAGTTGGGGATGGAAATGTGGAAATGAATATCCTGGATTCTACACATCTGTTCCAAAATTAATGCCTTGGATTTGGAAGACTTTAGACGATTCTAAAAATAAGATAGGTCGGTTATTACAATAGTTTTGAATAACGGTATTCATGCCGGATATTCAGCGACATATTTGCATGTACGAAGCGCACCAGACAGAAGCCCAGTCTTACACAGAAGATGTGTTATATTTGAAGAATGGAAATCTTTACACACAATTCAACTCGGCCTCTATCTATTTCAAGTAGGCTATAACGTTTGAAATATTATGTGAAACAGGGCAAATAGAACGTTATTCTAGAAAATGAGTTGGTTTGAACGGCATCAAAACTTAGGTGAAACACTTTTAGTTGTGTTTATGTGTCATTTCTCTGTAATTCATATTGAATATTAAATAATATTACAGTTTTAGATTACTGTTTGTCAAGTCCATGCAAAAATAACGGTGATTGTCAAAATAAAAAAGACGGATTCTCTTGCTCTTGCGTTTCTGGATACCGTGGAAATCGCTGTGAAATTAGTAAGAATATTTGTCGATATTGTTTATATTATAGGGTGAAACAGGACACGGATCGTACATAGGAATTGTTTTGCTAAATTGTTATTGTTGTTGTTGGTGAGGTGATGAAACAATTGCTTTACTTCAATAAATAATGAGTCGAAACGTTTTCGATGTCCAAAAGAATTCACTGCTTGAATTTGATTAAAAAGGAAAACCTTTTTTTTTAATATTGCTCATCTTATCGAATTCGGAATTAATGTGTCGATACCGATGTCATCTCTTTGTGTCCAAATTTTTGAGCGTTATCTCTTAATTCACCTTGAATTATTCGGCCTCCTCCATTAACCAACTTATGTTATATTTTATTTGTAGAGATAAATGACTGTATTCCGAACCCATGTTTTAATGAAGGAACTTGTCATGATAAAGTGAATGATTTTTCGTGTTCTTGTGTTGACGGATACAAAGGGAAACTATGTGAAATTGGTAAACATGATATAAAATAATGAGAAGACATAGGTAAAACCCAACACAGTCGGATGGCATATATACAGTATTATTCATGCCTAGTCCAACTCTATAAGGTATTAATGGTATTTTCCAGTTAATGTTCTATAGTAGAGTCGTATATTTCACGAAAAAAAGACTCCAGCCGTGACGCAAAGTGCGAATGGTATAAATAGCGTCGATTTTTCAAAATCGCCAGTCAGAAGTGTGATATTGTTGACGCGACTCAGACAGGAAATCAATAACATTAACACCTTTATAATGACTTATTATTGGTTTAGCACGTATTTTCAGTCATATATACCATCCTTGGCGCTGTGATGTTTTGATAAATATGATTTCGACTGCACCCTACTTGGCAGAAGTATCGAGATTTTTTAAACGTGAAAAAAACGTAAAATTAATGGTAATTTTCACGCGTAACGGCGCGCATTAGAATGTTTACGTCTTTCTACGCGCATATTCGTCGGAAAAAGTAACATTTTTTGCATTGAGGGGGGCGTGTGCAGTAATAATTAGAGGTGTGACGTCATCAAAATTGTCAATTGAAGCCTTGAACTTATAAATTCGGAAAATGCAATCGTGAATTTAAGAGTAACCATTTTTGCTATAATAGTGGTTATGGTGTTGTTCTGTTGGAAAATAACACAAGAAAACGTTGAAACAAAAATTTATTAATCAGGAATAATTATTAACCTTCTATTAGACACAAAATCTCGCAAGTTCAATGAAATTTTGGAATTTTGGCGTATAAAAAATCTTTTTAGAGGAGTGCGTTTTACATATATTGCTCTATAACACGCTATTAAAAGGCCATGAGTGAAGCTTTAGGGCTTGATGGTTGACAAAAAAATGACCCAATGGTACCAGACCGACCGGCTGTGTTGGGAGTTTAGTGAATTAATTAACCACGTCAATGCACCAGTAAACTTTAAATGGCAATCATTCTTGTACTGCTTTATACTCTGCCTTGTAACAGTCTGTATGTTGCTAAACGGTGTTTCGGTCTACCCATTGATTCCAATTTCCTATAGTAATGGCTACCGTAATAACTTTTAATTGCAGATAAGAAACATATCACTAACTTTAAATTCTATAATGTCTATAGTTTATCTATTTCAAGAGAGAAAATGATTTAAACTGCGTTTTATGTCCAGTAAAATATTCGTAACTCTGCTGAAGCTCTTGTCAACTCTATTCCACAGCTAGACGTATTATTGTGACGACCCCTCAATTCCTTTGATCATTATAAAATTTCTAGACATAGATGATTGTTCACCAAATCCTTGCATGAACGGTGGATCATGCAAAGACAAAATCAACAATTTCCTATGTACTTGTCCTGAAGGATACAGCGGAAAGAAATGTCTAACTGGTATAGTAAAAAATTCAATAAATTTTGAGTATTTGAACAAATATTTTACTAATGTGAAAAATGATTGTTTTACATTGCAGACATCAACGACTGCCTTCCAAATCCTTGTCAAAATGAGGGGAAATGCGTCGATAGAGTAAATGACTATTTGTGTTCATGTGTTGATGGATTCAAAGGAAAAAGATGCGAAATAGGTATAAAATTAAATATAAGAAAATGCTTGGTTACTCAATATCAATGAAAATTGTTTCGAATTATTCATTCACGGATATTGAATATTGCTCAACAAACCCATGTTTAAATGCTGGATTTTGCAACGATTTTGCATTTCGTTTACTTGTTTCTGTCCGAAAGATTACAAAGAAACAAAGTGTGGATTTGTTATATTTACTGGTTTAGTTAAAGATTACAGATACATCCAATAATCAATTTGAGAAATATGAACATGTACCGGTAATTGGTAGATCTATGCTCCTGTATTGAAAAAGAAACACAAACATTGCTAGGAATTAGAATTTCATTACAGAAATAAACAACTGCAGACCTAATCCATGTGGGAATAGAGGTGTGTGTGCGACAAAACCAGGAGGGTATTCGTGTTACTGCGTTATCGGCTTTCGAGGAACGAGATGCGAGTCAAGTAAGTAAAACGTTTTGATTAAGTATTAGCTAACCAGGGGAATTCTTGCCTATTGCCTAGCAAAAAAACGGCTTTGTCTGCCCCTTTTTATTAGCTTTTTTTTTCATGTTTTTTTTCATGTTTTTTTTTTGGGGGGGGCAACAGGACATAAATGATTTAATACTGTTGTTATTGATGGCTCCAAAAAAAGCGGTGTTAAGTCAATGATACGAATCTATTTTTCTTTTATTGAAACCCCGTGTCAACTACCGTGATAACTTGTTGTTTCAGCTAAGAAACACAATACCGACTTTATAATCTATAATGTGTATAGTTCCAATATACTATATACAGTTTTAAACGTATTCGTATTCCTGTCTCTCGCCGAAGCTTTTACCACCTCAAATCGATTCGATTGCCAGACGTATTATAATGAAGACTTGACAACTTCATGAGTCACTATAAAATTTTAGACATTAATGATTGCTCAATGAATCCTTGCATAAACGGTGGAATATGCAACGACAAAATCAACTATTTTCCATTTACTTGTGCTGAAAGATACACGAAAAGATATGTCAAATTCGCATAGTAGAAATGTCAATAAATTTTGAGTATTTGAACATAACATTTTACCGAGAGGAAAAATTGATTGTTTTACATTTCCAATTTACTCTGCAGACATCAACGACTGCCTTCCAAATCCTTGTCAAAATAAGGGGAAATGCGTCGATAGAGTAAATGACTTTTCGTGTTCGTGTGTTGATGGATTCAAGGGTAAAAGATGCGAAATAGGTATAATACTCAAATAAGAACATGCTTGGTTACTCAATAACAATGAGAATTGTTTTGAAATATTTATTCACGGTTATTTGATTATTGCTCAACGAACCCATGTTTAAATATTGTATTTTGTAGCAATAATGTGAACTCTTTCACTTGTTCCTGTCCGGAAGGGTACAAAAGAAGAAAGTGTGGATTTGGTGCATTAACTGGTTTGGTTAGAGATGTTACGTGTAATAATCAACTTAAGAAATATAAACATGTAATTATTAGATCTAAACACGAAATTTCTAAGAATGGCGATTTCATTGCAGAAATAAACAACTGCAGACCTAATCCATGTGGGAATGAGGGTGTTTGTACAACAAAACCAGGAGGGTATTCGTGTTTCTGCCCCAATGGGTTTGAAGGAACGAGGTGCGAGTCAAGTAAGAAAAAACGCTTGGATTTAGTATTAGCTTAGCAGGAATTTCCTGCTTTTTTGCTAGAAAAAATGAAAATAGCTTTTGTCTGCCCTTTTTTATTATCTTTTATTTTTCTATATTTGTTTGGGGAACGTACCAGACATAAATTATTTGATGTTTCTTTAATTGGTGGATGCAACGAACTGCGGTGTTAATTAAGTCGACAATGAATCTATTTTCCTTTTATTGAAACTCTGTGGCGACTACCGTGTTTACTTGTCATTTCAGCTAAGAAAGGGGGCACCAACGTTAAAGTCTATATGTGCATAGTTTAATATACTACATAGAGGTTATAAACCTATTCATACCCCTGTCGCTCGCAAAATCTTTTCCCTAATGATTTCCATTGCCCGACGTATTATTATAAAAAGTTGACAATTCTATAAGTCTTTATAAAAAATTTAGACATCAATGATTGTTCACCAAATCCTTGCATGAACGGTGGATTGTGCAAAGACAAAATCAACGATTTCCTATGTACTTGTGCTGACGGATACAGAGGAAAGAAGTGCCAAACTGGTATAGTAAAAATATCAATAAAATTTGAGTATTTAATCATAACATTATACTGAGGAGAAAAAATGATTGTTTCACATTTCCAATTTTCTCTGCAGATATCAACGACTGCCTTCCAAATCCGTGTCTAAATGGTGGGAATTGCGTCGATAGAGTAAATGACTTTTCTTGTTCATGTGTTGGTGGATTCAAAGGGAAAAGATGCGAAATAGGTATAATATTTAAAAAAGAACATGCTTAGTTCCTCAATATCAATAAAAATTGGTTTCTAAATATTTTATTCACGGATATTGATACGGGTATTGCACGAATATTTGGCAGCAATAATGTGAACTCTTTCACTTGTTTCTGTCCGGATGGATATAAAAGAAGAAAGTGTCAATTTGGCATATTTACTGGTTTAGTTAAAGATGATTCATGTAAAGATCTACTTGAAATATATAAACATGCAATTAATAGATCTATGCTTGTGTATCGTAAAAGAAACATTGCTAAAAGTGGCGATTTCATTGCAGAAATAAACAACTGCGATCCTAATCCATGTAGGAACGGAGGTCTGTGTACAACAAAACCAGGAGGGTATTTGTGTTTCTGCCCTAACGGTTTTCGAGGAACGCGATGCGAGTCAAGTGAGTAAAATATTTGAATTTGAATGAAATATTGTATTTGCTAAGAGGGGCATTTCCTGCTTACTGACTTGCGAAAGCAAAAAAAACGGCAATTTTTTTCTCATTTTCAGTATCTTTACTTTTTCAATATCTGTTTGCAGACATCAACGATTGCCTTCCCAATCCGTGTCACCATGGGGGGAAATGTCACGATAAAGTAAATGACTTTTTTTGCTCATGTTTAGAAGGATATAAAGGAAAAAAATGTGAAACAAGTAAATTTCTGAATTTTATTCAACTCATTTTATTAGATTGAACTGGCTTATTGCTGTTTATCAATAAACACCAAGGAATATAGAGAGGATATTGGTTTATTAGAGTAATTAGAGATCATTCTGACAATGATAATAAATTGATCTGTCATTTATTGTCATTTCAGGTACAAATTATTGTCAGAGCTCACCCTGTAAAAACGAAGGAAGATGTCGAAACTTACCTAGAGGTTTCGAATGTTTCTGCCGTGCTGGTTTCAGCGGAAATACTTGCGAAATAGGTGATTTGGAAGCCATTATTGTTGTTAAAAAAATGAAAATCAAATCTAATAATAGCTTATGTTTGAATAACTTTTTAAATAATGTAATTGAATTTTTAGGCAGATATTGCAGCCAAAATCCTTGCTTTAATGGCGGAAAATGCTACGAAGCTGTTGATGGCTTTACTTGCAAATGTCCTTCTGACTTCATGGGTAGAAAATGTGAAGTGGGTGAGTTTAAAGATGTAAAGGTGAACTAAAAACTTTCAGAAAAACCAGTTGTGCTTTGAATATATAAGCTAATGCATTAAAAGTTTTGTATGCCAGACGTTTTAACTTTGACGACAACAAGTATAAAACACTTGAATTGTTCTCATTTATATTTTTGCTACAAATGAGAAATAGTTTGTTTATATTATAAATTATAATTGGTTTTTGCTATAGTTGGAAACCAACTTTTGGTTTCTTATTAGCTAAGACGTGCAAGAGAGATTTAAGATTGGTCGAAACAGGTCACATACGTCGCAAGCAGTGTTCGAGATACATAAAGTGTGGTGGATCTATAAAAAAGTGTCGATGCGATGGCGGGTGTGGGATGTCATGCTTTTATCCGAGTAACCATTAATAAGTAACCTAATTATTTCAAAGATCGTAAATTACTGCTCTAGAATCTGGAAGCTGAACAGAAACTTTATGGACATAACTTAACGTTGTATATTTAACTTTCCCAAGTGCAAAAAATGCATAAAAATTTCATCTAGAAAAACTTTTGATATTGACCAAAATATCTGGATTTGATATCCACGTACGCTTAAAAATGTAACAGTATCTTAGGATAGGATAGGATCTTTGCATCTTATATCAAGAGTAATACAAATCTTTTAGGGTAAAATTAGAAAAGAATGCGTAACAGAAGGGCAAATGTTGGGTCTCGTTTTCGGAATATCGCTAGATGTGTCTTAATTCAATAGGACGTGATTTAAACCGCTTAAGGCACAGATACTATCAACGAACAACGCACAATTAGTGCCAATATGTGGCATTGTTTTGCATTTTTAAAATGTCAGTTCTTGAAAAGATTTGTAGGCAGTCTGATGTAAGAAAAATACCTGATTCATCATTTTCCTGGTAATATTTGGATTATCTGAAATTATGAGAGACATTTTATGACAGACGCAGAATGTCCACCATTAGAAAATCCAAAAAATGGATACGTCGTTGTGGGAAAAGTTACTTACGGAAGCGTTGTAAAATACGTTTGCAATGATGGATATACTCTGGTTGGTCTGGATGAAAGAGTTTGTACTTCAAGCAGAAAATGGTCTGGACTTGAACCAACGTGTGTCGGTACGTTAGAAAACTATTCGGTTGAATAGCATTAAAAATGAGGTCGTAGCATTCGTCGAAAATATTGATAATCTATTTTTGTTTTTAATACGATTGCCTTCCCAATCCGTGTCACCATGGGGGGAAATGTCACGATAAAGTAAATGACTTTTTTTGCTCATGTTTAGAAGGATATAAAGGAAAAAAATGTGAAACCAGTAAATTTCTGAATTTTATTCTACTCCATTACTTGTCATTTTATTAGATTGAACTGGCTTATTGCTGTTTATCAATAAACACCAAGGAATATAGAGAGGATATTGGTTTATTAGAGTAATTAGAGATCATTCTGACAATGCTAATAAATTGATCTGTCATTTATTGTCATTTCAGGTACAAATTATTGTCAGAGCTCACCCTGTAAAAACGAAGGAAAATGTCGAAACTTACCTAGAGGTTTCGAATGTTTCTGCCGTGCTGGCTTCAGCGGAAATACTTGCGAAATAGGTGATTTGGAAGCCATTATTGTTGTTTGAAAAAATGAAAATCAAATCTAATAATAGCTTATGTTTGAATAACTTTTTTAAATAATGTAATCGAATTTTTAGGCAGATATTGCAGCCAAAATCCTTGCTTTAATGGCGGAAAATGCTACGAAGCTGTTGATGGCTTTACTTGCAAATGTCCTTCTGACTTCATGGGTAGAAAATGTGAAGTGGGTGAGTTTAAAGATGTAAAGGTGAACTAAAAACTTTCAGAAAAACCAGTTGTGCTTTGAATATATAAGCTAATGCATTAAAAGTTTTGTATGCCAGGCGTTTTAACTTTGACGACAACAAGTATAAAACACTTGAATTGTTCTCGTTTATATTTTTGCTACAAATGAGAAATAGTTTGTTTATATTATAAAATATAATTGGTTTTTGCTATAGTTGGAAACCAACTTTTGGTTTCTTATTAGCTAAGACGTGCAAGAGAGATTTAAGATTGGTCGAAACAGGTCACATACGTCGCAAGCAATGCTCGAGATACATTAAGTGTGGTGGATCTATGAAAAAGTGTCGATGCGGTGGCGGGTGTGGGATGTCATGCTTTTATCCGAGTAACCATTAATAAGTAACCTAATTATTTCAAAGATCGTAAATTACTGCTCTAGAATTTGGAAGCTGAACAGAAACTTTATGGACATAACTTAACTTTGTATATTTAACTTTCCCAAGTGCAAAAAATGCATAAAAATTTCATCTAGAAAAACTTTTGATATTGACCAAAATATCTGGATTTGATATCCACGTACGCTTAAAAATGTAACAGTATCTTAGGATAGGATAGGATAGGATCTTTGCATCTTATATCAAGAATAATACAAATCTTTTAGGGTAAAATTAGAAAAGAATGCGTAACAGAAGGGCAAATGTTGGGTCTCGTTTTCGGAATATCGCTAGATGTGTCTTAATTCAATAGGACTTGATTTAAACCACTTAAGGCACGGATACTATCAACGAACAACGCACAATTAGTGCCAATATGTGGCATTGTTTTGCATTTTTTAAATGTCAGTTCTTGAAAAGATTTGTAGGCAGTCTGATGTAAGAATAATACCTGATTCATCATTTTCCTGGTAATATTTGGATTATCTGAAATTATGAGAGACATTTCATGACAGACGCAGAATGTCCACCATTAGAAAATCCAAAAAATGGATACGTCGTTGTGGGAAAAGTTACCTACGGAAGCGTTGTAAAATACGTTTGCAATGATGGATATACTCTGGTTGGTCTGGATGAAAGAGTTTGTACTTCAAGCAGAAAATGGTCTGGACTTGAACCAACGTGTGTCGGTACGTTAGAAAACTATTCGGTTGAATAGCATTGAAAAATGATGTCGTAGCATTCGTCGAAAATATTGATAATCTATTTTTGTTTTTAATATCAATACATAATTATCTCATTATATATATTAGCATCCAAGTGAATTTTACTATATATAGTAAATGTATTTATTATACACCTGCAATATATATTAAATTTATGAATCAAAGCAAAGAATAACATTCTCATATGCAGATTTTTCCGAATGTGGTGTAACTGGGCCCCTAGATCCAAACCTTCACAACCAATTGGCAACCAGACGAGTGAAGAGAGTGGTAGGCGGCGATGATGCACCGGACAATGCTTGGCCTTGGCATGCATCGATTTTAGTCGCAGCAGTAGAGGTACACGTAAACTTACACCAGTGGCTTTCAAATACGAAAATACTTTTGAGATTGTCAAAGATATTTTTGAATACCACATTTTTTTAAATTATCAGGAAACTATTGAAAACCTTCTCAGCATACAATAATGAAAAATATATTTAATCGTGTATAAAAATAGATAGAATTTACTTCTGGAAGATATATAGGTGGTCTCCTTCCATTTATCATGCATGTGTTACTGCAACTCCTACTCCGACCTTTTTCTATTTTCACGCTTTCTTGTATTTCAGTCAGGAAATATCAATGTCTCTGATACTCTAAAGCGATGGGAACTGACAATAGCTGGAACAATAATAAACAAACAGTGGATATTAACTGTGACACATCCAACTGAACACATGCCCCTGGAAAATTTTTACCGTCATCAGGTCATTGTAGTTGGTTAGTAAGCAAATATACCGTGTTGTATTGTCCAATGAGTGTAGTATTTCGCTGCTTCTGAATAAAACTCTAAGGCCTAATCCCAAAATTCACAAATAAACTGTCATTTTTATATGCATGCGAACTGCGCTGGAATAATTTACTTTTTTCTTTTGTGGCGATTATTTAATATTCTCATTAAATACGAAAAAAAACTGTTACCTAGAGCTTATACGACTGCTCGACATTTGTTTTGAATCAGCAAGTCAACATTAATATGTCGAAACAAAAACTAAAACGAAGGAAGTGTTCGGAGTAGAATAAAGCTCGCCTCTTTTGTGTGTGAGAGATCAGAATCTTGATATAAATATAATATTGGATGTATTATTGCAAACCTTTTGGAAGTAAGACTCTGGCTGACAAATAAATCGGATATTGTCGATTCGTTTTATAATAGATTACTACTTCAATAGAATATTTGCAATAGAATTGAGAATTGAAAGATGAAGTGTAAGTTTATAGATTCTAAACTTCCGTATTGACTTTATTGGTGCAGATTACAAAATTCAAACGCCCATTTAAATTTGCTAATTTTGCTTTTTAAGGAGTTTCTAGTCGTTCATTTGTGAAAAACACAATAAAGACCACTGTACAAATGTTCAGAATTTCGAAATATATTCTGCACGAAGAGTTCAACAAGCTTACATTCCAAAATGACATTGCTCTGGTAAGTTCGCACTCTATCCCCAAATCTTGTTCAGCAATGAACGAGGTATAATGTTGGTGTCTCAAATATGTCATGTGTCTCTTGTATGAATCCCACTTTTTATGATTACTTATATCATTTGTGTCTACCTTCGACTCAGAACAGTGGAACGAGTAGGCTATGGGAATTTGAGACAAGTCTGCTGAAAGGCCTAATTTACTTATTGGTGTGAAGAATACAGTTTGGACTTGAATTATAATGTCAAAACGATTCAAAACATTGTACTCGAGCCATATATTTGTTTTACCTACTACAAGTTATATTTAGATAAAACTGGGCGAAAGATTATTCCCAAGATCTACTGTTCCTTTCGTCAATATAAAGGAGATAACGTTTAATGCTGCTGTGCGACCGGTTTGCCTTCCCTGTACACAGAAGTGTGTGACAAGTAGTCACATCGGTCACAATTTTAAGAGTGGATGGGACATGGAAAAAAAATGTGAAGCAGAAGGTAGCTACAACATCTATATGTTTTTGTATTTGCTCATATATTACGTCAGAGATTTTGATTAACCCTGAAATCACGCTCAGGATGAAGTGTATAATAAAAATTGTCACTTTCGACATTATGTCAAACTACCGGATAATAAGCGGATAACAGGTTATTCAAATTTGAATAACATCCCAGTCGTATTGTTGGGCACAATTTTAAGCTCAATTCTTGTATTGTTGATACTTTAGGGTGGTCAACTCAAACTGTTTGTGCAATGTTGAACATCAGTTTTTTTTTGTTTATTGAAGGTGAGTTCCTCGTTAAGCCAGGGATCAAAATTGTTTTGACCGGGTTTGGAACAAATGAAACTGATTACAATATTCATACCTTCCCAGATCGTCTTCAACAGGTTGTTTTGGAAGTGGGTGATAAAAACAGGTAACTGAACTCATTTTATTTTGAAGTACTCAGACAATAGACACAAAAACAAGAAAAAATCTAGATTCAATCTAATAAACATTATTGAAAATCATCAGTATATGAGTTGTTATCTTAATATTCAATGTATATTTTCAAAATCGCAAAATAAAATTCCTCGGTGTTTTCGTTATAACTTAGGATAAAATTATTTCAGTTGCCAAAGAGGAATAGACGACATCAGTTTCATTCGTAGAGTTGATTCATTCGATGTGTTTAATTCAACTTTCTGTACCGTTTCATCAATACCTCATAAAGTAATGGCAGGGTGTATAGGAGACGGTGGGGCTCCTGTCGTGAGGAAGGTAGATTTGTTATCATATGGCATCATTATGTTCCATTATATAACTTCAATATTTACTGTCCATATAGCAAAATACTTCTGTAACTGCACTCACAATTTCACAGAATTTAATTTCTGATTTATACGCGGCAACAGTTTGACGCATTCATGTAAATCGGTGCACTATCATAACCTCATCGGACAGTTTCTAAGAAATATGAAAAAATACCAAATGAAATGTGTGATATTTTATGCAATCCCATCTCATACTTAGTTGTAATTAGTACAGAGATAAAACAATCGATCATTTTAATGAATCCCATTCATTTAATCAAAGTTATTGAACATAACGCCCTGTTGCCAGATAACTCAACGAGATGGCAGCGTTTGCTGGGTTCAAGTTGGCATCAGCAGTTTTGGAGCTCAATGTGATGGGAAAATACCAGAATTCTACACAAAAGTTGCGAATCATATAAACTGGGTACAAGAAACAATGCTGAAAAATTAACCCAGAAATCCTCCAAACAATCGTTCCATATTTTTGTATCACAGAATTGTGTATATGAGATGAAGAGTGAACATTATCAAGAATTCAGTATCTCATTTCATACGATACGATTATTTCATGTCTATTATTCTTCCAAAAATCCCCGTTAAATGTATATTATGTAGAAGGTAACTTGTTCGAAGAAACCATATTACAGCAAGTTAAAATGTAATCCACAAGTTGATGAAAAAAATGAAAGCAAAGCGAAGCTGCATTCTTCAGTTAATGTGATAGTAATTGTTAAGGGTTTTTAATAAATATATTTTGAGTTTGGACTATTTTTTTACTCCTATCAAGTTTAGAAAACAATTCAATAGCACGTACGGACAGCGAGTTTTACTGAACAACGCACTCACTATAGGGCTTGAATATTATATCGCTGAACTAGCTCTACACACATACACTTTATATCCGAAAATTTGAATTCACTAAAATTTGTATAATAATAGGCACGGAAATAACAGTAGTCATCTAAATATTGTGATCTAAAAGTAACCAACAATTTTGAAACTGAGAATTTAAACTGTTAGAAGAGGTGGGGTGGGAATTAGAATTACTATATATATCGATATGCATGATTCGCTGTTAAGGTTCTATATATCGAATACAACAATTATTAATACAATAATACATCTCTACATGTAAAAAAGAAAATTTAGAAATCTACGGAGTCCCTCCCAGCGAAAACGAATATACCGATGAGCTTGTTATGAAAATATCGAAACTTGTGAATGTGAATATTACACAACCCGATATCTCATTCAGTCATCGATTTTCTACTAGAAATATCACTAGCAGGAGAATTCAGTACAAAATATTCGAAAACCCGAGGCGTTTAAAACACACATCAAAGTATGATAGACATATCAAAAATGTTATTGCATAAAACTTAACAAAAAGAAATAAAGATCTATTTTTTCTAACCAAATGTCTTAAAAATAGATTCATACAAGCCTCATTACGGACTGTCGATGGCAAAAAAAAATTACTCAAACCGCTATTAATGTTTTGCTATTTATGGCTAAACTATGACATCTATTAATAACTCAGATGTATTCATCACCCACCAACAACAAACTCTCTTGACCAACACCACTTGGAAATCTTTAACCATCTCTTCAACGATTTGTTCCAACAAATGAAATTACTTTGATCCCAGTAATATTAGATTTAAACCTTCAGATTTGATTACAATTTACTCGAATGTCAGATAAATTACGAAACTTAACGATAGTCTAATCTAACTGTTAACTTGCTTTTATTATGCCCCCGTGTTTTAAAATTTGGGTCATATAGCAGTAATCTATGGATATATGAAATAAATGCTGGAGTACATATTGTGAACTACTTCCGTGACCGACAATAAAATAGATGAATGAATGCAATCCCATATGTGATGTTAGTACGCTGTTAGTTGGCATATATAGGTGGGTCCACAGCTACTAGACTACAGTCACTCTTACCTAAGTTAGGCATTTAAGGATTTTTGATACCAATTTTTCACGAAGTATGCAAACACCACAGCATTTGTTAGGGTGCATGTGGCACATACTTGTCTTAGGCCAGTAAGGTATTGGACATGTATGCCGTCTTGGTCATACCGTTTAATTAGTATGTAGATACTGTTACAAATAAACACACATACATGTTAACCTGAATTCATACCAAGAACATGCCGAACTACTGTTAACGAGCAAAACTTTCCCCTCGTTAGTTTGCGAGCACTCTGGCGCGTTAAAGAACTTTCGAGATTACCGATTCTCGGTAAAATGAGAGAAGAAGGCACTTCACGAGACGTCTGTTTTGGCGCGCAAAAAAAATTCTCTCAAATAATTTCTCTCGAATATTGACGAAACTTCGAGAATACTATTTTTGGCTTTTACGAGAGAAAGTAGGTGCTTAACTAACACGTTAAAGATAAAAAAGTTTGGCGACTGGTCATTTTGCAAAAGGTCAAATGAAGTTCGGACAAGTACAAGTGGTCGTAGATGGAATCAATCCAAAATGTTTCCATGTGCTAATCCTTTACCTGATTCTAATGATGCTTTACCTGATTCTAATGATACGTTACCTGATTCTAATGATACTGTTATACCTTCTGTTGATAACACTGCTAACGATAATTCTGACACTGTCAATTCTGGATTGCCTCGTAGAAGTTCTAGAATTCGTGTGCCTCCAAAAGGGCGTAGAGATTATTAAATGCGATACATGCATGCTTATATATTGCTTTGTACTTTCCTAATGTACATATTTCTTTTTCAAAGGGGAAAATATGGTATACTGTGTTATGGCTCCCATAGTTTTCATGCATGAGTGACTTTGGTTTTCTCTCTCGCTCTTCTTTTGTTAATGCTTGAGTCGATGACTATGTGTTTCGGTTATACAATTTGAATATCTACCAACATCGTCTATTCTTCGAGTTCACAACCAAAGGGCATAATAATATCAATAAGGCACAAGGAACTGTTACGTAAGATGTATGTATGTTTATTTGCCTCAAAAATGTAACAGTATCTGCATAATACTTAAACGGTATAAAAGAGACGGGATACATGTTCAAGACCTAACACTCTTGCACACATTGTAAGAAGATCCAAATGGAATTACTATTTCAAAAAACTGCAAACTAACAGAAGGGACATAAAACATACCTTACATATTATAAAAGATATTGTGAACATAAAATCAAATACAATAATACCAGAACTCAACCTTGGTAACGGCACCCGAAGCACCAACCCTAATGCAATTGCTAACGAACACAACCATTTTTTCAGTTTGTTGACAGTGTGCCTTCGACAAATAAAAGTTCCATAGAATTTGTTCGTTCTCTCACTAAAGAGTCAATATACCGACGAGAAGCGTGTCATAACAATTTCATCGCTAGCAGGGGGGGGCCGAATTTGCAAGGTATACGTATAAGCAGCGCCGCATTAACCAATAAACAATTTAAGCACGTGCTCAGGGCACCAAGCAAAGAGGGGCACCACAGAATTTTAAATAGTTTATCGGTGTTTATTAAAATATTACGAGTTCACCAAACGACTCAAACTTCAAAATGTTCTTGAAGTTACATTCATCAAACTTCTTTATCAAAAATAAACACTGAAACGTATTTATTGGACACAAAATGGGCCTATTAGTCGTTTTCTTAAACTGTTGTTGTTTTTTATTTTTAGTATTCACCTTGTTGCTGCATTTTTGTTTTAAAAAAATTTCTTTTTTTTTCAACAATTGGACCAATGAGCTACCCACACTATGTGGTGGTTTCGCAATCGCATTTCAACGATCTAGTGGTCAGCGAAGTCGGGAGTTTTTTGATAAGGTAGACCAGGGTAGTCCACACCCTGTCATGCTGATACATTCCGTGCGGCTCACACGGATGGCTTTTTGGCTATACCAACTGTATATACCAAACTCATTTCCTTGCCCCTCACACAGTGTCTGGTTTGATTTCAAGTAATATCTGTCACGAAAGAATATAATTTGAAGCGACAAAACGCGAGATGCGCAAAATACAACTTTAATTCTCGGGAAATACCTGTAGGCTTTATATATTTTCTTTAAAAGAACGACATCCATGCAACATAATAATAGTCCGATTAGAACGATAAACTCTCGTTGTTTATTAAATTTGAAGTAAGTATACTCGCGATATTTCGAACACTTTTGGGTTTTCTCCGACTTGCGGCCCGCGAGACCTCCTCGAAAGTTTTTGCGGTCCTTCAACCTAGCAACCTTGAACCACTCTGAGGTAGACTACTAGGTACCAGTAAAATTTCAAACTACAGTTGTGACTTGTATACTTTGGTATTTCGATTCACGTTGAGACTGGAGGCATGAATCTTTATTGTCACACTCCCTCGAAATTAGAGCTAAACCAATATACCGGCCCGATATTGCAAGTTTGTTGATATATTATATCGGCAGTAAACGTCCGATATAACAGTTAAAAAACCTAAAAAATATTCGTAAAAGTTGTTTTATTTACTGTTGGTTGTGATTATTTTTAATGAATAATACACTCATGTGGTTTATTTATTTTTATAATTAAATTACGCATGAGGGGGCACCAAAGACTTCAGTGCCTAGGGCACCAAAGGGGCTTAATCTGCCCCTGGGTATAAGCGCTTCGTTTCTGCTGAATATCAATACAACAATTTTTCGTCGTTTAAATTACTACGATATCGACATATTAGGATATGATAAGATGGGATTACATATTTATCATGGAGGGGGGGGGGAGCCGATAAGACGGCTTATCATTATGGCGAACCACGGCCTCTCGTCCGGTTACCATTCCAAGTCGGGTATGGGATTAGTTATATTGTTTGTTTTCGGAAGCATGGATTTGGTGGTAGAGGAGGCCGTAACCGACCAGCGGCTACGTGAACCACCCAACGACGGCGAGGAGTCCAGCAATCCTCTCGCACATGACCATCTCTGCATGGGATTCGAACCTGCGAACCCACGCAGAGTAGCGGCGGTGTCGGTGGCGAGCGTATTCCTAACGCTTAGCCCGTTGAGCCACACCGCCGCGCCGTAGAGTATATGAGCGTCTATCGGGAATTCGAAGTATTACACCGAGCTCATGTTTCCTTCTGTCGACGCGAATATAAGTCCATTGACGATTACAATGCGTTTTATTTATGCCTTATCGAGTTAGCCGATACAACCCACTTATATTTAGGCATGACGTAGGCTACGGTTGCCGGCGACAACGCGTCTCGACTACGAAGCGAGTAGAGAAATCTATAAATCGGGCTATAACGCTTTGTCGTTCTACTCTTGTTACAATTTTATTTTGCGGTCAACTTTGAATGAAACAATAATAGTAGACTTGAATATGAAACAGATAACTAAATTTTGTCGTTTGCAAGACATTGAACAAAATTATCGTCAAATAATGACGAATCAAATCATCGCATTCCCGAAAACTAAGATCGGTTATTTGGCAACTCAAATGTCATATACTCATATATATTTTTATAGTATTTATATAGAGAGTTTTATTTAGGCCATGTGTTGTGAGCTGAAACGAAACGCTTGTTTATTAAGAGTCATAGCGGCCTCCAATAACATAGCGCGATAGCGTAGGCCCGTAGGGAGTGAAGCGACGTGTCAATTATGCGATAAGGCTTAGGCGTTCGACGCTCGCTCCGATTCCATTTGCGGTTAACAATGATAAGAAATAGGAATAAATCAATTTTAGAATTTATCAACCATCAAATAATATAATTATCGAATAATAAGAAATTAAATGATAACTTTTTTAAAAAATTAAAAATATTATTCAGTTACTTTATAGTACTGTAACTGTATACAGGTACACGTTGCTTGTGTACACCATAACGGCCTATTATACACGTATAATAGCTATAAACATCACATTCTCATACTCATTGTGCAGTACTAATTGTAAGTTACTCGACGCGAAATGCATGGCATAAATTTCTGACCTACTCAAATACAATTTTAAATTACGCGTCAACGGATTCAGCAAGAACGATGGCTTGTGTATCGTTGTGTTGCAAATTTACACAAGAATACGCTAGGAATAATAATAATTATTCATAACTAGCTCTCTCAAACCTCTAGGTCCATGTTTACTGAACTACAGAAATTTGCTTCACAAATTTCGAAGCATTACCTCGCGGCAAAGAATATAAAAAGCCGTGGGTGAAGGATAAGGCCCTCATGGTTGACGAGTAATAAGATTTTGAAAATGATAATAAACGGGATAGGGGTGACAGCTGGAAGAGTGTTAAACCTCAAAATGATATATAAGAAAACCACCATTCTGAAGCTTGATGATATTTGCAAATGAGAGGTCTGTACGTTCTTGCACAGATATCACAATCATTGCCAACCCATTGCATCTGATTGCTATTTTAACAGGCAAAGTAACATCCATACATACAACACAAGATAAGCAGCCCCCCTCCCCCTCCCCTCTTTCTATTTACCTCGCCGCGACCCAAATTTGGGTTGCGAAACCATCCACTCTGGGTCGCAAAACAATTTAAATTTGCCGTAAATAAGAGCATCGCGCCTGCGTACCGTTTTTATGTAGGCCACTACGACTTCTAATCAGAATTATGGATGTTTCTCCGGGCATCGACTTCCTTATTTACTGTCGTAACATTGGCTAATCAGCATAGGTTCAAAATTTGACGTTGCAATAACGTTTCAGCAGCCGCTCAGACACTTTTGTCACTCAGATAGATTTTTATTGTGAATATTACCTCGTTTTCGCCAATCATACGTTTCAGCAAATATTTAAAACGAGGAAGGAGTTGACGCAGAGGAGCGTTACTTTTGCTCAAAAGCCTTCCGCGTGAATATATGGTCTGAAGATCTGTGATTGTGGAAGAAATTAATCGCAGGTTCTGATTGAAAATAGGAGTTATGGCAAACTTGGTCATTCGCGCATTATTTTTTCTCAAACAGGACCAAGATGAATTCAAGTTTAGTGGTCGGAAACAAGATACCGATATGATCATGATGACCTCAAAACGTCTTTAGTGAGCCCGGTATCTCGAATGTTATCACAGCGTGTTATAAACTTGATAACAAACATCTTTGTCAGTTTATTTTTATTAGCAAACCATATTTTCTGAATCTACATTTCATCTCAAAAAAGATCAGTGCCCTCTCACTAGTTATTCTGTTAGCTGAATAAACGGTATAGTCATGAATGATCATCGGGCAGTATTATGTCGATAACTTTCATAGAATCCCCTGAAAACATCTAAGCGTAAAACCGTTGTTGCTATTTGAAACTTGTTGTTATGATCACGATAAGAGACCTTTTTTTGGCTTTGAAGTTGAGGGTATTACGTCATGGTCTTCAATATTGTGTATTGTACTGACTGGCGTTGTACAAACGCTTTGATATCGATCAAAACATGTATTCTTCGAACCCCCTTGGGCTAAAAATTGTAGGTACTTTTAACGCTGCAAAGTGTCGGTAGATTGTTTCATTAGATACGCTCGTTTTAATTTTAAGTGCCATGTTTTTCAGCAAGTAAGACTCACAGCGATGAAGTTCATTAGGTACCGGTAGTATTTTGATAATTTTATAATATTGGAAAATTTTCGATTTGAAAATCGGAAAGTCAAAGTTAAGGCAAGTTTATACACTGACCAGCAGTGGCGGCGCGTCAATAGGGACAACCGGGGCAATGCCCCGGTTGTTTTTTCGGTATAATAAAAAATATTCGAAAAATACCTCAATATCGGTTGCACAGACTGTCTACACTAGCCATATTCTCCCGACATGGTTCATTTTTCGCTCGCAAAGCCTTCGCCGAACGTCGACGGGGCGACGCCGATTTTGCCCCGGTTGCTCATTGTATATCGTATTCTCTCTTTTATCTTCCATTCGCCGCGACACAATGCCGACGTTTCTTACAACAACGTGTTGACATATTCACGCATTCCTTCTCGTTCGTTGGTTGCTTGAAGAGTTGATAGTTTCCTCGCCTTTGTTTTTGTCGCTTGTTTCGCTATTTGAATCAGTTAGAGACCTTTATCCATTTGCTTTCGATTTTCCACATTCCTTTTGAGCTCCTCATTTCTTTTCGGCTTCGCATTTCTTAGCCTTAGACCTCATAATGAATAAGGTTGATGCACTACTTCGCACTCCGTTTTCGCAGCTGCCGCTGGAACAAAAATTAGAGGTACAACGTCTTGGGCCTTATCAACCAAAAAATTGTTCACTGGAACAATCCCATGACGGAGGAAAGCGTCGGCGTACATTCTACGCAGAACCGTATAAAAAACACGAATCCGGGAAACAATAAAATACGACGACACATGGAGTGCATTTTTACGCCACGGGCAAACAACGCAGCGTTTGATTTTGTCTGCAAAGGAATGCTGTGACATTCTGGTGAATCAAATAGGCGATCGTCTGCGCACTGAACACCTTGCCGCGTTCTCTTTGATGAACCCCAAAAATTTTTCAAAATTAGCACGTCAATTTCCCATCCATTTGTTGGCTACTGTCTCCAAATTTTACCCCATGATAAACGTGGGTAAATTGGAAAATGAATTGCGATGTATATACACCAATCAAACTTTTTTGAACATCACATCAACTTGCGCGCTCTATGGGTTTCTCATAGATAACACTCTAGTAACTACCTTTGCGGCGTCTGCAAAATTTCTGGACATCATTTTGACGACGCCTATTTTTTCCGCCGACGCAGAGCGAACATTCAGCACACTGAAGCGTATTAAAACGTATCTCAGAAACACAGTGAAGCAAGATAGATTGAATTGCTTGGCTGTTTTATCCATTCACAGAGACGTTATTTCTGGGATGCATGACTTTAATCAGCGCGTTATTGAGCATTTTGCTTCCAAGAAACCGCGGCGTGTTGCATATATGTTCAAGCAGTAGAAGTCTAGCAGCATATATATCTATGAGTGAGCGACGCATGTCCTTATCTTTGCATTACTATTCCTTTCTTCATAGTAACGTTTTAAACCTTATTTTAGGTTTTGTCTGCTTTCCCGAAGTTTCTGTTAATATGTCATTGTATTTATCTGGGTAAATATTGCCTTTCCTCTTGAAAGAGGTGTCAAAATAAACTATGTCTATATTTATTAATCCCTTGACTTGGACGGTTTTAAAGACACTTTCTTATCGTTGAAAATTGTCGCTTTTGCCGATTGGTTGTTACCGATGGAATGGTTTTTATACTCATAAAATGATGGGAGAACTTACAGCGCTCATCCTGTCCCCGTAGATGGGGGTGACTTGGTCCCGCAGTAGCTTGCCCCGGTTGTCAAAATGACCACGCGCCGCCACTGCTGACCAGGGATATTAACATCCTAAATAGGCTAATCGGTGGTGAAAATAAGGGTATTCATAGCACTGTAATATATTCGCATAGAATCAGTAATGCAAATATTACATATATAAGATGTGCATTATAATGAATTGTCGCTAAAATAGTGAACTTCTCTACCTCATGTGGGTGGTTGTTTTACGCGAAAGTGTTTACTTTCTCAAAACCTCGTAGCTATAAACACTGTTTATAGGTATATTTTTGTTTTTAATTGAAGTTGTAGATAATTTTATTTATTTGTTAAAAATAAGTAACAATTATATCAATAATCTATAGCCGCGTGTTAATCATAAACTTCGTCGTAGGCCATGCTTTTCTCAATAGTAGTTTTTGTTCTTGTTTATAATATCCAAGGAACAAATGGAAAACAAGGTAAGTTTTGAAATCATAAACAATTTTCATTTATAATTTTAGTGAGATATGAAAAATAAAATTCCGGGATATATTTTCATATTGTTCAGTATTCGAGATTGACTATTTGAGATTAAATAGACCTATTCATGTTTATGAATGAACACTAAAGATTATAGAGCGAATATTGGTTCATAAAGTAATTAGAGAACATTTTGCTGACAATGCTAATGAATTGATCTGGCATTATTTTCCTTTCGGGTACAAATCATTGTCAAAGCTCACCCTGTAAAAACGAAGGAAGATGTCGAAACACCCTTAAAGGTTTCAAATGTTTCTGCAGTGCTGGTTTCAGGGGAAATACTTGCAAAATAGGTGATTTGCAAGTAACGTACACTCTGCCCTATTTAATAAATGTTGAAGTATTGCCATAAAATAAGCTTAGTTTTGAATGTTAAATGATTATTATTATTTTAAAAAATGGAAATCAAATCTAATAATAGCTCACGTTTGAAAAAAAATAACCTCTTTGATATAATTGGATTTTTAGGCAGATATTGCAGCCCAAACCCTTGCTTTAATGGCGGAAAATGCTACGAGACTGATGATGGCTTTATTTGCGAATGTCCTTCTGACTTCATGGGTAAAAAATGTGAAGTGGGTAAGTTAAGTTTAAGTTTAAAGAAGTCCATGGCTTTCAATCCAGTCGATATTCATAAATGATTTAAAACTAGTAGGTGAACTGAAAACCTTCAGAAAACGCAGTTGGGCAATAAATATAAGCGAATACGTTTAAAGTTTTGTATACCAGGCGTTCTAACTACGCGTACAAAAACCAAACCAGCGAGGATTAATAGTTTAATATACGGTTGAATTTTGTCATTTATGTTTTTGTTACAAATGAGAAATCATCCATATGTAGAAAAATTACAATTGGCATTTGCCATAGTCTTGGAAAAAACTTCTGGTTTCTTATTAGCTATGACGTGCAACAGAGATTTAGGATTGGTCGAAACAGGTCATAGATGTCGCAAGCAGTGTTCAAGAGACATAGAATGTGGTGGATCAATGACGAAATGTCGATGCGATGGCTGGTGTGGGATGTCATGCTTTAATCCGGGTAATTTAATTATTTAAACCAGCGTAAATTATTGCTCTAGAAATCGGAAAATGAACAGAAGGTTTATAGACGTAACTCTTTGTATATATATTGATCATTTCCTAGAGCAAAAAAGCATAAAAAGTTCATCTAAAAAACTACCCTTTCGTCGTCAACACTTGTGATAGTGATCAAAGTATCAGGTTTTTGATATGCACGTACGGCTAAAAGCGTATCGGTATTTTTGCATCTTATATCAAGAAAAATACAATTAATTTATGGTAAAATTAGAAAAAAATTAGTAACGAAGGAGGGAGGTTTTGTGAATATCGCTGTGTGTTTTCTTTTTTGCAAAGAGACTTGATTTAAACCTAATGGCTCGAATACTAGTGTTACTAATGTTTCGAATACTAGTCGAAATGTTAGTGCTCGAAAAGATTTGTAAGTACTTTTTTGTGAGAAAATGACCTGATCAATCATTTTCCTTATAATATTTGGAGTATTATAAACTATGAGAGACTCTTTATGACAGACGCAGAATGTCCACCATTAGAAAATCCAAGAAATGGATACGTCGTTGTAGGAAACGTTACTTACGGAAGCGTTGTCAAATACGTTTGCAATGAAGGATATAGTCTGGTTGGTTTGGATGAAAGAGTTTGTACCTCAAGCAGAAAATGGTCTGGACTACAACCAACGTGTGTCGGTACGTCAGAAAACTATTTCGGTTGACTAACATCAAAAATGATGTCGTATCATTCGTCAAAAATATTGATAAGCTATTTTTGTGCATTTAATATTAAAGCATAAATATTTTATTATAAATATTAGCATTCAAGTGAACTTTATCATATTATATAATATATGTATGTCATATACACCTGCAATATATAATAATTCTGAGAAACAAAGCAGAAATATTATTCTTATATGCAGATTTTTCCGAATGTGGTGTAACAGAGCCCCTAGATCCAACTCTTCACAACCAATTGGTAACCAGACGAGTGAAGAGAGTGGTAGGCGGCGATGATGCACCGGACAATGCCTGGCCTTGGCAAGCATCGATTTTAGTTGCAGTAGTAGAGGTACATAGAAGCTTACATATTTAAGATAGAATTTACTTCCGGAAGAGATATGAGTGGTCTCCTTTCTTTTATCATGCATGTTTTACTGCAGCTCCTACTCTGACCTATTTCTTTTTTCACGCTTTCTTGTATTTCAGTCGGGAAATATCAATGTCGAGAAGACTCTAAAGCGATGGGAACTGACAACAGCTGGAACAATAATAAACAAACAGTGGATATTAACTGTGACACATCCAGTTCAACACATGGTCCCGAAATATTTTTATCGTCAGTCCGTCATTGTAGTTGGTTAGTAAGCGAGAATACCGGGTTCTTTGAGTCTGGTATTTCGATGCTTGTGAATAAAATTCTAAAGCCTGATTACAACATTTAATATTGAAACTTTCATTTTTTATATGTATGCGACTATACACGGAAACTGCGCTGGTGAAATTGAATATTTTCGTTTGTGGCGATTATTTTGATTACTCATATACTTACATTAATACGGACAAACTTGTTAGCTAGAGTTTTTACGACAGCTCGAAATGCTCTTAAAATAGAAAACTAACATTAATATGTCGAGGCCAAAAAAAATGAAGTAAGTGTTCCGCGTAGGACAAAGCCTGCCACTTTTTTGCGCAGGAGACCAGAATCTTGTTATATATATAGGCAAACTTAACATTGGTATTTAGGGTATTATTGCAACCGTTTTGGAAGTAAGACTGGTTGACAAATAAATTGGATATAGTCGATTCGTTTAAGAATAGATTACTGCTTCAATAGGATATTTGCAAAAGAATTGAAAGTTAAAAAGTGAATTGCAAGTTCATAAATTCTAAACTTCCGTGCTGACTTTATTGTTATTATAGAATAGATTACAAAGGTTCATTTAAATTCGCTCGTTTTGTTTTCTAAGGAGTTTCTAGTCGGTCATCTGTGAAATACACAATAAAGGACACAGTACAAATGTTCAAACCGTTGAAATATATTCTACACGAAAAGTTTAACAAGACCACTTTTGAAAATGACATTGGCCTGGTAAGTTTGAACTCTATAACCACATCATATTCAACAATGGAAGGGGTTTGAAATAGGAGTATCAAATATGTCACGTGACGTGTTACTTGTATGGATCTCACTGATATGAATAGTTCACCCTCTATCTACCCCAACATGGAAGAATAGCATACATGTCACTTTATATGATTACTAAAGCAATTTGTCTGAAATCTATATCCACCTCTAACTCAGAACAGTAGAACGAGTATGGGAAATTGAGACAAATCTGCTAAAAGGTCTAATATACTTTTATGTGTAAAGATTACACTTCGGACTTGAATTATAAAGTTAAAACGATCCAAAACATTGTACTCGAGCCATATATTTGTTTTACCTACTACAAGTTATATTTAGATAAAACTGGGCGAAAGATTATTTCCAAAATCTACTGTTCCTTTCGTCAATATAAAGGAGATAACGTTTAATGCTGCTGTGCGACCGGTTTGCCTTCCCTGTACACAGAAGTGTGTGATGCGTGGATGGGACAAGAATAAAAAATGTGAAGCGGAAGGTAGCTACAACGTCTAAATGTTTTTGTATTTGCTCATATATTGCGTCAGAGATATTCTGACTTATTTTAAAATTGTTTCTAACTACCAGATGATAAGTGGATGACGGTTTATTCAAAGTGAGTAGTATCCCAGCCTTGTGGAGCACGATTTTAATTTATTACGTGCGAGTAATTGCAATACTTTCGCGTTGCGGAGCCTATACCCGAGTCCAATTTATTATTTATGCTTATGACTTTACAATGCCCTAACAGGTAGTTTGTGCAAACAACGCATGTCACAATATCATTAACCAAAAATTTTCTGCCTGCAACAATTAAAAGGCCAATGTGTAGCAAAGGTGCGACTTGCGATTTCGCCCAGTTATTTCTATGTGGCCATCCTGTATTAAAGGTTGCCCACCCCTGCTTTGGCTCAACATCGAACATGAATTTTTACTTTGTTTATCGTAGGTGAATTCCTCGTTAAGCCAGGGATCAAGATTGTTTTGACAGGGTTTGGAACTAGAGAAACTGATCACAATATTCAAAGTTTTCCAGATCGTCTTCAACAGGTTGTTTTAGAAGTGGGTAATAAAAAAAGGTAACTTGGCGCAGTTTATTAAAAGAGATAGAGAAGAAACACAAGAAGTAAAATTGACTTAATCTAATAAACATTATTAATAATCACCAGTATATGAATTTTTATCTTGTTAATCAAAAAATCATTTACAAAACCGCAAAATAAAATTCTTGGGTGATTTCGATATAACTTATAAGGATTAAATTATTTCAGTTGTCAAAGAGGAATAAACGACATCATTTTCTTTCATAAAGTTGGTTCGTTCGACTTGTATAATTCAACTTTCTGTACCGTTTCATCAGTACCACATAAAGTAATGACAGGGTGTTACGGAGACGGTGGGGGACCTGTCGTGAGGAAGGTGGATTTGTTGTTATATGGCATCTCTATGTTACATTAAATAACTTCAACATTTGTTGTTCATATACCCTACTTACTGTCATGTAATGTAATCGGATGTTTGAGAAACCTACTTCACGATACGAGCAAAATATTTCTCCGTACTGTTTCTATACTCAAAATTCCCCAGAATTTAAGTTCTGATTTATACGCAGCAACAGTTTGACGTATCTATGTAAATCGGTGCCCTATAATAACCTCATCGGACTGTTTCTATGAAATATGAAAAAAGACAAAATAGAATTTGTGATACTTTATGCAATTCCATCTCGCCATTATTTGTAATTAGTATGAAGCTAAAACAATAGATCATTTAATGAATCTCATTCATACAATCAAATTTATTGAACATAACGCATTGTTGTCAGATAACTCAACGAGATGGCAGCGTTTGCTGGGTTCAAGTTGGCATCAGCAGTTTTGGAGCTAAGTGTGATGGAACAATACCTGAATTCTACACAAAAGTTGCGAGTCATACAAACTGGATAGAAGAAGCAATGCAAAATAATTAACCCAAAAAACGTCAAATAATCGTTTCATATTATTATTGTATCGCTGGATCTGTTACAGACGTGTGTGCATGAGATGAAGAGTGAATAGAAGCAAGAATTCAGTATCTAATTTTATATGATACGATTATTTCATGTATATTATTCTTGCAAAAATCCCCGTAAAATATATATTCCGTAGAATGTATGTATGTTTATTTGCCTCAAAAATGTAACAGTATCTACATAATAGTTAAACGGTATAAAAGAGGCGGGATACATGTACAAGACCTTACTGGCCTAAGACACAGATGTGCGACATGCACCCCAACAAGTATAACTGCAGTTTAGGAATGCTGCGTTATAGTAGGACAACAGACATGAAATATACAAATAAAACTCTTGTACAAGTACAATACACAGGACAAAGAGGTACGGCACCACGATGATATGTACAACAGGCAGTTTATGGCACGTTCATGTCCCAGGTTCTGATGTGAAGGGATGGGAATAGGGTATAAATCGCATTTTTGTGATTTTTACAATAGATTGTACGAAACAAGTAAAAAGAAGCCAACTTGTTTGAAGAAACCAGGCAAGTAACATTGCTTGTTACAACCACGAGTTTTATATATTTTTTATTTTATTTTGGGAAATCTAGAAAATTATAACGCTTTGTTCTTCCTATTATCACTTGCATAATTTCAAAATTTTCTAAAAGCATTTGTGGGACGTGGGATTAGGAACGAGGATTAATGTCTTTCCACTCAAATGAATAGAAGAAGTTTTATATGCACGTGCAACGTTTTTTTCAAACTATATACAAACTCGCGGCGCAATATATATATATATATGGAAACGCTGTACGGGTGGGGGCATCGGGATGCAATAATAGTGCATGATTGCCACCAGGTAAACTCATGTTGATAATAAATGTAGCACAACCGGTGTTAGCAAATTACATCGTTTTGCTAACACCGGTTGTGCTTCATTTATTGTCAACGGGATGCAATAATGTCATAACAGACCTGCAGCCTTTATGAGTGTGCTATTTCATTCGTTTCCTTTGGGCAAATAATTATAGGGAACGTTGTCCTGCGGTAACTTATTTTAATGGTAATAGTATTCAAACTTTCATTTTTTTTCTCTTTTTTTATACATATTTATTAATATATAAAACACAGTTGATCGGTACATCTACAATATTATTAATCACTAATCATTGACATTACTCAATTCATCATATAAAATAACCAGTAATTGTATCATAAAATTTTCCCTTCTTGATCATGTTTCTTCATTTTGCCATTTTTATATGCAATGAACCGTTCAATTTCCCTCACTTCATACAGATATGAGATAAAAACACTGAACAGTGGTTTATTTTTCTATATCTTACAACGATATAGATAAACCGGGCAGCAAGAAGTATACAGTTACACAATTTGTTATAAAAATTACAAACATATCCCAACATGCAATCTCTCTTTGAAAAGTTAAAATTAATCCCTATTTTTGAGTATATTCACATGTTTAGAGTTTCCCAAAACTGTTGAACAACTATACAATCATAGAAAAGGTGGCTGGTAATTTCAACATTCAAATGACAGAAATCACATGACTCTGATGAAACAAGTTTAAATTTATACAATCTATCGTTTAGTACTATGGCACCATGGAACATTTTTACATGAAAATATTAATAGTACAATAAAAGATATCCATATACAACTTATTCCAATTAAAATCACTCTCTAAAAAAATAAGATCTGCACATTTTTTTTTTGATTTATCGGGGGATATAAATTTGATCAGGTTCAACCTTTCATAGATATTTTTATTTACTTTTTCGGATTCGAATGTATCAGAAATAAAATGAGTTCAATTCTCTTCAGGGTCACTTAATACACTAAAATCAATACAGTTTCCAATATTGCATAACCAATCGTCAGGTAAAACTCCAGTGATGCGATAATAATTTACATACTCTACAATCTACATCACTATATTGCATGCTATATTTTTCAGTCAACTCTCTATGAGTGAACAGATTACCCACATTTGCTAAGTGTCCTACTGCTTTTATACCATGATCAGAAAAAATTGTTTTCTGGCATAAGAAATACTTTTGTTGTACCACATAGGTTGATCAAAATTTGACATTTTCCCCTCAAAAAAGCACATTTTTTACAGAAATACCAGTTCTTCAATATATTTCGTATGGATGTCAAAGGTAAATGTTTCACAACATATGAATTTGAGCTCAATTTTTCTTCAAGCATTGCTCGAAAACAGTATTGGTTATTATTACTTCCATTTCAATCAATTTCCGCACTGGGTTCTCATTCAAGACTGTTTGAATGTTTTTCATTTTCTGGGCAACAATACAATTTTTCATATCTATCATATTAATACCCCCTTTTTCTTTGGGGCCAATCAAGGTATTTCGTTTGATTCGCTCCCAAGTTGAACCCCATACAAATACATATATAGTTCTCTATTCAATTCAAATAAGAAACTTTCAGGAACGTCAATTGGTAAAACAGTGGCATGGTATAATATCTGGGGTAGAATGAGAGACTTTTTTTTTGAAATTGAACATAACAGACGCATCCCATGCGTTGCCATCTAACGGAACGATGAAACAGATGTTGTTTAAAAATACTGCGCAATGCTCCACACCCATGCGTTAGTTCTACAACCATTGGTGCGTGCTTGGATTACTGCCAGGCATATTAATAATAGTGGGTCACTAACAAAATGTGTAACAAAATAATGCAGTAGCTTTTGAAACCCCATTTTTTGCTACAACTGCAAAGAGTGAATACCATCCATTTTTCTCTTGCCATCATTTTGAGTTTCGGTTAATCTCAGACATAATGGCGAGCAGAAAACTTAAAAACAATAGTTCAGAATTCTCTTTTTTAAAATTGAAAATAACCTGATTCAGCATAAAATTTCCAGCATTTGTTTACAGTTTCGTATAGCGTTTCCGGCTACATTTTTGTAGTCCAAGTTTTCGTTAGATGAGACTGTTGTTGTAACGCTTCCAAACCGTATTTTGGTCGTTTATTTCCGCCACCTTAATAGAAATACCTCTAAATTGTCAATTGAACCTCTAAATTGTTTTGAAGAAAATGTAACATATATTATTATTATTAATATGATAATATCAGTACACTATCTTTTTTATCAGTGACAAAGTAGATCATTATCATGCATAAAACAAGTAATGTAATACAAAATCATGTCGATAGTTGTAGGAAGAAATTGAGGATATAATCAGAAGAATTCATTTACTATATCGTTATCGTTATTACTTCCGATGCCGAATTAAGATAATTGCTGGTGTAGCGATTAAAGATTACTCGGCTGATAGCAACTGAAACTAATGATCGAATTCACTTGATGAAGCAAAATTTTCATTGTGACGTAATTAATTATGTCCGAAATTGTTCTTAATAACAGCAGTGCTTGGAGGATGGCGGCAACAGAGCACAGCGAGATAAAATGAGATCCATAATTCATACATCTGCGCACATGTGTCGTATATTTTGTGAAACGCTCACGCTGATTTGTTGTCAGCCGCGGGAAATTCCTTTAAAATCAAGGATTTAATTCGATTTTATTCGATCCACATTTCAATATCAATAATGTCCAACGTTTGTTTTCAATTACATTTTTTTTTCAAATTAGTCTTCTCTGTTATTACTACCACAATAACAGTATGAAAAGAGCAAAACGAAAAAAAATTGACTATTGAGGGTGAAGGTACGAATATGTAAACAACAATTAATTAAATATCGTGGTAATATAACTATTCTAGTATAAATCGGCTTGCAAAAAAAACAATATATCTGCTATGCCTTAAAAATTCATATCAATCGCTAGATGTAGGTTTATAATTTATTAAATTAATGTATTGTAAACCTCACAAATTTGTCAAATGACCACTAAAAAAATTAACTCGCTTATTTCAATAGAAACTCGTTCTTCCCTCTGGAGTGGTACAATGGTGTATTTCAGTACATCATATACATACCATTTGTGCGTGTATTTTTGTTTGGAAGTGAACACTATTTAACCATGTCAAATGAAAAGCAGCATGTGTTTTATTGTGAACAAAGTCCGTGTTGCCCTAAGAAATGGGCTCTTTCTTCGTATTCTCCGATCGATTATGCATTAATAAAGTTATGTATTATTATTAATTTTTTTTTTTCAGTTCTTCAGGATTACAAAAATCAAATCAAATTTTTGAAATTATAATTATGTGTCGCAAATCTTGTCGGATCAACCGTTAGAGCGCTAGAGATGAACAATTCTGGAGCACATATGATAACGAATCTTCTTATCAAGTCATGCTGAGTAAACGGTGCAAACGCGACTAATAAAGTACAAGATAAGAGAGTTCATATATGTTCTAATATTTTATAACGAGTCATTAACTCCTTCAAACAATGGAACGGCAGCATAACCATTGTTGCAGCTTAACCAGCATGTTGCATTGTCCAAACTGGCTTATCTCTTTTGAAGCTTACTATTCTTTGTGTGAGCTTAATTGGCGCGAAATCACGCAAGAAGGTGACACATGTTCTAAAAGGGTGGTAATTTTAACTCATGCGGTCGAACAATAGTCAGGGGCAATCTTTTTCTTTTCGCCCAATCTCTCACTTGTTTTGATTGAGTACAAAATCCATTTCGATGATCTAATCTTTTATTTAGTTTTATGCTACTCCAGGTGTTAGAATATGAGAATAATAGTAATGAATGAAAGTATGACTAATTCAACGCAGTTTAATATGATAGGCAGACGAAACATTGCAGAATTAAACTTGTGTAATTGTTTTAAAATATCTAATTCTTTTGCCATATCGATTTCTATCAAAGTATCCATTTATTTTCAGTACAGCCTTACTATGGTACCAGTGCATTTAGTGAAGTTTACTCACACTGTGCTGTAGGGAAAGAGAAATAGTCACTTTCTCACGATTGGTATATTTCTGATAATTTGAAGAAACGTCATTAATTTAAATATCTATTTTTGTGTTGATTGTGCAGATATAATAAAAAAATCGCGGTATGAAACTAAAAATCAATAAAGAACATGTACGCCCTTCGCCTGTCGTAATTCGGAGTAGCAGACGAAGTTTTGATTTATCTATCTTGAAGAAAAAGCGATTCTCATTTGGAAGAAAACGAACGTCATCACCTCCAAAAGTTCGGGGCATCCATCAACGAAGCGTTGATGAACAAGAACAAACTACAAGAAATCTTTTACAAGGTTCACAAACATCCATAGTCGCAGCTTTGCTAGGAACATGGAAAGCAGAGGATGGCACTTCAAAACCTGAAACTGAAACGGTATGAACCCTATCGTTATAGGCCCTACTAGATTTGCTTTTAATCTAAAAATTTCATGAACACTGATTCAATGTATTGTGTGTCTAGTTAACACGATTTCATATTATGTTTATTTTGTAGAAAACACCTCGAAGATCATCAATAAATATGAAGTTTGTAGCTGGAAATCACGAACCTGGAACTTTTACAGTTTTAGAAGCGGAAAGTGTTGACGATATGTATGTGACACTTCGTCCGTCATACACAAGTAGTGGTTCTATGCAAAAATTTATAAGGGACGATTCGCCGTTACCAAAGAAAAGCATGTTTCGTTCTGTGAAAAAAGTTGCAAGTACCAACACAACTCGGTTAATATCGTCCCCACTAGTTCAGCAACTCAGACGTGTATCCAGCAAATCTGTTTCACCAAACAGACGCAAGCGCCTCCGCTTGACTTCTGATTATGCCGGATTTTCGGACTTACATCCAAATCTTAACGAGGAAGTGATTTTGAAAGGATTAAGAACGCAGTCATCCGGAATCAAATTTGGTCGCCCACAACTTATTACATCAAGATCCTCGTTAGGCCATTCCACACCTGAACGTTACACCACAACACATAGGTAGGTGTTCCTAACCCCCCTGATTGCTGTTTTTGAGATGTTATTGATCAGTTTAAATTCAATATATTAATTGTCACAGAGTAGAGCCACATCGCGGAATATCACCAATGTCATTTAAAAAACAACGAACGTCGTCCAGTCCGAGATCTTTTCAGAAATATACGAGTCTCCCTCTTCTTTCGCGAAGTCCACAACGGGATAGTTTGGGGCCGAAAGCTCCAAGAAAAAAGCAGACTAGGTGAGACATTAGAATATACATATCAGACATAATATAATTTATAAATACATTGGTTTTAATATTCAATCCGATTTGAATCTAAGTGATTGATTGAATCTAATGTATTTCCCCCCATAAACCATGTGTGTTTTACAGAACATCAGCCCCAACACCGCCACATCAGATCACGTTTGACATTGTTCTGAACAACCAAGGTTTGTATCAATTAATTCAAAACTTTTTGTAAAATTTCAAAATTTTCACACCTTCTCACCGCTTACGTTAGTCTGCTGGCTCAGGGCAGCCTATGTACCTACCTCATTTTACGACAGTTGTACTCTCAATCCTTATATTAGAGCTTGTTTCATTGAAGAGCAAGATTCAATGTCCTGGATTATAGCCATCCCACATATTACAGTTCCATGCCGAAATGGGCGGTTACGCATACTCGCATATACACTTCTTTCCACCTATACTTCAAACCAATACTAGCTTCTAAAAACAATGAGATCTCTATTTGGAATTTTGATTGTCACTCGGGAAATTGTTTTCTAAATAACGTTGAGTTAAAATGCCACCGAACCCTTTACATTAGTCAGTTTCGTTGATTGTGGTGAATATAATATACTGTTTTTGAAATTGCTTTCACGATGGGTCACAAATTTTCATAGTGAGTCTTATTTATGTATATTTGTAATTATTTCTTGCATATCTTTCAGAATTACTGAATGAATTTCGATCATTTTTGAAAAAAGAATTCAGCGACGAAAATCTTGATTTCTGGCAAGAATGTGAATGCTACAAAGCGGAGAAAATGGAACGCCAACCGAAAATAGCACATAAATTATACATCAAATACCTAAAGCCTATGTCCCCAAGAGAGGTAAATTGGTATTTGTTAGTAAACATTGGATTTAAAAAAAAATTCAATAGTGATGTTTTGTCTATTTTGGAATTTTATTTGAAAATATTAATTTTATGTAATTTTTTAAATTTTATAATTTTTATTTTTCCAGGTAAATGTTGACGGAAAAATACGCGAAGAAATATCTAGAAGGATATTAAACGCAGATAAAGAAACGTTTTTTCCAGCACAGAATCAAATTTATAAACTCATGCAAAACGATTCTTTTCCTCGTTTTCGATCTGATAGATTGAAATAATAACCTTGTTTTTGATTTTATTTTATATTTTCTGTGAATATTTAAATCTTTTGACCATGAGTTCAAGCTGTTTTTCATGTTCTTTCAATCTGCTGTTTCCAATATAAAAATAATACAATGTGATGTGACTCTACATGTTCAATATTATATCCCAATACCAATGACTTCAAGAAAAGACGACATTAGGGTGATATGAGATGTGAGTGGAGTGAAAAGTCAAAAAAAAGAATTCGGTGAAGTTTGAATCTCATTAAATCTTGAGAATACGCGAGTTGAGTGTCTAGGAACTACCGTTTCTTCTGTCATCAGATCCTAGATACAATTATCGCATTGAAAATCGCAAACCATATATTATAATATATATGATCAGGTGCGTCTTAGATTTGGGTTTTGCAAAAATTCGGGCTAGAATGCACGGTCTTTGACGCGTTAAGTAACTGTTTTGGGGCTATCGCAGGTTAGGCATATATATCTTCTGGAGCGCTGATAACATATTTTTTCATTCATAAATTTATCCAGAGTGTACCTGATGCGAAATGAAAGCACTATATGCCCTCTACGATGGAGGCCATTCTGAGCAGCGTCTGAACCAGGGGTGTGCAATGTTTCTGAACCGGGGGCCGAAAATGTTGCCCACTTAGACTGGCGGGTCATATAAGAGTGACGTAAAAAGTTACAATTTATGAACAGAATTTTATTTACACTATTACGAAGCCAAAAAAGGAAAAGAATGAGCCTTGTGCTAACCAATATTTAGTCGCAATCTTAACAAATTTCTTGGGTCATTTTTTATTTAAAACATCAAGATTTGGTTTCAGTTTGGTTGTGGCAGAATCAGGCTGGCCTCTGATTTGACCCACGGGTTACAGTTTGCCCATGTCAGCCCTATACCTATATTTAGTGCGAGCGGAATTGTACACAAATTAAAAAGATATGTCTAAACCAGATCAATTATAAAAACAAACATTCAAATTATATGTAAACATGTATTATCAAATATTTCGCAGTGCAAAGTCTAGATTAGGAACGCAATTGTTTTTATTTATCTTTTTAAATCATATAAGATTAGGCTGGAACCTTCACAAGCGTAATGAATTGTATGTCTGGAGCGGCTATTTGGGCTATACAAACAAAGATATCCTTTCACAATAGGAAACGAACCCGCTTGAATATTTGCCATTATTTGTAATTAGTATGAAGCTAAAACAATAGATCATTTAATGAATCTCATTCATACAATCAAATTTATTGAACATAACGCATTGTTGTCAGATAACTCAACGAGATGGCAGCGTTTGCTGGGTTCAAGTTGGCATCAGCAGTTTTGGAGCTAAGTGTGATGGAACAATACCTGAATTCTACACAAAAGTTGCGAGTCATACAAACTGGATAGAAGAAGCAATGCAAAATAATTAACCCAAAAAACGTCAAATAATCGTTTCATATTATTATTGTATCGCTGGATCTGTTACAGACGTGTGTGCATGAGATGAAGAGTGAATAGAAGCAAGAATTCAGTATCTAATTTTATATGATACGATTATTTCATGTATATTATTCTTGCAAAAATCCCCGTAAAATATATATTCCGTAGAATGTATGTATGTTTATTTGCCTCAAAAATGTAACAGTATCTACATAATAGTTAAACGGTATAAAAGAGGCGGGATACATGTACAAGACCTTACTGGCCTAAGACACAGATGTGCGACATGCACCCCAACAAGTATAACTGCAGTTTAGGAATGCTGCGTTATAGTAGGACAACAGACATGAAATATACAAATAAAACTCTTGTACAAGTACAATACACAGGACAAAGAGGTACGGCACCACGATGATATGTACAACAGGCAGTTTATGGCACGTTCATGTCCCAGGTTCTGATGTGAAGGGATGGGAATAGGGTATAAATCGCATTTTTGTGATTTTTACAATAGATTGTACGAAACAAGTAAAAAGAAGCCAACTTGTTTGAAGAAACCAGGCAAGTAACATTGCTTGTTACAACCACGAGTTTTATATATTTTTTATTTTATTTTGGGAAATCTAGAAAATTATAACGCTTTGTTCTTCCTATTATCACTTGCATAATTTCAAAATTTTCTAAAAGCATTTGTGGGACGTGGGATTAGGAACGAGGATTAATGTCTTTCCACTCAAATGAATAGAAGAAGTTTTATATGCACGTGCAACGTTTTTTTCAAACTATATACAAACTCGCGGCGCAATATATATATATATGGAAACGCTGTACGGGTGGGGGCATCGGGATGCAATAATAGTGCATGATTGCCACCAGGTAAACTCATGTTGATAATAAATGTAGCACAACCGGTGTTAGCAAATTACATCGTTTTGCTAACACCGGTTGTGCTTCATTTATTGTCAACGGGATGCAATAATGTCATAACAGACCTGCAGCCTTTATGAGTGTGCTATTTCATTCGTTTCCTTTGGGCAAATAATTATAGGGAACGTTGTCCTGCGGTAACTTATTTTAATGGTAATAGTATTCAAACTTTCATTTTTTTTTCTCTTTTTTTTATACATATTTATTAATATATAAAACACAGTTGATCGGTACATCTACAATATTATTAATCACTAATCATTGACATTACTCAATTCATCATATAAAATAACCAGTAATTGTATCATAAAATTTTCCCTTCTTGATCATGTTTCTTCATTTTGCCATTTTTATATGCAATGAACCGTTCAATTTCCCTCACTTCATACAGATATGAGATAAAAACACTGAACAGTGGTTTATTTTTCTATATCTTACAACGATATAGATAAACCGGGCAGCAAGAAGTATACAGTTACACAATTTGTTATAAAAATTACAAACATATCCCAACATGCAATCTCTCTTTGAAAAGTTAAAATTAATCCCTATTTTTGAGTATATTCACATGTTTAGAGTTTCCCAAAACTGTTGAACAACTATACAATCATAGAAAAGGTGGCTGGTAATTTCAACATTCAAATGACAGAAATCACATGACTCTGATGAAACAAGTTTAAATTTATACAATCTATCGTTTAGTACTATGGCACCATGGAACATTTTTACATGAAAATATTAATAGTACAATAAAAGATATCCATATACAACTTATTCCAATTAAAATCACTCTCTAAAAAAATAAGATCTGCACATTTTTTTTTTGATTTATCGGGGGATATAAATTTGATCAGGTTCAACCTTTCATAGATATTTTTATTTACTTTTTCGGATTCGAATGTATCAGAAATAAAATGAGTTCAATTCTCTTCAGGGTCACTTAATACACTAAAATCAATACAGTTTCCAATATTGCATAACCAATCGTCAGGTAAAACTCCAGTGATGCGATAATAATTTACATACTCTACAATCTACATCACTATATTGCATGCTATATTTTTCAGTCAACTCTCTATGAGTGAACAGATTACCCACATTTGCTAAGTGTCCTACTGCTTTTATACCATGATCAGAAAAAATTGTTTTCTGGCATAAGAAATACTTTTGTTGTACCACATAGGTTGATCAAAATTTGACATTTTCCCCTCAAAAAAGCACATTTTTTACAGAAATACCAGTTCTTCAATATATTTCGTATGGATGTCAAAGGTAAATGTTTCACAACATATGAATTTGAGCTCAATTTTTCTTCAAGCATTGCTCGAAAACAGTATTGGTTATTATTACTTCCATTTCAATCAATTTCCGCACTGGGTTCTCATTCAAGACTGTTTGAATGTTTTTCATTTTCTGGGCAACAATACAATTTTTCATATCTATCATATTAATACCCCCTTTTTCTTTGGGGCCAATCAAGGTATTTCGTTTGATTCGCTCCCAAGTTGAACCCCATACAAATACATATATAGTTCTCTATTCAATTCAAATAAGAAACTTTCAGGAACGTCAATTGGTAAAACAGTGGCATGGTATAATATCTGGGGTAGAATGAGAGACTTTTTTTTGAAATTGAACATAACAGACGCATCCCATGCGTTGCCATCTAACGGAACGATGAAACAGATGTTGTTTAAAAATACTGCGCAATGCTCCACACCCATGCGTTAGTTCTACAACCATTGGTGCGTGCTTGGATTACTGCCAGGCATATTAATAATAGTGGGTCACTAACAAAATGTGTAACAAAATAATGCAGTAGCTTTTGAAACCCCATTTTTTGCTACAACTGCAAAGAGTGAATACCATCCATTTTTCTCTTGCCATCATTTTGAGTTTCGGTTAATCTCAGACATAATGGCGAGCAGAAAACTTAAAAACAATAGTTCAGAATTCTCTTTTTTAAAATTGAAAATAACCTGATTCAGCATAAAATTTCCAGCATTTGTTTACAGTTTCGTATAGCGTTTCCGGCTACATTTTTGTAGTCCAAGTTTTCGTTAGATGAGACTGTTGTTGTAACGCTTCCAAACCGTATTTTGGTCGTTTATTTCCGCCACCTTAATAGAAATACCTCTAAATTGTCAATTGAACCTCTAAATTGTTTTGAAGAAATGTAACATATATTATTATTATTAATATGATAATATCAGTACACTATCTTTTTTATCAGTGACAAAGTAGATCATTATCATGCATAAAACAAGTAATGTAATACAAAATCATGTCGATAGTTGTAGGAAGAAATTGAGGATATAATCAGAAGAATTCATTTACTATATCGTTATCGTTATTACTTCCGATGCCGAATTAAGATAATTGCTGGTGTAGCGATTAAAGATTACTCGGCTGATAGCAACTGAAACTAATGATCGAATTCACTTGATGAAGCAAAATTTTCATTGTGACGTAATTAATTATGTCCGAAATTGTTCTTAATAACAGCAGTGCTTGGAGGATGGCGGCAACAGAGCACAGCGAGATAAAATGAGATCCATAATTCATACATCTGCGCACATGTGTCGTATATTTTGTGAAACGCTCACGCTGATTTGTTGTCAGCCGCGGGAAATTCCTTTAAAATCAAGGATTTAATTCGATTTTATTCGATCCACATTTCAATATCAATAATGTCCAACGTTTGTTTTCAATTACATTTTTTTTTCAAATTAGTCTTCTCTGTTATTACTACCACAATAACAGTATGAAAAGAGCAAAACGAAAAAAAATTGACTATTGAGGGTGAAGGTACGAATATGTAAACAACAATTAATTAAATATCGTGGTAATATAACTATTCTAGTATAAATCGGCTTGCAAAAAAAACAATATATCTGCTATGCCTTAAAAATTCATATCAATCGCTAGATGTAGGTTTATAATTTATTAAATTAATGTATTGTAAACCTCACAAATTTGTCAAATGACCACTAAAAAAATTAACTCGCTTATTTCAATAGAAACTCGTTCTTCCCTCTGGAGTGGTACAATGGTGTATTTCAGTACATCATATACATACCATTTGTGCGTGTATTTTTGTTTGGAAGTGAACACTATTTAACCATGTCAAATGAAAAGCAGCATGTGTTTTATTGTGAACAAAGTCCGTGTTGCCCTAAGAAATGGGCTCTTTCTTCGTATTCTCCGATCGATTATGCATTAATAAAGTTATGTATTATTATTAATTTTTTTTTTTCAGTTCTTCAGGATTACAAAAATCAAATCAAATTTTTGAAATTATAATTATGTGTCGCAAATCTTGTCGGATCAACCGTTAGAGCGCTAGAGATGAACAATTCTGGAGCACATATGATAACGAATCTTCTTATCAAGTCATGCTGAGTAAACGGTGCAAACGCGACTAATAAAGTACAAGATAAGAGAGTTCATATATGTTCTAATATTTTATAACGAGTCATTAACTCCTTCAAACAATGGAACGGCAGCATAACCATTGTTGCAGCTTAACCAGCATGTTGCATTGTCCAAACTGGCTTATCTCTTTTGAAGCTTACTATTCTTTGTGTGAGCTTAATTGGCGCGAAATCACGCAAGAAGGTGACACATGTTCTAAAAGGGTGGTAATTTTAACTCATGCGGTCGAACAATAGTCAGGGGCAATCTTTTTCTTTTCGCCCAATCTCTCACTTGTTTTGATTGAGTACAAAATCCATTTCGATGATCTAATCTTTTATTTAGTTTTATGCTACTCCAGGTGTTAGAATATGAGAATAATAGTAATGAATGAAAGTATGACTAATTCAACGCAGTTTAATATGATAGGCAGACGAAACATTAAACTTGTGTAATTGTTTTAAAATATCTAATTCTTTTGCCATATCGATTTCTATCAAAGTATCCATTTATTTTCAGTACAGCCTTACTATGGTACCAGTGCATTTAGTGAAGTTTACTCACACTGTGCTGTAGGGAAAGAGAAATAGTCACTTTCTCACGATTGGTATATTTCTGATAATTTGAAGAAACGTCATTAATTTAAATATCTATTTTTGTGTTGATGAACAAGAACAAACTACAAGAAATCTTTTACAAGGTTCACAAACATCCATAGTCGCAGCTTTGCTAGGAACATGGAAAGCAGAGGATGGCACTTCAAAACCTGAAACTGAAACGGTATGAACCCTATCGTTATAGGCCCTACTAGATTTGCTTTTAATCTAAAAATTTCATGAACACTGATTCAATGTATTGTGTGTCTAGTTAACACGATTTCATATTATGTTTATTTTGTAGAAAACACCTCGAAGATCATCAATAAATATGAAGTTTGTAGCTGGAAATCACGAACCTGGAACTTTTACAGTTTTAGAAGCGGAAAGTGTTGACGATATGTATGTGACACTTCGTCCGTCATACACAAGTAGTGGTTCTATGCAAAAATTTATAAGGGACGATTCGCCGTTACCAAAGAAAAGCATGTTTCGTTCTGTGAAAAAAGTTGCAAGTACCAACACAACTCGGTTAATATCGTCCCCACTAGTTCAGCAACTCAGACGTGTATCCAGCAAATCTGTTTCACCAAACAGACGCAAGCGCCTCCGCTTGACTTCTGATTATGCCGGATTTTCGGACTTACATCCAAATCTTAACGAGGAAGTGATTTTGAAAGGATTAAGAACGCAGTCATCCGGAATCAAATTTGGTCGCCCACAACTTATTACATCAAGATCCTCGTTAGGCCATTCCACACCTGAACGTTACACCACAACACATAGGTAGGTGTTCCTAACCCCCCTGATTGCTGTTTTTGAGATGTTATTGATCAGTTTAAATTCAATATATTAATTGTCACAGAGTAGAGCCACATCGCGGAATATCACCAATGTCATTTAAAAAACAACGAACGTCGTCCAGTCCGAGATCTTTTCAGAAATATACGAGTCTCCCTCTTCTTTCGCGAAGTCCACAACGGGATAGTTTGGGGCCGAAAGCTCCAAGAAAAAAGCAGACTAGGTGAGACATTAGAATATACATATCAGACATAATATAATTTATAAATACATTGGTTTTAATATTCAATCCGATTTGAATCTAAGTGATTGATTGAATCTAATGTATTTCCCCCCATAAACCATGTGTGTTTTACAGAACATCAGCCCCAACACCGCCACATCAGATCACGTTTGACATTGTTCTGAACAACCAAGGTTTGTATCAATTAATTCAAAACTTTTTGTAAAATTTCAAAATTTTCACACCTTCTCACCGCTTACGTTAGTCTGCTGGCTCAGGGCAGCCTATGTACCTACCTCATTTTACGACAGTTGTACTCTCAATCCTTATATTAGAGCTTGTTTCATTGAAGAGCAAGATTCAATGTCCTGGATTATAGCCATCCCACATATTACAGTTCCATGCCGAAATGGGCGGTTACGCATACTCGCATATACACTTCTTTCCACCTATACTTCAAACCAATACTAGCTTCTAAAAACAATGAGATCTCTATTTGGAATTTTGATTGTCACTCGGGAAATTGTTTTCTAAATAACGTTGAGTTAAAATGCCACCGAACCCTTTACATTAGTCAGTTTCGTTGATTGTGGTGAATATAATATACTGTTTTTGAAATTGCTTTCACGATGGGTCACAAATTTTCATAGTGAGTCTTATTTATGTATATTTGTAATTATTTCTTGCATATCTTTCAGAATTACTGAATGAATTTCGATCATTTTTGAAAAAAGAATTCAGCGACGAAAATCTTGATTTCTGGCAAGAATGTGAATGCTACAAAGCGGAGAAAATGGAACGCCAACCGAAAATAGCACATAAATTATACATCAAATACCTAAAGCCTATGTCCCCAAGAGAGGTAAATTGGTATTTGTTAGTAAACATTGGATTTAAAAAAAAAATTCAATAGTGATGTTTTGTCTATTTTGGAATTTTATTTGAAAATATTAATTTTATGTAATTTTTTAAATTTTATAATTTTTATTTTTCCAGGTAAATGTTGACGGAAAAATACGCGAAGAAATATCTAGAAGGATATTAAACGCAGATAAAGAAACGTTTTTTCCAGCACAGAATCAAATTTATAAACTCATGCAAAACGATTCTTTTCCTCGTTTTCGATCTGATAGATTGAAATAATAACCTTGTTTTTGATTTTATTTTATATTTTCTGTGAATATTTAAATCTTTTGACCATGAGTTCAAGCTGTTTTTCATGTTCTTTCAATCTGCTGTTTCCAATATAAAAATAATACAATGTGATGTGACTCTACATGTTCAATATTATATCCCAATACCAATGACTTCAAGAAAAGACGACATTAGGGTGATATGAGATGTGAGTGGAGTGAAAAGTCAAAAAAAAGAATTCGGTGAAGTTTGAATCTCATTAAATCTTGAGAATACGCGAGTTGAGTGTCTAGGAACTACCGTTTCTTCTGTCATCAGATCCTAGATACAATTATCGCATTGAAAATCGCAAACCATATATTATAATATATATGATCAGGTGCGTCTTAGATTTGGGTTTTGCAAAAATTCGGGCTAGAATGCACGGTCTTTGACGCGTTAAGTAACTGTTTTGGGGCTATCGCAGGTTAGGCATATATATCTTCTGGAGCGCTGATAACATATTTTTTCATTCATAAATTTATCCAGAGTGTACCTGATGCGAAATGAAAGCACTATATGCCCTCTACGATGGAGGCCATTCTGAGCAGCGTCTGAACCAGGGGTGTGCAATGTTTCTGAACCGGGGGCCGAAAATGTTGCCCACTTAGACTGGCGGGTCATATAAGAGTGACGTAAAAAGTTACAATTTATGAACAGAATTTTATTTACACTATTACGAAGCCAAAAAAGGAAAGAATGAGCCTTGTGCTAACCAATATTTAGTCGCAATCTCAACAAATTTCTTGGGTCATTTTTTATTTAAAACATCAAGATTTGGTTTCAGTTTGGTTGTGGCAGAATCAGGCTGGCCTCTGATTTGACCCACGGGTTACAGTTTGCCCATGTCAGCCCTATACCTATATTTAGTGCGAGCGGAATTGTACACAAATTAAAAAGATATGTCTAAACCAGATCAATTATAAAAACAAACATTCAAATTATATGTAAACATGTATTATCAAATATTTCGCAGTGCAAAGTCTAGATTAGGAACGCAATTGTTTTTATTTATCTTTTTAAATCATATAAGATTAGGCTGGAACCTTCACAAGCGTAATGAATTGTATGTCTGGAGCGGCTATTTGGGCTATACAAACAAAGATATCCTTTCACAATAGGAAACGAACCCGCTTGAATAATTTTCTCTTCGTGAAATCGGATTGAGAAAAGATTGAAGCTACATTCTAAAAGGATTTATCAATACTTAAACATTGTAGTGGTTGTTTTTGGGTTGTAAGAGGGCATTAGCGAGGCTAATTGATGACAGTGTACATCTGAAACAATACGGTTGCAACGATTTTGTATTTTAACGAAGTCCTAATTTTGACGTTGAAAAACTTTTGCTCATATCGTATAAATGCAAGTTTCGCATTATAAATTATACACCTATGTAAAATAATCACGAATTCGCACACACTACCCACAACACCACCACTAGTGGTACGCGTACCACAGGTTGAGAACCGGTATACATAATCGTACCATACGTTATTAAAACACACTTCTGGTACATTTTCTGAAAAGCTACTTAGCATGTAAACTGCAACGTTGAGCCATACGTTGGTCTTTCTAAATTCTATAATACTATGCGATTGTATAATTTGATTTGGTGAGTCTGCAGTAGCAGGGCAGCACCATTATACCATATTTATATTCTTCAGAAACACCATTAGTATAATATTTTACATCATTATAAACAATAGAGTCAATAGTTAGAAAGGTATCAATTTGACCTTATTCTTGTCCAATTCCGAAATTTTTTATAAAATTTTCAGTTGAAAAACAATATGTCAATAGTATTTTTCACATCCTATCGGCCACGGAAATGGCAACGCTTGTTGCATTTCCCGAAAATTACTGAACATTCGTTAAAAGGATTTTGACTTCATGAAAGGAAATTGCCACAGGCAAAGATGTGATGACCGGATGGATTACCTGAAGATGAAAGGATGATTGGGCTTTTCATCTCTTCTATGAATTGTATATTATGTTTGTTTGATGTTATATAATATGGAATAGTTTTGTCATTGATCGCCATGATGGGAGTAACCCATGATTTGAAAAGTGGCTAGCAAAGTGGTTCTCAACTTTTTTCTATGGCAGTTGTGGGCTAGTGGAAATTCAATGTAAATTGAAGTATTCTTTAACGTAGGTTTACATGTTATTCAAAAAATAAGTTGAAAACCTGTTATACTTCCAAATTACTATTATAAAGCCGTCAAAAAAAGATCAACATAATTAAATGTGTATTCAACTTTCATATTAAAGATTTATTCAGACTACTAAATATACATCTAGTTCAAGTCTAATGAGCACTTCAAATTCACTACTGCTACAGTTATTACTATATGGTAGGGTAAAGGGGGTCGTGTGATATGAGGACCACGCGTATTTCAATATTTGTTGAATTTTCATCATAATCATTTAATATGTTGTAAGTCTTACAATGTGAGAGTATGAATTAGATATCGAAATTCTGCTTTTCTGTTTTCAGTCAAGGGGTGATATAAATCGGTTATATGAAATTTTCATTGTTTAGTTGAGGAAGATATCACTTCTGTTCGATTTGTTTCGATAAGCGTGTTTATACAGTGTAATGAATTATGAAATCTCATATCGCTGCACTGAATCAACACAAATCTAGCAAAACAACCTAGATATCCATGTTTGCTCTGGAATATATGAAGAGATAGGAGAACTGTTCGATATGATAACAACATTTGGATCATTTGGTTGAAAGTATAAAAGATTGACCACTAAGAAAAAAGTATTATTCAATAGCTATTGAGAGGTTGACGCAAGCTTAATGTTGTTACAGACAGTTAAGATGAAACATATCAAAATCACTAGACGGGATAATAAAATATGAAAACAACAACGCACGACACTTGTAATTTGAAACAGTTGTTACAGTATTAATGTGAGTGGTATAATAACTATAAATGCTAACTACTAGCTAGGTGTAATCGCATGTCGCTTTCTATTGTCAACGCGTTCAAATCTGATTCATTTTGTATGGGTAATTAGCAATACAGCCGCGGGGTGTTTCGGTCCATATACGTTGCAGTAAGCGACAGTTTATTTGACTGCGATGAATTCAGTAGCGAAGAAAGAGATATGTGCAATGCAAAGTTTAGATTATCTCTCGCAGTAACTTCGTAGATAACTTCTCCACACGAAGACCACACGCTGTGAGTGAAGTGAGGAAGTTGCAACGCTCTCGCAGAGATGGTATAATAGGCTGGACACATGTGCTAAAATTCGGAAATTTGGCCAGATTGTGCCGGCATATTTAATATATATTAATGTAGTGCGCTTGTATCGTTACAGCGATCAGGGTCTCCGAGTTGTTCAAGTTAGCAGCAATATAAAAAGAGATTAGTTTATTGGTTTTGTGCTTGTTCGCCCAGTATAGCTAGACACGGAATTAGTTCGTGCTCATTTAACATGATAGCAAGTTACAGTAAGCATTTTTTCATACTTGTTAAAACTTAACATTGACGAATTCATTGATATACTTTAGGTCAATATATTCATAAAAATAAAAGTTTTGCACAGCGATATGGTTTCTGCAGTTTCGTCTGAGAGTACAGTCACGTCTCAATATCATGATGTTATCAATCAATGTCAGAAAGCTTTGCGGCGAGGCAGTCCTATACACACAATTCGTCGTAGATTATCAATAGGAATACCAAAATCTGCCGAAGAGGAAAAGAATGCAGATTCAACAAGAATAACGGATAATCTTATAAAATTCAGAGTCCCAACTCAAAAGGTATGTCCTATTTTGTACCGTATTGTAATATCAGTGTTTCAATTTATTCCATCAAAGCAACAAATTACGAACGCCGTAACTAATTAGAGATCAGAAATTACGTGGAATCGCAGCCAAACATACTCACCCTCTCACATGAATATTGTTTTCTAACCTTTCCTCTGGGTTTGCATAAATATACGAATAAATATGCTTACATGTTGACTGAGTTTCACGGTGGCACAGTCAACAATTACCTATTGATAGTATATCAATATAATTTGAGAAATATAACTTTTCGCATATCACCCATAAAAACTTTTTTTCAGATGAAATCACCTTTGCGAAGAACACGTTCATCAATTTGTATGGAAACGAAATTATCTGAAATCAATGGATGCGTTCCGCCAAGTAACCACAATTCAAATGAGAGCGCCAATCACAAGATGGCATCATTGATGCGCCGTTCCAGCTGCAATGGGAACGAAAATAAGGCAATCAGAGAAATAAAAACGAAAGAATCGGGAAATGGTAGATATACGTCTTTGGCAAAAACATTATCAAGCATTGCTAATTTGTCCAGTCGGAAAGAAAGCAGAATAAGGAGGCAAACTCCTTTTCGAGCATCCCTGCCGCTAAACAAATCATGCGTTGATTGTGAATCAAACAGAAACGCTTCGTTTTCGGACAATTTATACTCACAATCTCGCAAAACTATGAGAGGTAAATTGCCAACAGTAAACGAAAGTAGACTTCACAGCCAATCTGCAATAATTTCTAGTCCTGACTCTGGCATCATATCTTCTTTGTCGAATGAATCGTTTGATCCGAAATCACTTGTTTCGCCTACTCGCTACGATGCTTTGGAGGATGAATCAATTTTGGAAAGTGATACTTCATTCAATATAACAATGGATGCCAACGAAACGGACAGTTTTGCATCGTTTTGCGAAACCGTTGGCAGCACAACTGATGCATTAACATGTCAGTCAGAAAAGCTAAAACACAAACGTCTTTCACTTGATGCCGGACAAATTCGCAGACAATCGAGAGAATTGATTAAAACAACAAGTAGATTCAGGTTAGTTCCTTTGCTAAATTCTAATATATTGATATTTCACAATTCCCCAAGTATAGGGATGACCGAATTTGATAAAACACCAGATTTTCCTACACGGATTCAAATCAGTAGACACAATGGTAACGACTCACGATGATGAGTCTCGCTCCTTCTTATGCACATCCTAGCTAGCCAACACGTAAACCAGATAGCTTCAAGTAGTAACATAGCCGCAATACGTCTTGTTCAGAATTGTTCAATTTTATATTGATGACCAGTGTTAATTTAATGAATTGTGACGTCATAATATTTATAAGGTGACGTCAAAAACGCGAGATTTATCCGATGTTTATGAATTGGTTAACCTAAAAACTGTTTCATTAAACGCGTCTTTCAAACGCACTTTGCGTTAAGCGTTAGGTGAAAATAGCTACGCATTGAATGTAACTTTCTAACAAATTTGGCTTCTTTTGCGTCACCACGGTTTATTCACGACCATACTCAAAAATTCTATGTATCTCAGTCATTCTTCATTGTGCTTTACGTTAGCCAGACGTATTCCATAAATAACAAAAACAATTTATTTTTGTCTTGCTCCGATCGGCTACGCAGTATAATTGACGTTTTATCACATTAATTATTCAATATCTGAGCGAACATTGCATCGAATTCGAAACTTAGTAGACGGAAGTGCAGCATCCGCGTACCCAGAGTCACACAATTTTACATTGCTTTGTATAGCGTTTTTCTTAGGTTGCGAGTATCGTTTCTATTTTGCGACATCCATTAATAAATATTGTTATAGTTATAGAGTACGTTCGAATCACACACATATGTCGGTTAAATTCCCCTGTAACGTGATGCACACACCATTTACGTAATACCGGACGTCCGCTACGCTCCTCGTACAGTGCAAAGGCATAACAAAATCACACAAAGCTATGATTCACGCCACGTCTGATGCTTATATGGACGAGAAAGAAAGTAGAAACTGGTAGGACGTGCAAAACTAATTTTATTTGTAGATTTCAGTCAAAGATCAATTAGCCTGTTCTTTATCAGCGAGACAAATCGAGTTTAGAACTCAAGTTTGAGAAAATAATTTAGAAACTAGGTTTGGTGTTTTAGTTAAATCGAGTCACGAAGCGTTAACTTAATATTTTCATGCATGCATGTAAACCAGACATGTCAATAGATCAATGACCAGCATATTTCTTTCATTGAGTAATATTATAATTTTAACTAAATTACCAGTATATTTTCACATAGAACAATGGAATGCAAATCCAAGATCGCTTCCTTAACACAGCTCATAAAACGCTAATAAACAAATATTATTGTATTTTAAAGTATTTCGAAATCAAGGCAACCAAATGGAACCAAATGTTGCAGCGATTTACTGATATATGCTGAATTTCACCTACATTTCAGCATAAAGCCGAAGCATGTTAATTTTACAATGAAATAATAATTTATATTAGAAATACGTTTTTTGAAGATATTTCGTTGATTTTTGATTTTGTTGAAGCCAAATTCTTTCTAGTTTTTAAAGTAATTTGTTATTTCTTCTGCACGTATGTCTTCTTTGCATCTTGACTAAGATGAAGTCTTTTCGCCATAAACATCTCGAATCGAAATTACAATATGGCGACAAAGCGATCTATGCGACGGTCACAATCACAATCTGTAGTCGCACTATACTGTCATTGTGAATTATTTTTTCATTCGTAGATTTAGTAGGTATTCCTTTTTTTGCTTAAATGTCTCACGCATACGGTTCTCAATTAAACACAATTTGGTTAAATCGCTTCGATCGTTAAAGATGTTTATAAGGCTTGATGCGGTGATGAACTGAGATGATGACATGTAATGTTGCATTCGTGATCGAAAATCAATTTAATGGCAACGAATAATGAATTGATTTTTGGATTACATCTCTGAAACCTCCTCATTCCTAATCAAAAGCGCCAGAATGATTATATTGAGTGCTCTTCTTACGTTTGTCTGAAATACCTTGCAAAAAATATATTGAGATAAATTTACAAAATTATCAATGGAAATTTCTAGTAGTTGTAACATATAAAATCGTAAATTATACCAGTAGTGCGATCTATGTGACGTAGTCTTGCAGGGACCTGGAATTTTAACTCTATGGATTTGGACTCCAAATAAATGATCATAGTCCACAGTGCACGGAGGCCTCATGTTGTGATTGCATTTACGCTTATTTTTAAAACAAAAACGTATAAATCCAAATTAGGTAATGACGTATCAAGGTTCCTCATTCTATACATACGCCTTTTTGCATATGTTTACTAATACCAAATAAAAACACACTGGCTGTTTGTACGCCTCCCATATGAGTATATATCTATGCATAAGAACAACTTTTAGTAATTCTAAAAATACAGTATATGAGTTAGTGAGTATATGAGTCGCTAATAAGCAATTAACTCTTGCTGACGCATTAGGCTACATTACGAATGCGAAGGCATTCGATGACGATATGGTTGGCACAGTACATTGATCAACGATAGTCAAGTAGAAAATTGACCTCAAGTAATGCATTTGAACTGCATTTCAAAAATGATGTGATGCTTATAATAAAAATAGACAGATTCACTAACATTTCCAAATTATTTTGCTTCTGGTTGAATAGTATAAAGCGACTGATAATCGATAATACAATGATGAGCCTGCCATTAACTTTGTATTATACAAACGGCTTGTAATTTTGAACCCATTTAGGAATTACCGTAAAATTCTATGTAAATTTGATCATTATTCGAAATCGGTAGTTTGTTGCATCAACTGGAGGTTCCCGATCACACGATGTTCGGAAAATAATATCCCATGTAGTTAACGATCCAAAGTGTACAGACCCCGAGTGCAAGGCATTAGCGCCATTGAGATTTAATTTGTCACTTTTCTGTACGGTCGATTAAATTTCAAGACGGAATTAATAATACGATTTAAATAGATATTTAGTTATCAGAAGTATTTTTATAAGCTCTCATTCTATATTTTCATCATTAATATGTTGCCAATCGATTTGGCTTAGCCTATGCATTATTGAATGCGGTTTGATACAACACAGCCTATTCGAGAAATTAGTAAAAAATCATTTCAATGTGGGATTTGTGAGACAATGCAATCAATATCCGGACGCTTAAAAGAGAGAGGGAAAGCGTTGATCATCGAGCAGTCGTCAGCAGCCTCAGTCACATCACATCGCATCGCACGCGCTTTGCTATAGATGGTAAATCGAGAACTAAAAATAACGCTTCTTGCGCATGAAGTAAAGCCTTATTCTCTTCCGTGTTGCAGCATTAGTTACATAATATACATTACCCACGCAATCGTGTCAAAGATAAAGGGAGAGTTCATCAAATGTTCAATTCGACACGATAGAGAAGATAGATACGAGAGTTGAACCGGTAGTCCTAAAATATAATATCTACAGGCGGATCGCCAAAGACCAGATGAAAATGTGGAGTCAAAGGCGGAATACTATTGAAAGTGAAGACCAAACCAGAAGACAACAAACCAATATGTTAAGAGTATCAGCATCGGGTAGAGTCAGCCTTCGTCAAAAAAATATAAACAATGCAGAAAACAGACTATCACTGTAAGCTTCTTTCTTTACTTGAATTTTATTACATTTACTTATGTTTTGTTTACTTTTTTCAGTTGTGATCAGTTGTAATTTAGTTTTAATGCTGAGTTTTCCGGTAATCAAAAATGGGTCATAATAGGTAAGTCAGATCTGGCGTGATCTGGCTATTCAATGTTGAAACCCTGCAATGCCAGAGCAGGAATTTTTATTGAGAAAGTATACGTGTTTTTGTTTGTGAATCACAAACAATTTGTCATCGCATAAATAGTTTATTCGGATTGGTTGAATGTATGAAAAGAAAAAAAATCTGAAAATTTGGGTCTTTTCGACTGATTTCTTTAATCAAGCTATATATAAGATTCCATAACTATGTCTTTGTCTAAATACACTTGTGAAAAAACAAAACTGGAAAACGATATGTATTTGGGTAGCTTGTAGTAGATTATGCAAGTTATGGAATCTACAGTTACTACGTTTCTGAATAAAGAATCTGGCGAATACGCCCCAGGCTTTCGAACCGAACCTGATATCTATTCTACTAAGAATATATAGGGTGTCCCATAATAAATGAAACCCACGAAATGGTAATCGAATTAATGGGTTTCATTTATTTTGGGACACTTGGTATTACCTCTTTGTTTCTTTACAATATTACTTCCGTGGATGTTTGATAATTTAGGTTTAAAAACATTCAAAAACAATTATATATATTTAAATTTATTAAAACTTATATAGTTTTTTAAGTTTATCAATGAAAATTTGTGAATTTTGAAATAACGCTCCCATCGAATCGATAAATATAATAAATAACTTTACAATCCCCAACATTTTGCGTATTGTGGCGACAAATAAATGTAAAAATGGCGACAAATAAATGTTTTAAAATAATTATTGACCTTTTCATCCAAGAAATGGTCTTTTCGTCGTATTTCGTTATTCGATCCATTGGTTGGTTCATTCCTCTGAGGTAATTGCAGGCGTTTGCCCTATCTGTTAAAATTCTGCTTGCGTTCGAGTTTTTGAAAAACTTTTTTATTGTATCTGCACGTGTTAATACATTGTTATGCCAGTTGAGTCTACACTTTTTCAAACATATCATGTCACGATGATTAAGTTTATGTCGTTTTGATATCGGAGCATGTTGAGTCTTGTTGACAATTACACAACACAACGTGACCTTGTTCTCTCTTTGTATTCAGGTTCAGAAACACTGCCGAATCATTACTTACACTCATGAAACAGCCAGGTAAGATATGTCGTCATCAGACCGATGACTTGATTTGAAATAACATATAATAGGGTCCCAGTTTACTCCAGTATAATTTCATTTCATTCAAAAGCCATACTGTCAGAATTGGCACCGATTAAAGTATTCTGACCAGTCACGCGTCATTGATTTTCCACGTTTGTGTGATTTATAAGATACCAAATATGTATTTCGATTTTAGTGCCAGTCTATCTCATCCATATGAAGTAACGCAGGCAGAATTGCTATCGCTATTGATAGCATAACATCGTGCTTTATTGATTTCCTTGTTCTATGGAATATAACAGAGACAGAATACGTATCCATGTCGTTCGGTAAATAGTTCCATACTGTAACCAGCACAGTTTTATGCAACATGTAAATTTTGGTTCCATTACATTTGAACCCACGTACATTTGAACCCATGACAATTGCACCTGTATGCTATTGCACCTATGGAATTTTTTTTGTTTCACGGATAGTTAAACCCATACTAACCCTAACACATGGGTTTTAGCACCCGCATATAGATTGAACCCGTGGATATACGCATGGGTTCAAATGTACGGTCACCGTAAATTTTATCTGTTATAATGGCGGAATCGAAACTGTGACCCATATAAAATACCGCTACCAATACAATAAGCCTATTGCATAATTTATATATTTCATTTTATGATATACAATAATAGTATACAATACCCGTCATATTCATTGTTTTTTGATTCTATGGGTTTCAGCATTTTCATATTCTCCTTATTCCAGAAATGCTACAAGCCTTCCGCACATTTTTAAAATCGGAATATAGTGAGGAAAATCTTGATTTTTGGCTTGAATGTGAAGAATACAGAAACATGAAAGCAAACCGCAGAAAAAAGATGGCCGCCAAGATATATGCAACTTATTTGGATGCCAAGGCCCCAAGAGAGGTAACATAGTCATTTTAGATCCTAAAATAGCTTTCCTGAACGATGTGAGTGAAACTGAATCTAAAGGGAATGTACTCAATTCACCTAGTGCCAAATTGTGTTAAAGTATAGGCAAAATATTTCGTAAACAGACTATACAAATACTTGACCGTCAACAAAGGAATTTCAATCCATTTAACACATATACTTACAGCAAAATCCGTATAGCTTCTTTTTGGCATACGATTAGAGCCTTTGAAATTACCTAATCCAATATCCAATTTCTCAGCAATTAGTCAAATGCATTTTGATACGTGTGTTCACTGACTGTAGTAAAACACGCCATAGTTAGTCTAATGTAGACCGTCTTGCATTGTTTATTAACAGTATGTATAACACAGGCTCACGCCTTACTAGAATTACAGCATCAATATTTAATGGCCAACAGTAGATTTCGATAGCTTTCGCAAGCGATTTGAATGTGTTCGCGATGGCCCAGCGTGCGTTTCAAATTGCTCCAATGTAGTATCAATTGGAAACAGAATTAATACGGAGGGCGGGTAAAAATCGGGGTATTTTGATTAATACATCACTATGCAAACTGATCAATAACATACTTTGTTTCTTGACTGTTTTTTGTTTTGTTCATCTCATCTCATGTAAGATGTCGGATACTGAATAATTTTATCCGTTCAACTTATTTCATTGATTTCAATAGAGATTTTTGCAGATTCTTTCTCTTTTGCCATTGTGCATGAGACGATCGTTTCTACTAACAAACATTAAGAATATTATAAAAAAAACTCCATATAAAAAAAACGGCATGCTATTATTTGAAGAATGGAATTTCTGGATTCATAATTTCAATTAGGAGGTCTGTAGTAAACTCCTCGCCTCTTCGTGAAATAACCTATATTATATCATGTAATTTGCAGAAAATGATTTTCAATTTCTTATTTCAGATTAATATCGACGCTGGAACGCGAGCTCGAACAGAATCTCATTTAGAAAATCCAAGAGAAAATACATTCGAAGAAGCGCAGAAACACATTTTTGATTTAATGGAACGGGACTCATTTCGCCGGTTTATAACTTCTGACAAGCATATGTGACGTTTGAGACAATTCGATGACACCGCCTAAATACCACCGGAAATGTTACCGGAACATTGCTGACCCCTCGTGTGATCAAATGATTGATTATATTAACTAACTTACAAAACAGTACGCTGTCAAACTACTCAAATAAGGGAATTATGGAATGACACAATCAAAAGACATAAACTATGGGATATATTACACCATGCAAGTGAGCACTAGAACAAACTTTACTTCCGGGGTTATGATCTCGATGCAATCTTTGTTACGTCACCATATTGGATATATCCCAGATTATTTATTTTTGGATGTTGCTTTAAACCCTTTACTTATAATTATGATTCGTGGATAATATATAACCAGTAATCAAGCACGGTACCGATAGTTATTGCTTTGTTGCAATTTCACTTCATCCCATGTTTGGTACAACGTAAATTATATGCTGTCCATGTGATGATGTCTGCATGAATGACCACCATATGCAAACGTTTGACGAGGGCTGAAGGTCGCGCTTTCCTGCTAATGACAGGATGTAACTTATGAGTCAGCTTCCAGCATCTTACCGCCTGTGGTTTAGTGAAAATTCGATTTCTATGTTAAGGTATCTGGAATAGGCCGTGAATATATTTCCAATGTATATTCAGGGCCAATACAGACCTGAATACTGCGAATCTTCTTTAGGATTTTATTTTTTGTTTATATATTATTGTTATTGATGATTTACACATTCCGCCTCTCTTCTCACTGTAAGCTGCGAATATTCAAAAAAAATCGCCAGTCAAAATTAGTTTTGGTCGGACTTTGTGGCGAATTTCTTCCATTGCTTGTCCATATTTTGTAACCTGACTAGGATATCGATAAACTGTGTCCGTCTGTTTTTCTTGCTTTTTTTTCAATGAGTATTTAAATTATTGTTTATTGCCGATAGTTTTATTACTATTAGTTTATTTTTGTTCTTGTTATTTTATCGATATGATCTTGTTGAATGGCGTCTGTTTGGACTAAAAATGGACGACGTTCGTGATCACAAACTAGGAAAGTCGATCAATCAATTTTCAGTTATTTTATCCAAGTTACTTACTAAGAACATTGCCATTTTTTGTGCTAGTCATTAGCGTTTTGTCGTTAAAACACGGTTTTTGTTCACGGTTTTCTAGTATTTGCACCTTTTGCAAAAATTTTGTTGTCATTTTCAAGTTGGATCATTCCTGAATATGCATGGTCCAAAGATAATAGTTAATGTTGATCTATTGCCCATGCAAAATCAGGTATGATCTAATAACAAATTTGAACAAAGTATTTGCACCTTTGTCTTTGTTTAACCTTATCCTATTTACTTATGCACCTTTATGTTGTTTTTTCAAGCACTTTATATTATTATCAAAATTTTGATGTATTTCTCTTACAAGAAATGTTGCTCCAATACACGTGATAAAACAGAAAATTCTCGTTTCATAAGCGTTGACGAAGTTAGCTGGTTTAACTCTATTGTATAGTTTTAGGAATCGGGTTGTTTTAAAATAGAGACTACTATATTACCGATGTTCCCGATAATTTCGGTTAGCTTACTGTATCAAATTCATTTCGCACTTGTTGTGTCAAATAATAAGTATATCCGGTTTTGTTGTTTCTCGAAAATTATGTGATTGTTTACCCAATGCTTGGTTCAAAGAAAAGTATGGAACAACTCAAGGAAATTTGAATTTGATTTGTTTCGATTTGTCCCTGACTTGCAAAGTTGCTGTGGTACGTGGTAAAAATTGTTGAATTTGTTGGGATACAAAGACATATCATGCTTCCAGTACGATGTATATAGTCGGACAATAGCGAAATCTCTTACCCAAACGCCCAACATAGTCTACTCATAGAGAGTTTGGAATGGCGTCAGCGAAGAAGTCTAAATGTTGTGATAAGCTTGATACAAAATGAACTATACATAGGTTGAATGATACGACTTATGAACGCGCTTTTGCGATATATTTCCCGAGTGTACATCAAAAGCAGTACCGGATAACATAATAAGGGTGAATTATCGATTTCCAGTCAATTATGCTTCATACAGCAGACGAAAACACATCGGGAGCAAGTAATATTAGAACAAACTGTGAATATTTTATCCGCACGACAAACCCATTTCAAATTTTCAAATATTGGCTGATTTATAGCAAGCACGGGCTTGTTGCATAAGAAGATATCTCATGTTTGGCAGGGTTACATTTCGTGAATTACCGGATAAACAATATTTAAAATAACAATATTGCAGCAAATTGGAATAAATTGACTTTAAGAACTTTGTGATTGCAGCATCCGAAATAAAAAAAATAGTAAAGTGTAAAAATTATGCTCTTAAATATACTTGTCCAAGATTTGTTTGTAATTCATTGAATAGTTCCGTCATTGTGGTCGACAGGCATACTAAATATACATCGTCCTTCTTTTATTTCGAAACGCGCCACAAAAAAAAATTCTTGCAACCCCCAATCATAAACTTTTCTCGAGAATTCGATTACTACAATTCTTGTGAAACCTGAGTGAAAGGTAATTTTCTGCCGAGCTATATTCAGAAAACGTTCCGACTTAAACTGTCCACTCTATGGTTTCACATATGCGGATTCCTTCTAGAATCTAGATAGACTATTTCAATACGAAGAACGATAATACTGATGAAATAAAATATTTTATATGCGTAAATGGAATATTAAAGCATGTCGCAATGAAACATCTGGCTCAAACTGTTTTGTGAAGGTCCTTTATTCTATAAATTTATATAAAATTCAATTTATTAAACAGGATAATATGCGATTGAATATAACCGACAACCATGGCTTTATAATTTTCTTCGTTTGAACAAGCTCATTCCGGAACGCACACTCACTATGCACTCGAACAAATCAATATTAATATTTAATTGTTATTACATCCTGTAATTATTTTTTATTGAAACAGTTTTCTATTAAAATTAAATATCTTGGGTTCGATCAAGGTCAGTTCATCAATAAATCAAGGTCTACCTCCTTGACCACGGTGTAGGAAAATGGCTCTACTGAGCATTAACACTTGGGTCTTCCCGATTACCGTATATTCTAAGTTAGTTTAATTCGCATGTGTAGATCCCTTGTTCAGCGCAAAGTTGCTATACATACCTATATATCTATATATATATATATATCATCAGATACGTTAAGTTTCACTTAAGACAAACGCCAGAATCAACTCAAACTTGAATATTAATTTAGGAACCGAAATAATTGGGAATTGATGAAAATATTTTTGGTGGAGAAAAACTTTCATTAAATTTTACTTTCGCCGAGATCACTAGCGAGGGACAGCCACCATGAAGGCCATTTAAGATCAATGCCTGAGATGGGCATTTTTATATTTTAGATTCCAAACGTCGTCTACGAGTTAAAAGAGACGTGTCGATTTCCCCCTATTTCTTCCGCATGCATCGTGCTCTCTTCTCGTGTATTCTCTTTATTTGTGTATGGTTCCGGATAATGCCACTCTGTTGGAAAAATTTCGGGTATTTTTAACAGACAATATTTTTACTCGTAGTCGTGTAAATATGGTCGGATTCGATACTTGGACAAGCCACCCTCTATCAATTTATTATTATTGGTTTCTGAGAGTACACCGTGATGGATAGGCATTCAAATACCTCCTATTTTAATAAAAATACAGTGAGTAAACGTATATAGACCAGTTATGATCGGAAATTCAAACTACATTACCCTATGCCAAATATCGACTAATCGACCTGAATAATTTTGCGCAAATACTGGCTTCATGATGCGTTTGTAAGCCCATTTAGATATTCTCGTTCAATATAGAACGCGAGTTGCTTTAAATAACATTTGGGGTGTGTCACGGTTATGTGCGAGACAAGATGAAACCGTTTCAACTTCTCCCTCTATATCCACAAGCCTATATAGACGAAAGAAAATATTTTGGAAACATACGTCAGCGTTAATAAACTTTTAAACGTAAATGTTGGATTCGTTTGTAATGGTGGATAAGAACACTGTAATAAATGCGCGTGTTACTCACATCTTCGTATAGTTCATTTTCCCGGTTGTTATACAAAAAAGTCCCATATAGGCCTACATACATTCTCGCACAATAGACTATTCACTTTCCCAAGTATGAAGCTATTCAGAAATTCCAACTAAGGACTTCAGTATTAGTGCATGAGTATAGTCATATCCATTACGTCACATCTGTGTCATTTATGACAAAGTCAACGAAACGCTGTTTCCCGGAATTGGCTACGTGACCTATTTAAAAAACCTTGAGGATACAGTTACATGCACGGACTTACTTCAAACGCATATGTACAACTTTTTAAACACAAATAAATGTTTATTTTTATGAATAACAAAATGATGCGAAAACGATTAAACTTGCATTGCCAACTTCACTAAACGATACTGGATGCTGGGAATATTTTTGGCCTGTTAATATGAATGAGTGCTTACATTCGGTATGTTTTCTTTTTAGGTTTTCATTCGTACTTGAATATTCAAGCGATCCGAAAGCCATTTAATATCGATGAAATTACTAGTATCAAGAAATTTCATAATTTCTATTTACTTTAGTTTCGATTATTTTTTTTAAAATATATTTTGGTCTTCAATACTCAAGTTGAAATAGCGAGAAAATGTTTATGTAAAACTAGTGTTGAGCGTTACATTTGTACTCTACACCCAAGACACGTGCACCTGACTAATTTTGCACCCATAAATTTCAGCACCTGATTGCACCCATTTGAACCCACAAACATTTCCATTCATGGATGTATGCACCCATGTATATTTGAACCCATGAACACGTCGAATGTAATTATCCGTGGGCACAATCGATATGTTGGTGCTAAAGACTTGATTAATGTGCAAGTACCCGTGGGTGATATGTAGGTGCAAATGTCCTGCATGCCAAGCACGGGTGCAAATGTGATTGTGCTATCACCCTAGAAAGCAAATAAATATGAAATCACGGGTTTGAATCTTGTGCGCATACCTCAGCTTGAGGTTATTATTATGCAACTATGTTTTTATACCTATAGCTATTCCTGTACATTGGAAACCTTTGTTTCTTATCTGAGGTCTAGTTTTGATCGCAGGGGGGAAACTGCTAAATGTGCAGACTGAAAGCTCGAATAAAAGAGCAGATGTTTCAAAGCCAGGTATTTAAGCGTTCATAGTCAAAACTGTAAATTTATTGCCATGAAATATGATATGAGCCATGGACAAGTGGGCGCAAATCAATACTGACGCAGGTATTATGCATAGAATAAATATTTTTATTTCATTTCGCTGACGCAATTTCCACTTTTGACACACATTATACCGAAGGTATGGTGATGAATGAGAAATATTATGCTGCTTTGGATGGGCGTTTAGTCGATTTTTAATCCCTTCTTATCATTTCCTGAACTACATGATGAGGCTGCAGGAATAGTACTCGCCAGCATGCCATGCCCCTAATCAGGGATGACGTGCGCAATGATTAAATAACCTTGTTGGGAAAGCTGCGCCATTTTTTTTTAAATTAAAACAGTATTATTATTGCTTCATAATATATAATTTATTCATTAGTTTTCAATATATTGGTCACCCTCCACCGAGATCCTGCATGCGAAGGAGTTATAATATTCTTAAGTTATGCTGATCATTATCTGGAAATCAATTGAGTTAGTGGAATTTATAATAGTGTAACTTCTGTACATGCTTGGCCAGACAAATGTCAGCGGAACTAACTTTTAAGACCCTTCGCTGTAGAGTATAGGGCCTGCAATATCAATCAATTAAGCTGTATTCAAATAACCTACAGCAAGGTATGTAGACAATACTTTTAATAACTTTAGTTTTCTATTTTGTAAATGACATAATCACGAACAGCACTCACGGAACGTCTTGTGATTGATTCTTTGCAACATGCATATATAGGATGTATCTGTCTATAAATTTTATTATTAATATATCATACTAGTCGAATCAAAGTGGAACAATTGGGAGAGACCAGCGCCAAAAGTTGAATCTAATTTAAGATGCATTCACCCTGACTAAGAACATATCATCCAATGGCTTTAGCTGTCAGCACTATGTTTCGAAGTACCAGTTGGCCAGGGAAATGTTCTGTTTCTGACTGATAAAAACCAATCTAAGCTCTAAAGAACTAATATATCTTCAAATTTTCAAAATTATTACTTAGAAAAAATTAATCTTAACTTCTTTATGAGTCGCCATGCAAACACTACTAAGCCATTAACAATACATTATTAGCGCCAAATTTAGCATCTCTTGCGATATTCAAACTTACTTAACACCACATGATAATCAGTCGTACAATAAGGCAAGGGCAAGAAGCTCGTAATTCGGCAAATACGTGTTCCGCCAAAATAGTCGAAATTTCAACATGAATTAAAAAGTAGACTGAAAGACTAACAACTATCGTGCAAAAACTTTTGGGCATATCTGTTCGCCAGTCCAATGCGACACAATATTCATCATCCTCATCTCACGCTTCATGATAAATTACAAATGGACAAATCAAGTTGTTAGCTATTTCCAGGAGGCCGTCATTCAACATATGATTGAATAATCGTCTTATTAAATATTCTCTCCTCTGGTGAAACTATGAAAATCTCATTTTATTTCAAGATTTCATAATAACCGGCATTGGCGACACTGCCGAAATGAGGTTGGCGCACCGCGCTCATCAACTCAGAAACATTTCCCAGTACGACAAAACTTCATTAAAACATTTCAAACTTTGGTGTTGTCAAAACAATTCGATGGCGCATTTTCAGCACCCTTTAATCGTTAATATATATCTGTCTTGACTCGGTAATAATTTCAGCGATTGAGGTGTATTTTGAAGAGTGGGTACGATCGGCATCGTTTCAACGGTTATAGACAGACGCTCCGAATGGCTGACGAAGACATATTAGAGCCGTTTCGGTCCGGCGGGACATATGGCATCTGCCATCGATGAGCGTGGAACACTATTATTGCTTCGATTTAATTTGGGCCTAACCGTTATCTTCTTTATCAACTATCGAACTAATTTAGGTTTTGAGATAGAAGTTCACCGATGATAATTGGCCCTTCAGTAATATATAACAATAAAATGACGTGGAAAATATTTTAATTGCTGAGTGAAACAAGTTCATCTCATATACATATTTCTTGACATCTATAAACAGTGACAGATATAGCCCACGTGCTCGAGTACTCGACTCGTTGGATAACATTGCAAGCCCTGTTCCCACCAGAATTGCTTAATATACTCAGATTTTGGCACCAATATTAATCCAATGTAACTAACATAAACCAGGGAAATTTGATGTCCATGAAAAAAGAGTTTCCTTAATACTAACTACAGCCTATAATGCCGATCTTTGTACGTTAGTAGACCGTAGTATTTTATGAGGTTTCCATTCCTAACCACAAACTTCCGCAAACGCTTTCAGACCATTTAAATGTGAATCAAGTTAACAAAGCTACTATGGTAACCGCAATATTTGAGTAATTCAAGACAAGATTAGATGGCTATGATTCTATTTGTAGTTATAGTGGATATATGCGGTTATTATTAAAAGAATTAGAGCTTTGCACATTAAATTTCAACACAGAATATCACCAAAAGATATTTTATACTGGATTCATGAAACATGCGTTTTATCAGCGGCGATCGTTCATGAAAGAACGTAGTCTAAAATGTACTGACGAAAAAGGAAAGATAGCTATACTTAGGCTTACCATACGTCCCGCTTTAGGCGCGACAGTCCCGCTTTTCAGCGTTTTGTCCCGCCGTCCCGATAAGTCAGCCAAAAGTCCCGCTTTTCCAGCATAATAGACAAACATGTTCTCGTTACTGTTGTTTCTGTGTAGCGCAACGCTAGCCTACTTACTGGAGATGAATGCGTTCGTTTCCCGTTGATTCCCATTGATGGCAGACGTATTGCATGTAAAACCAATACTAATTAGTCGAAATTCGAATTATTTGTACCGGTGTCGTTAACGTCAATTCCTTCCTATTTTTCGAACTGAACCCGATATTTGGACAGAGAATACGCGCATGAAATTTTGATAACAATATGGTCAATAAAGACAGCCGAGACAGCTTTAAATGTAGGAATGTAGGCCTATGTAGTAAAATCGGAAAATGTAAAATTACAAAATCACAGCTAAGGGGTCGTTGTCTTTCGAGGCGTCTCGATTTGAAGTCACAAAAATATGGTAACCCTAGCTATACTATAAATTTGTAAACTAATGATTCATCAAGGGCAGTGCAACAGTCTGTAACACATAAGTTGCAACATATTTTTATGTTTTCGTGCAACTACCAAAGTGTCGGTAAAGATATGCTTTAATACATTCACTACAGCTTCACTACTTTTGTATTTTATGTGTGCTCCGTTGTACACTTCTAGACCAGGGGTCTCCAACTCAAAATATGTCAAGGGCTTGTACTTTATTGACGACGAGGGTCACAGACCGACAATTTAGGTACAAAATTGATACACAAGAAAATCACAGAAAAAATCTGGATGTATTTCACTTGAAAAAATTTCACTTGAATCTTACACCAAACGAGACATGAAACATATTCATTTACTTGTGCTGGATATTTGGCACCGTTTTGTAGCGATGAGAGACGCGATGTTTGGTCTTATTTCGCGTTGGTTTGCAGGTCTTAAGACATGCCAGTTGGTCGTGTGCGGAGGGATGATTTGTAAACTATTATTGTTGAAAAAACTGCTCGCCAATGCAAGTACTGCCAAACATCGCAAGTATATGATGCGAGTGTGAAATTAACTTTGGGAACCGAGACCTTTTGTCTCGTTACCAGTCCATGCCGAATATGGGTATAGTTAGCCACTCATTCGTTTTAGATGCACGGACTGCTGGTAGATGAAGCCGACAAGTGGAACCTATGGCGGCGGGGAGTTCAGCAATCCTCACATCATTATTCCCCACGGGATTCGAACCGCGAACCCACGCAGGGTAATCAGAAGTACGGTGGCGAGCGTATTCCTGACGCTTAGCACGATTCGCCACACTGCCGAGCATGTGCTCCTAAACCTGTGCTTCAAAGCTCTGACTGAGCTTCATAAAAGAGTTTCTTCTACGGGACCTGTTGGACACAAAGTGGACCTAAATCCTTTGTTATCATGTCGTTGTTCCTGTTCTTCCTCTTCTTAATTTTCTTGTTAGTATTTTTCTCCCATGAATACTACTCTTCAACTACGAGACCAATTGCTTCGGAATTTTTAGTGGTTAAAGTATATTGAGGTCGCTAGAAGGCTATTGCTTTTATTTGCTTCTAAATAATCTATTAGAGCTATAACATTTAATATTTCACTCAAAATTTCCCCTGTTTAATTTGCATGGGAACACTGTTTGCATTTCCTGAAGTGTGACGGGTGTCTTCCATTTTGATTTGGCGTGCTACGCGAAAGTCAGAAGTTTCTCAATACCGGTAGCTCAAATAATATTTTTTCATCTGAATGACATTTGTTAGAAACATATGGATAGTGTGTGCTTGTGGAAAAGTTATTACAATACGGTATGTATGAGGATGTATATTGGAACATACCCTCGTAAACGACTATTATGGCAATACTTTGTACCAATATGTCGCATATTATTCAAATAATACAATGTAAGATTGGTATATAGCTTACTGTAAGAGGGCACCCACCTACTCATATAGGGTTAAAGGTCAAAAAAGACAATATTTATGAAGGTCCACTTTTTGTTAATTCCCGATTGGCAGAGGTTAAAGTAACAATTTATAGGATAGGATTTACATATTTATCCAGGGGAGGGGAAAGTCGATAATACGGCTCAATCATATGGCGAACCACGGCCTCTCGTCCGGTTACCTTGACCATAGACTTGAGGAAGCCGTAACCAACCAACGGTTACGTGAACTAACCTACGACGGCGATGAGTCCAGCAATCCTCTCGCACATAACTATCCCCGCATGGGATTCGAACCTGCGAACCCACGCAGGGTAATCAGAGGTACGGTTTTCGCGGGTTCCCTAGTCAATATACGCGTCACATTCATGAAATAATATTGGTGAAAAACGCGTCAAATAAGATGGTTCTGAACTTTTTACGCAAGTCTTCCCCCTTGGGATGGATATCTATTAACCTATTAACATTGAAATCATTTATATGAAATTTATTTATTTGATCAATAATAGGGGTTCATGCGCAATGCATGGACAACGAAAAAGCGGCATACATTTGCAATAGCATGCATCAAACAGTTACCAGAATTTTTTTTTGAAAAGAACGATTACTTCATAGCTCCGAATAAACAAAAATCAGAATACGACGAATAACATAGTGATATTCTCCATCTAATATTGCAGATATGAGAAAGGCTATCATGACGCAGTTCATGCTAAGAGCCTTATCAAATATATATGGAAATTATTTTTATGTGTCGACTGAAAATCAATACGAGTCTTATTGCCTGCGCTTAGCCGGTGCTATTTTTAGCACGGGTCAATTTATCTATATATCTTTCGTTCATCACTCAAATCAGTCCTAAATGAAGAGAAAATGAAATATTTATTTTGTATAATATCATAGTTCATTACGTCATTAGCTCACATTATTATCCCCTGTAATACCCAAACCGAAATTGAAAATTTAGTGAATATGTATTATGTAGCTCAAGCCTTTATTATACATTTTCCACGGTTTGTATAATTCGATAAAAGAGAAAAACTTTTCTAATGTCTTTATTAACATTTTTAAATATTATCGTAAATTAAAAACAAAGCGTGAAAAATTAAGTAAACTTAAAAATTGTAGCGATCGTAATAGTGTAAATCATAGTATGAAACAAAGATGGCCGGAGTTACGTTGCGAGGAAAATGATTAAAAAGGAATATCAGATTTGGGGAGACGATGAAGATATAAGAGTGAGAGAGAATGAGATTGTGGGAAATGGTGCTAATATAACACACGACATCAGACCACGAAGGCATTTGGTCAAAAACCAAATTAATTTGTTTCTGTCAACGATTCAATACTCAAGAGTATTTACTCATATTTTCGGTAATCCAGTCCCGGTAATATGAAACGCGGGCATAAACTCCAGGAACATTTGGACGAGTTCCGCACAAGCCCGAGTTGAAAATTCCGTGTACAACAAAATGACTATCCACCAGTTTGTCAGAATATGGGATATTTTTACCACGTCGAACTGCTAGAGCAGGATTGCTGCAAAAAAGAGGACTTCCACTGTCTGAACTACATCCGTCTCGTTGAAGAGTACCGGCACACATGTGGCATGGTCGTATACGACCCCGACAATATTGTGTCGGTACGATAGGTACAATAACCTCTTGTAGACTTGATGGAGTTGCGTTTATGTATTCCTAAAACAATGATAGAAGGGATAGAATTCCAAGCAATCACAATTGTAAATATTTAATATTCTTACAGCACAATCGTTTTCGCTAATTCGTAAAATTTAGTCACCAATTGGAAATCCCAAGAGTGGCTTACCTTAACCCATCTTTCAAAATTCGGAAGAGGAAAAATATTTATTATTTTCTTTATTCCCCATCCAGTGAGAAGACACCCAGTCCACGGTTCAACCGTTTCTCCTTGCGGGGGCAATGTGGCCAAGGCAACTCCTGGGTCGTTCATATCGATCGGCGTGCGTAACCGAAGGATGGCTATGTCATTCAAATCTGGTTTTACTCTGAAACATTAAAATATTCTACTGGTAAAAAATATAATATTTGGGTTTATTCTAATATTGATAGGTGAAAGACGAAAAAGTGCGATTATTTTATTTATCGTAGAGACTTGAGTCAACTTATTCAAATCTCGCTCCAGTCGTCATGTACTGGCACGTAATGCACATAATTCTATACGGTTTCAGTAGCTCTTGGCATTTCACATGGGAGTGCGTGTGACTTTGCTCAGAGCGAATTGGATTGTTTGAGAGTTTTTCTATATGATCGGCGTGAACGGTATTCAAGAATGCTAAATTGAGGTTTGTGTAATGACTTGGTTTATAATGTTTTTAGGCCTGTTATCTGTCATGCTTTCTATTATATACCTGTTTTTGCAATAATGTTCATGACATACAGCAACACTGACATTACGTGATTGGCCATCGTTTTCTGCTAGTATGGACGAATTACTTTTTCCAACAATGACACGGACAGGCGATGAAGATAGTATTTTTTCTTTGCACATTTCCTAAAACATAAAGGATAAAAATAAATTATATACTTGAAACAATCAGGAATCTCAGTGCCAAAGATTTTTTGTCAGCATCCGTCAAGAACAAATAACAGACACAGCTTTTTGAATTGTAATTTGTAGTTTCATGATCTTGATCAGGAATAAAATACTAATTCGTTAGGCTCTTGAAAATAGACGACATTCATTTTAGACTGGTAGTCAAGAATAATCACCGATAGAACAGCAATGTAGCTCCTATATTGTTACTGACAGGGGGCTGGCATAATGAAGTCGCACAGTTTGTGTACGTATACGTGTTTGTGTACGCACAGTTTGTGTACGCATGGGTCACCGTTGTCAATAAGGGATTACAAAATTTGTTATGTTGAAATAAAATATTTCAACATGATTATGTATAAATAAATCAGTAAATCAATTTATCAAATACATTGACTGTCGAGCCTTGAAAGCAAAACTCTTTTAGTAACGTAACCATTTACAACATTTACTGAATGTGCATCGATTCATGTCATCGTCTGACCTTTAGGTGGCATGCTGCAGCAATTATTGCAAAATAATAAGTCAATAGAATTCCGTCATTTGTTGTTAAAAAAACCTTAACGTACGAATCAATGAGTAAAAATATATAAATAAGAGTTTTCAAATTTAGTTGAAAATAAGTAGAAAATTGAAATTTTCGCCTAGTAAGTTTTGATTTAGCTCCAGTTCCCTTTTTGTCGTTAGTCTAAGAAAAGTTTAAGTTCTGAATACTAAATTTTGTAGGTTTAATACTAAAAGTAAATATTTTACTCTATTTCAAATAATTGGGAAAACAAGAAAGTCGATCTATTCTCTTCTGTTTAGGTCTTACATCTGAAATACAATGCCGAGCTGTCAGAACCCAACTAGGATGGATCAGCACTCCTCCACAAACAGGTGGAAAACCAGGAATAGGAGGATTTCCCCACAAATCTCTCTTGTACACAATATAAGCGTTTCTTCTCTGTGCTTCAAATGATGCCGGAACCCCACCAACAATCTTAAATAGAAAACAAACGTCAGAATCATAGAAATATATAAGGTTAAATACGAGAAACTTGAGAACGTCATGTTTCTATTCGGTAGATGTTACAACATTGCTACAAATAATTCAAACCTAGATATTCAATATAAATATTGTACTTACATTAACCTCTGAATCACAGTTAAATTTCACACGACAACATTTAGTTTACATTTACAAAATTTTATATATATATATTAAAATGTTGTCTGTCTGAATATATTTTCTGTTTTTTCTTCGAGAAATCATTTCTTCACTTGCTCTCGACAGCCTCTAGTAGTGATTGGCATTTAATTTATCTCTGTTTATGATAAGTTTTTCGAATGGAATTCAACACTATTGAACAAATGCTTTTTTTAGTAAAGATACTGCTCAAACAAAACAAATCTAATTTCTCAATGAATTTAAAATGAGCTCAATTATAGCAACAGAAAGAAAATATTCCAACCTTGAAATTCACATTCAGATCTTCCTCTGTATTATTTGCGTCATGTTAAAAAAGAAACGTTTGAATAAACAAAACATAAGAATACAATTGGGGCTTACTTACAACTAGATTTATATCTTAAATAATAATACTAGTCCTGATGTTAAGTCAATTTAACGCTGATTTAAATATATATTGAAAATAATAAGCTGAGGCATGGTAAATTAATAATACTTCATATCGGAACTTCATTTTAACAATTAGACTAGTACCCTAGTATCGAAAGCTCGATTTCATGATTGGTATTGAATAAAGCGCTGGAATTGAATTCGTGAGAGCGTTGTACGTAATGTATTTTTGTAAAAGGGAAGTCACACTGGTTCGATAAATTCCAAACGTTCAACCCCGATAAACTCGTGTTGGGGTTATTTTATTAACACTGTACGTTTTGAATGAAAATTACATTATTTGATATTGGGAAAAAACATCAACAGGCACGTTTTCTATTTTGTGATATATATTTATGGTTGAAGATAGAAAGGGGCTCAGGAAAACGACGTCTTCTGTTTTGACAAGGCTTGCCATTCTGGCTGAGGCGGCAAAGTTAACGAAAAACCTGAATGTCTTGCGAGATATGAAACTTGTAACAAACCAGGAATTTTTAATTTGGCATTTTGTTTTTTGTTTTTCAGTGGTTCATCACAGCATGTCCAACAATCAGTTTCGTGTTCGTGACAACAGTCACAATCATAAGATGAATCTTCAACTCTGGGTGTAATCCATCTTGATCTTCCATCGAAGCAACAAGAATGTGTCGAAGGATTATACATTTTCTGAATCACAGGAGAAGCAAAGATTATAATGCAATTGCTATTATGCTGCTACATATTTCACTTTTTGCCAAATGTTATGTCACGGAAAATATTGTTTAGTAAGTTCATAAACTTTCGTATATAGTTCCATTTTTTCATAAAATGCCTGCTTAGGTTTAAATATGAACTAATCGCCTATGGAAGACGTGCCAAAAAATGCAAACAATATACATCATTGCTTGCTTAGTGTAACAATTATTTTGATCACAGAATAAATAATACGTTTTGGTGAAATATTTATCTCTCCGGTAATTTAGGTATGAAGTTTTTCTGCATTGAAATGAATGGTCAAATATTATTATTCATACAAAATGAATTCCACATTCTCCTATCACACATGAGAAGAAATGGCTGTACAGTTTCATACTTACCCCTGTATTACCGGCTGGGCAGCACTGTCCTTGAACAAATTCTGGATTTGGTTGCTTTGAAAAGTATTTTTTGATTTTTCTGCGACATCCGTGTAAAGGTTCACAGATAGCTTGATAACCAGACCAGTGGCCGTTTGACTGGCATCTCCTGTAAAACATTGTCAGAAGTTGGATTAAACTGACAAATAGTTCAAATCGGACAAAATCAAATACACATAAGGGCCCGAATTTATTGAACGGACATTTCCAATACTTTTGAATAGAATATGAAATTTATAGAAAACATTTATAAAACTATACAATAAGTTATCCTGCTGCGGCCATGATTTTGAACAGTGACCGCTAATAGTAATTTGTTCGTCAATGAACCTGGAACAGTAACTGGGTCGTTGAAAATGTTTTTAGTTTACTTAGTTTCAGATTTGTCTCGATGTAACAAACACGAATGCTTGATATTTTAATGGGCATCGAATAACATAACTATTTGAAATTCTACACAATAGGTATGTGACAGGAGAAAAGTATAGGGCCATAAACTTAAATACGTGAGCAGTAAGTACAACAAGAATAACATGATCTCTTTCGATAAATTAGAAGGTTTATCTGCAAGCTTGAGTTAAACCTCCATCTATCTTTCTTTAAATAAAACTAGCTACGATTGCCTGCAGTTTAACACAGACTAGTGAAATATTTAGTTTAATATCTCTCACCTACAAACAGATCCTCGTACGGCATATCCACCTTTACAAACTGTTTTGCAAATGGATCCATATTTGCTAGAATTTGTACAGTTCATTCGGCCATTTTGAGCAATCGGTATTCCGAAGCAGCCATCGCCGTATGCGTTGTTCGGGACTTCCTCTGAAACTTCCGTATTCCACGATGGAACGGAAGCCTTCACTAACATTTCAAATACGCAACAAAGTATCAGAAACTCCAGAAAATTCATTTCTACCTAACATGTATAGGCAAACAATTATCCGATATCTGATACAACTCGAACAAAACTAAAAATGCGCCGTATACATGTCGATAGCGTCTTCCCTGTGAATTTTCACTCCACACTACTCTGAGGGTGACAAATAATTTTTGGACACGCCCCCAAACAAACAATAAGTCTGCAATTAAACGAAAAGGTTATATGCAGTAAACCATGGACATTTTATGATGTGGCGGAATATCAAATTATTGTACAAAAATGTACGATACAATTAGAAAAGGGCGTTCACAATCACAGCATATCAAGAAGAGGTGTTTCCCAATGTTACAAATGTAACTGTCAGTAAATTACGACATGGGGTGCCAGACACTGGAATCTCTAAACTTTTATCTCAATTTGGAGAAGTCAAAAATATCAAAAGGTTTATTGATAAAGATGGTGTTGAAATCGGCATAAGGATATGTAAAATAACTTTAGAAAATGAAATTTCCCCCAAAATTGAACTCCCTAATAACTATACATGTGAAGAAATTAACAATGTTCCATCCAAGACCTTCAGAATATTACAGTCATTGGTGTTATATATGGCACTACATAACACGTGAGATGGAGCAATGTCCCGGACACAAGACAGGGTGTAGGAGATATTGTATGCGGAGAAGGGAAACCACATTCAAAAAAAGACTGTTTGAAGAAAAGCCAGAACAAAAAAGTATTTTGAGCGAAGTTTGACAATCACCAGACAAAGTTAAACAACCGTCCAAGAATGAAACAGAAACACAAATTCAAAATTTTATTACAAATCCTGAAGAAAATAAAGCTTGGAAACTATAGGTATGGAGATCAAATTATATATCAATACAAAGAAAAGTTTGCAATATAAAATATGATAAAGAAAGCATAAAGGCCAAAACAGTTCATATATGCGGAATTGTGCCTGTCTACGAGCAAAGGATCAACTAGGTCTGACAGATTAAAGCAGGGGTCACCAAACTACGGCCCGCGGGCACACGTTCACATAAATTTTATTGGTGTCCATATACAATATCAAAATTTGCACTACGTATAACTTAAAATTTATGCGCTAGTGAAAAAAATCAAATACCAAATAATAGTTGTTTATTTTATCTAAATTATTCAGAATTTCATGGAATTCCAAGGTACCGCAGGCAGTCCGTAGTCGTTTATATAAGCGGTATTCCAACGCGGCGTAACGGTACATAGCAGACGTAATGCGTACATATCTTTGGCGCAAAAAAGTGGATTTTTTAATATTTCTAATTCATGACAGCAATGTTTTGCTAACAGCTAAACTCAGGATAGTTGAATAGATATAGAAATCTTGTATATTTGTTTTCCTAGGATGTTCTCTATCTATTAAACCTTTATAAAGGTTTTTCCAGTTTCCCCGATTTACCCAATCTTCTGTGTGTTCATTGTTTATGTTTTGTGTATGATTTTTTTGCGGGAAAATCAAATTATACTTATATATTCTGCGATAGAGATAGAATTTAATATTCAAGTCTTCAGAAATGTAGAATATATTTATTGTTGAATAAATTAAATGAATTTCCAAACTTTTGTGAATTTATTGTATTGCATTAACAAAAATATTTTTCCGGCCCGTTTCAACACAGTTTGAGTCATACCCGGCCCGGGGTCAAAAAAGTTTGGTGACCCCTGGACTAAAGGATATACTACAAGAGGAAACATGGGAACAACATGTTATTTGCATACCGAAACCCGGAAGTTTCTCTGAAAATAAATGATAGATAGCTATTTTCAAGCCGACATGACGCATCACAGCGATAAAGGGTCAGAAAAACTACTGGAAAACATTTGTCCGTTTGTTAACCTGAAAGAAGGAAAACAAAAGAAATGAATAAGCTGAAAATGACATTCCAATCTTGACACATAGCTTTAAACCTGAGCGGAATGAGACGATATCGATAGTCTATTACGAAACCTACAAACTTGCACAGGAAAGATGAACTAATATATAACGAGCAATTTCTTGTTAAACCTTTCCACCTTTTTGGACACGTTTAGTGGCCATAACGATCGTTTCAATATTATGTTGTTGTTGTTCTTGTTCTTTGACACGTTTTTAAAAAATCGCTTTTCTCTTCGAATACTGGACCAATTGCTTTGGAATTTTCAGTGGTTAAAGATTAATTTATTCGCTAGAAGGCTATTACTTTTATTTATTTCAAAATTTTGCGTGAATTCTATGAAATTTGATATTTCGTCTAAAATTTTGCTGTATTATTTTTATCCATGGGAACACGGATTTTAGTCAGTGTCATTACTGGCTGTACGTTTTGATTCTGCAAAATTCTTGCTACTGGAAATTCCGAACTTTTTTGAGGGTACCGGTAGCGTCAAAGGTACCGGTAAAGACTGATTCGCTCTGGTCTAACGTGTCCATATATTTGTGCGTAGCTCTCTTGTTATTTTTCTGATACTGTGCTTTTTGCGTTATTTCAATACTATGATAAGAAAAATGGGAATCACAACATGCATATCCTTTCAGTTACAGTCCTGACGTTTAATGTCAACTGTATTAGACAACTTATGCAGCGTAAGTCGGTAATTGACTATCTCAAGCATACTGAGGCGGGTAGGCTATATACATATAACATTTCTCCAGGAAACCCACTGTGAAGATGATATCGAACCTGCTAATAGACCAATGAATGGTGCAAGTATGCAATTTGGACCATATTCACAAATAAGTCCTCTGGTGTAGGAATCTTATTTTCAAATAAAATAGATACAGACTTTGAAAATGTGAAGATAGGTGACAATGGTTGAATTATTATACAGTATGGTGGAAATCTTCTGAAACCAACATTATTTTAATTAATGTGGATGTTCCAAACAAATGCCAAGAACAGACTGAATTGTTTTTATTGATAGAAAAATAATAGATGAATAAGTAAATCGAATTAGAAGCGCGCAATATTCTAAAACGATAACAGTACAAAAAAGCTCCAAATCTGATAAGGAATAGGAACTTGGTTGATATTTGAAAAAAATTTAACATTAAAATAATACAATATACTTGCAAAAAATGTAATAATAATGTCTGTACAGGAAATGTCAGAACAGACTGGATCAATGGTATCATGCAGAGAAACGGTTAATGGCAAGAATGTTCAAATTTAATAAAATGCAACATGGTCCTGGCTATTAGTAATTCATTCTGAACTAAACAAACTTGACTATTAAAAATATTCAAAAATCCGATTTATCATAAGATATACAGTAAAAATAGTAAATCAATGAGACAATACAAAATAGTTTAATCCCGAAGTTGAAACTTTTTACAGTTGAGACGACCACGTCTATAACTCTGTTTTATTCTGTATGCCCATATTTATTCTTACCCCTTGAGTCACTAGCGAGCAGCTGAGTATCCTTCCTTTTTAGCTGGTTTGTCAAAGTGCCGGCAGTGTGGAGTTTTCTCTGTGTATTGGGTTAATATTATAGTGTTTTATTGCCGTAAATATATGTAATTCTTGTTGTAGACTGCTAGTAGTACTACAGGTTTAGTGTTTCTCCAGTTTGGCATAGCTCTGTTCACTAGTTATCTTGTATGTAACGTTTCCACAACTAGTCTACTTTCGCAGTTTATTTCTTGTGCGATTTCCGTATTTCTATGTGTATTGACATGTCTAATGGGGGTTTGTCGGTAAGATAGGATTTGTGTTGTATCCTTAGTGTCATACTAGTTATACTTATTTATTTCTAGGTATGTTTTGCCTGGTTTTTGTATATTCCATTACAGGTCAATAGTTCATGACTGTGACGTCATAGACCAATTCCTATTTGTGTTCCTTATGTATCTGTATGGTATTTTGTACTGCTTTTCTATTTGTTTGTTTTTATTGTATTTCTGATTGGAGTATTTGGTTGTATTAAGTTCTTACAGGTGTATAATTAATCTAGTTAGTTAAATTAGTTACTTTGCTGCAGTTGGAACCGCGAGAAGGTGATTTGCAATCTATATCTAGGCTTACCATACGTCCCGCTTTTTAGCGTCTTGTCCCGCCGTCCCGACCAGTCAGCAAAAGTCCCGCTTTGGCGTTCAGCCATCCAGCATAATACACGAACATTACCAATTAACAAGTTCTCGTTATTGCTGTTGCTATGTAGCGCAGCGCTAGGCTACTTGCTGAAGGTGAATGCGTTATTTTGTTTGTTTCGTTGTTTCCCGCTAACATTTTTAGCGAACGTACCACATGTTACATTGAACAACGTCCTTTTGAAGAAGGTATTATCCACAGAAAAGCATGATTGGCGAAGTAAATTCTTAATGCTTGAAAACGCCAGGCTATTTTACTATTCTTTCTTTTTTTTTTGCTGTACATAAAAAATTGAAATTCGAATTATTTGTATCGTTAACGTCAATTCCTTTCCATTTTTCGAAGTGAACCCGATATTTGGACAGAGAATTTGCGCATGAACTCTCAATGACAATATGGCTAATGAAGACAGCCGGGATGATTTAAAAAGTAACCCTATGTAGTAAAATCGGAAAATGTAAAGTTACAAAATCACAGTAAAGGGGTCGTTGTCTTTGGAGGCGTCCCGCTTTGAAGTCACAAAAATATGGTAACCCTATCTATAGCAATTACAGTGTCCAAGAAGATAGCAAAAAGAACCTGAGTGGTTATATCAATTTTTATACGCCACACAGTCAATAGGTGGAGAAATTACGCATTAGGAAGTAGACCAAGCATTCAGGGAAATACAACAAATCACCTGGCTTAGATGACTTAGCGAAAGATTTTATGATAAATTTTGAAAGTTACTTGAACCAACATTACTTATTGTGAAAGAAACCTATATCGTGCTTATTTCTAAGATTTGTGCTTATTTTCTAGACTGCGTCTTATAAAATAACAATGTGCTTATTTCTATGAAAAGTGCTTATTTTTGAGTTGCGTGCTTATTTGTCTGAGAAGCATGGATGACTCGTTCGTATTTTGCGTATAAAGCTTCCGTGGAAACATGGGGTGACGCTTTGCTGTGTTAGTATTGTGATCAATTCTACCAT